ATTAAAGCACTTTGTGGTATATACGGTAAAAAGTGACAATACAGCACATGGGAGACTGTGTTCAACATGTTTACCCATACACAACATTAATAAACTGTGATGAATTGTATACAGAACGCACATGATGCTATACCCTTCCTTTAACAAAAGAGGGCGTATCTACGATACTTCCATGATTGGCGTGGAATGCTGGGAACTAGAACTGTAAAACTAAAACAGTTACCGGTAAGTTAGAAAATGATCCTGATCAAATTTAGGATCTTCAGTCATTAAAATGTGACTGAAAAAATATAAAACCCGGAATTGAGATTTATTCTGAGATTGTATTTGCAAGAGGATCTTCAGTCATTCAAATGTGACTTAGAATTAAACCCTGGAGATGAGTGAGTGAGTGAGTGAGTGAGTTGGGTTTAACGCCGCTTTTAACAGTATTCCAGTTATATCACGGCGTGTCAGCTTAATGTGGGAGGAAAGCCTGAAGTGATGCAGGTCTCAGACGTTTACCACTTCGGTGAAACCCACGAGCACGGGTATGGTGCTGACAAACCTAGAAACATAATTGGGGCGAACCGGGATTCGAACCCACAATCATAGGTTTCTGGCGTGCCCAAGGGACGCAACTCTGAACAGCGAATCGCGGCGCCTTAGACGACTGGGCCACCCGTGCCCCCCTGGAGATGAGAATTGAGAAATGTATTTGTGTATTCAAATAGTGATGACTTTTTTTAACATACCTGAGGAAACCAGTATTTTCACTTGTCACATGATTACAATCTCATTAAAATCAGATCTTAATGCTTGCTATTGCTACACAATTGTTTAGTGGTAGCAAGTATTAAGATATGTTTTTTTAGATTGTTTTGACTACTTGTAGAGACAGATGACACTTGCCTCTGCTCAAATGGGCAATTTCAAGAAAAATGCATTATTAAAACATATGTCATAACTTGGCATGACCAAGGACGCATCTATTGCACAGTGTTGATTTGTTTGTTGTTTAATGCCGCACTCAATTGAGTCAGTACCAGACAAACCAGGGATTGATATCAGCAAAGAACCAATCTGTCTTGGTAAGATGACATGCTGTAATCCAAGTCACTGAGTGTCACCACTCTGTTCATGAACTCATCTGGTATGACAAGCATCTGGTATGACAAGCATACGTTGCTGGTGACCAAGTCTCACCAACCGATGATTAAGTCATCTGGTATGACAAGCATCTGGTATGACAAGCATCTGGTATGACAAGCATACGTTGCTGGTGACCAAGTCTCACCAACCAATTATTAAGTCATCTGGTATGACAAGCGTATGTTGCTGGTGACCAAGTCTGACCACCTGATTATTAAGTCATCTGGTATGACAAGCATCTGGCATGACAAGCATACGTTGCTGGTGACCAAGTCTCACCAACCAATTATTAAGTCATCTGGTATGACAAGCATCTGGTATGACAAGCGTATGTTGCTGGTGACCAAGTCTGACCACCTGATTATTAAGTCATCTGGTATGACAAGCATACGTTGCTGGTGACCAAGTCTCACCAACCAATTATTAAGTCATCTGGTATGACAAGCATCTGGTATGACAAGCGTATGTTGCTGGTGACCAAGTCTGACCACCTGATTATTAAGTCATCTGGTATGACAAGCATCTGGCATGACAAGCATACGTTGCTGGTGTCCAAGTCTCACCACCCGATTATTAAATCATCTGGTATGACAAGCATCTGGCATGACAAGCATACGTTGCTGGTGACCAAGTCTCACCACCCGATTATTAAGTCATCTGGTATGACAAGCATCTGGCATGACAAGCATACGTTGCTGGTGACCAAGTCTCACCACCCGATTATTAAGTCATCTGGTATGACAAGCATCTGGCATGACAAGCGTATGTTGCTGGTGACGAAGTCTGACCACCTGATTATTAAGTCATCTGGCATGACAAGCATACGTTGCTGGTGACCAAGTCTCACCACCCGATTATTAAGTCATCTGGTATGACAAGCATCTGGCATGACAAGCATAAGCTGCTGGTGACCAAGTCTCACCACCCGATTATTAAGTCATCTGGTATGACAAGCATCTGGCATGACAAGCGTATGTTGCTGGTGACGAAGTCTGACCACCTGATTATTAAGTCATCTGGCATGACAAGCATACGTTGCTGGTGACCAAGTCTCACCACCCGATTATTAAGTCATCTGGTATGACAAGCATCTGGCATGACAAGCATACGTTGCTGGTGACCAAGTTTCACCTGGAATCCCCTCTGGCTGTCTTGATATTATTGACAATTCTACCATAATACTTGTATATCCACTGAATTACATACAACATTCATTATATAACGTGACACACAATACACAGTGATACACATCAGAAAAATCATGTTCAGTGCAGCTTTTGATATTGATTTAAAGGCTAAAATCTATTGTTTTATATTTTTATCAACATGTAATCTGAGCATGCTGACTGGCTCACTACAGTTGACCTTTCTGACATGGCTAGATTAATAGGTACTGGGAGATCAGATTTAACACTGGGGGTAAATTTCAATACACGTCTAACATAAATCTATTGTGTTTTGAATATTGAGATTTGAAACCTCTGAAATTAATTTGAAACCAATTGAGTCAGTGTGAGGTTTCAAATGGATTGCAATACACTTTCATGAACAACATAATCAATTAAAGTCCTCTAAATAACCATGGTAACAAATACAATGAAATAGGATTGCCTGGATCCTGGAAGCACAAACACAGCAATGTTTTCACATAGACCATTACAAATACTGTAATCAAGATATACTGAAGGGGATCACATCAATGATGGGTATATTGGATGATATTTTGATATGAATTGACTGGCAGCAGGGCATGCATTACAACATGTAGGTAGGACTCGCCTCAAATCATACAAAAAATATGAAAGAGGAATAAACACAACAAACAAATAGATAATACTCTTGAATTCCAGTTCATCAAGAGAAAACATTTTTCCAAGCTAGGCTATTTCACAGGGAGGTTCCTTCAGACACAATCAGGTTTGTCTTAACAAGATTAATTGTAAAAAGTATTTAAATCAAACCATTTCTGCAAATAGTTTAAAATGTTTAAGATGGGTGAAATATGGTACAAAAAGGAATATTAATATTTATCAGTTGGATAAGCAATGATTTGATAACTGTTTACTTTTCTGCATTTAAAAATTAATTTTTAATGTGACCACCATTTACAAATCACATATTGTATTCACGAAATTATAATATTATGAACCATGTACATGGTTTATCCCACAGGTTCCAGCCTCTACAACCAGCATGTATTCAGGCTCAAAAGAGTAACGTAGTATGTACTTTGAGTTAAACATGTTAAACATTTCACTGACAAAAACAAAATCAGTTTAAGCACGAATTGACAAAAAGTGAAAGAAAATATTAACAAACAAGATTTACTGTGACCATTGATATTAATAATTATATGTTGGAATCATCCACAACATTTACACAAAAATCTGTCTGTATTCTTTGATATGTCTCTGACACATGGGACACAGTCCATTTTCTTCTCTCAGCCGCTGGACACAGGTCAGGCAAAGATGGGTGTGGCCGCACGGAAACACAGCAACGTTCCGTTCTCTGTCCAAACATATTACACACAGAGTGGTATCGATATTCTCCTCTGCCCTAGGTGGTGCCGCACCATCGTACAGTTCCCGTTCCGTGTTCCGAACATTGTCATCACGCATTCTTGTTCTATCTGCTTCTTCTTGGGAGTTGGCTTCATTTTCATTCTCGCGATTCTCGGCTTCAAGTTGTTGGGTGTCATCATTTGCATCATCAGGAATATCCCCAGCCACAATTTCTTGTGCTTGTGGACGTTGAATAGTCTCTGCCCTGATTTCCTGAGCTTGTGGCCGTTGAACTTCGCGCAGCCTGTCTGTTTGATTTTGATTTCCACTTGCTCTGTCGTTTGCATTTATTCGTTCTCCCACTACTCTCCCTATGCGCTGTCGTGCATTTTCATTATCATTACGTGGGCGTCCTTCTGGTTCGTTCCTACGATTTTCCCTCGGAGTTCTATTATTTTGTGTTCTAACATTCTGTCTGTTATCCTGGTTTTCTGGAGTTTGTTCTGGAGTCTTAGACCTGAAAAAATATCCTTTATGATCAAAGTATAAATACACTGAACACAGTAAGAACAGCCAGCTTAGCGTGTTTGTTGTCTTGTCTCCCATTCCAAATATTCCTCGAATGAGCTGTGTCAAAATCCAGAACAGGAACGAGAGGAGGGAGGAAAATGTCTTGAACAAATATGGCACAAACTGCAGTATGCTTGATAAAACATACGTAACAATGTTTATCACAAATAAAATAATGATGTATGCGAGTTTTAGGATAAATTCTGCCAATGCTACAATAAAGTCAAAGGTGTAGCGGAGACCTGACGTCAGATTGGGAGGCATAGCGTAGTATATCTTCAATGTCACACAAACGCAACCAGCCACTGAAATCAGGAAAGATCCTGCAACCAATGTAAACAACATGGCTTGCACGCGGTATATTCAATTGCCATTGTCAGTTTTTTTTATCAAAATCCCTGATTAAGCCAGATCTGATGCCTATTTGAACACAGCGCAATTTATGCTATCAAGCCGGCACCATTTTACTGCAAAAGGTCTTCTTGACATGTATAAATAGATGCATCCCTTAGCTTCTTTCGATACACGGAATTCCCTTCCGGTTATGTCATTCTCTTAATGTTTTCCTTACAACTACTTACATAAATTCAACCATAAATGTTGAGATTTCAATCAAGTATCATATAGAAGTTTATTATCTGTCCGAACTGTATAAGAAAAGACAGGATTGCGTTATTGTAAGTCAATTGAGCTTCTGTTTCACGTCTAAGTCATTTGTTCATCCCATGAAATTCTTAAAGCATAATAAGTTGTATCTGATAGAATTTCTTTTCGAAACCGGAAACAAGTGCCCGTGCTCTAGAAAAATGGCGTCGTGTCAGCGTACTTGCAGGTTCTGTTCAAGTGTTTATCATTTTTTCAATAAACGGAAACAGAACTTATGAAATTCAGAAGATAATTGCTAACACGTGTTACAAAGATGGTCACTGTGGAAGCAGTATCTCAGGGATTTTGTACATTTTGTTCAACGATGTCCCAGACCGTAGCAACGATCTGTGAAATTGTCAGTTATGTTGTGTATACAAACTACCAAGTTATGTCGACGGTGTGTCATTACGCATCGTTGATTGTCACAACACTTGCCTGGGCGTTAGAGAGGATCGTCTGTGCAACAATGGACGTAGGACATCACATCTTTGACTTCGCAACAGATTTGTTTGGGTGTTTCTGCACTCTCTGTGCCCTTATTTGGAGAATATTATTGTTGTTGTACAAAGTTGTTTGTTTTGTTTTGACTGGAATTGAAACAATTGCAGTGTGCATATGGACTGGAAGCTATGTGACTTTAACAACCTTAAAGCATTCTGCAACAGATGTCATTGAAACGTGTGGATCTACATGGAACTATGGTATTGACATGTCGAGAAACTTTGTTGACACTGTCGTTGGCGGTTTCTCAATGATTGGAACTTTGACAGTATCTATTGTCAAAGGTGTCTTCAGTGGCCTTGGGTATGGGTTTGCATCCTTGCTTGAGTGTGTGTGGAAACTTGGAGACAAATTGTGCAATGCCTGGGACAATGTGACAACAAATCTCTCAGAAACGTTTACGTTCTCAAAGGAAGTGTACCTGGGTATTCTGTTGTGTTGTATGTTTTATGTCATCGTATCCGAGCTGATCAAGTTTTTTCAGAACAGAGGTTTTTCATTTTTGAGTTGGTGGCGACGAGGAGTGAGAAGACAGCACCGAAGGGCACACAATATATTTGATATTGACAATGACTTTGAGAGTGACTTTGATTTTGATGATCAAGACTATGAAAGTGAAGAGAATGAGTATGTCAGTGATGACAATGAAACATTGACAGGAGGTAGTGATGATGAAGATGGGAGTGATGAAGATTCGGATGATGATGATGAAGATGATGATGAGAGTGAAGGGTCTTTGAATTCTCAAACTTTTTCCTCAGATGATAGTGACCATGAAATTGAAGTCCAGCTCCCTAGTCCAGCTGAGAGGTACAGTTTACGGAGTCGATCTTCCACACCAAGCAGGGCACAGAAGCTGGAAATGAGTACCCATGAGTATGAAATTGAAATTGAACGAGAGAAAGACAAGAGGAAATGTGTTGTATGTCAAGATCAGACGAAGTCAGTTCTCATTTTGCCATGTCGGCATATGTGCTTGTGTGTAGACTGTGCAAATCGAATTGTCCGATCTCGATTGATAGAAAGACGTGTTTGCCCATTATGCAGACAAAGAATTCAAAAGGTTATGGATGTATTTGTGTGATAGAGAGCTTGATAATTGTAACCATGCTACCTGTGAATGAATCTTTTGAAAGGTTTCATACTCTTCACTTTTGAAATATGCTGATTCAGGTTTACAAATTATGATGTGATATGTCCACTAGTCTGAGACGAGTAAAATAAGAAGGGAATAGTGACATTTCCTTGTAAACTTCTACTTTCCCATAAGGTAGATGAAACTTTGTAGAATATTATCATTTTGCGCCAAGAAAAATAAGATAATTTTACTACCTTGACAACATGGTACATGTACTGATTGCCTGTCATAAGCAAAAGCTTAGTCATCTTAGCATGCTTAGTGCTATTACCATTTCATTGAATATCATGTCACAATACCTTGTATAACTACTGCCAACAATAACTTATGTGTCATGTAGTTCGTAGATATATCCTGTATATATATCATTATTTATGTGTCTGTACACAGTTGTAGTAAGGGTCATCTGTAAATACAATGCAGAGCCTATGGTGTAACCATGGTAACAGTGCTACCAAATTTATTGACAATAGACTGCAACACAGTCAGATCATTTTTTGTTTCATAAACAGTTTCATTCCACTCAAATCAGGAGCAAGTTATGTTTGTGTACATGATGTATGCTATGTTTTGATTATTTCTCGTTTTTCATCATGTTCGGCTAGATTATTGTTTGGGGCTATCACATAATCAAGATAATGGTCAGTGTAATTGATGTTATAAAGCATGCAATCCAATTAACTTGGTACCACAATACGAGAAATATGCAAATGAGGTCATCTAGTAGGAACAACTTGTCGTAAGAACTGTTCATGTACATCTGATGCCCACTGGGGGCGGTCGGGTAGCCTAGTGGTTAAAGCGTTCGCTCGTCACGCCGAAGACCCAGGTTCGATTCCTGACATGGGTACAATGTGTGAAGCCCGTTTCTGGTGTCCCCCGCCGTGATATTGCTGGAATATTGCTAAAAGCGGCGTAAAACCATACTCACTCACTGATGCCCACTGGCTCCAAAACCTTTGCATACAGATTCCGAAAACTTTAGGTATGGTTTCCCGATGTTTGAGTGCATATGTAAATGAACATAGCTGGAAATCATTTGGTGCTGTATTATAAATAGGGCAGTCATTGTCTTCCTGTTATATTAGTGAATGAAAATATGTCTTAATATTTGATTATTTTAAGATTGACAAAGATATTATTTACCTTGTGTGTTTCTCTGTCATAAATATAGATTAGGAATATAACATATGTGTTAAGCTTTACAAATGCACGCATATATTCATGGTTTAATGATACGGTTCTACAGTACTGTATTGCGATAGGAGGCCCATGATACAATACATCGAGATACAACCCTTATATCATCATATGCAAGTGATGTTTAAATAGTTGTCATGATTAACGTGATTAATGTGTATATTTGTCAACTACTCTCCATATTGATTACACAGTAATATATCAGAATACAATGGTGTTTTAGCTGAATATCCACATTGTTTATATGCAGTTAGCTAGCTTCCTAGGGACTCTGGTGAACTATATCATGTGTATAAAAAGAATCCAGAGTACTTCGGTATGTTAATCCTCACACTGCCAGCACCATACCCAGTACAGCTGAGTATCACCTGGTATCTTGCGAAACGATTCGTATCACGATATGGACTGACGATACTACTGATATCACGATACACCACATCAAATAGTAAGAAATGATGAAATCACTGAAATTCAGCTCTAAAACTCTTTCTTCATACATTTATTTATTTCCACCTCATAAGCTTTAACAAAGAAAACCGCATGAACAAAGCAGTTTTATTTAAAAGGATGGCTATGAAATGTAACAGATAGTCGGCATTTCCTCAGCCACCATGTCCCTATGCTCTGCCATTTTTAGAGGTGGCACAATGCCACTTCTGCCATTATGGGAGGTAACTCTATTAATTCCTGTTCTATTTATAGCATATTTTGATCTCACAAACTGACGATTCAAGTATCTTGTGTACATAAGTATTGATGATATAGGCATCGGTGAATTGTTACAGCCCGAAATTCCAACATCATTATAGTGGGTTTCAAGGTGGATTTTCCCTTTAGCATGTTTAGTAAAACTGGTATTGGTATTTAAACCAACATTAAACCCCAAATCTCATAGCTTTGATGAGTGCTATTCAGTTTTATAAAGATAATAAGTTTCAAACCTATGCTTATGCTCTCAGGTATACGGCAGTTCCTTCATCAGTGTTCATTGATGTATTGATTGCTCTGAAGGGTTATGATTGACTATGATTGAAGGTTATCATTCAGAGCATCTGTGATATTTGTGGTAGAATTATCATTAGTTATCAAGGTTATGATACACTTTATTAGCATAATTAGTAGTAGTGGGGCGATACACCGATGCATCGGTCGATCGCAATTTTTGCTTCTCAATCAGGTATCGATCACATTCGCACACAAAGTATCGTTTCTAACCTTAAATGTATTCACACTGTCAATCTATGAACAGAGGCCTCATCTTAGATAAACATGTAAACAGAATATGAGACCTTTTAACAACCCAAGAGAAATGAAAATGATCAAAGCAAAAACAAAGGACTAGATGTCCATGAGGATTTATGATATTAAATTTTGAAACATATGTCAGTTGAAAGTAGTCTGTACCAAAAAAGGGGGCTTAGGTGTCCAAGTGTTCCAGAGCAATTCATTCTTCAGAATTGTGTCCCTTGTTTTTTGTCGCTGATATTGGGTTTGAATCCAATTGTGATGCTTGGTTTGTCAGCACAGTACCTGTGCTTGTTGGTTCACCAAAGTGGTAAACGTCTGGGCTTTCCTTCACATGAAGCTGAGATGCCCTGATATGACTGATATACTGTTAAACCAGCTCACTCTCTCACTGCAATAAAACCTTATTGACTGGTAGTCTGGACTTGTCCTTTGGCATGATTTCCATAAGACTAAATGGCCTATATTTTACAACATAATCGTCTATGTTATATAGTCAGCATATAGAGCTCACCAAGTCCTGTTGCTTAGTCAGTGTAATAATAATATGGTCAGTTCAAATTAAGTACTTGTTTTCAAGAAGCACCTGTCATTTTTTAGCCATTTTCTAAAAAAGACAAATATATTCTAAGGAGGAGTAATAAAGTCTATTATAAATTTTATGTCAAAATTTACGATTCCATTGACATTTTTTACAATATTTGTTCTTACTACTACTACACCTTGTACACCAAGGACTTCACCAGAAGGAAAAGTGCAGCTTTTCATTCTCTAAAACAGGTGCCTGTTATGCACAAAAAAGGGCTAAAAATATGACTATGCCCAGTCCAGTAATATATTTGTCCCTGATCTTTTTTTTCACATTAAAAAAACCCAATTTAGTTTGTATGGTCTAATTTAGTTGTATTATGCTAGTGATGAGCTGTGTTTGTGTCGTAATGATTAGTATGATCACTGCCAATACAAGCTGATTGTCATGAATTGGTTTGCTCTCTTGTACATATAAGGGACCACTTTGTGGTATGGTTGTCATGACAACTGCTATGACCCTTTTCATGCTTTTAAAGTTTACACTGAATATGGTATGCTTATGATAATGTGTGAAATTATGTTACCATGATCAGTTTGGTGCAACTGTTATTGAAATCACTTTCATGTAAGGTTTATGGATGTGCATTTTGGTGACACAACTGTTTGAAATACACATAATTAGTTATACTTTGTTGCTTGTTTTTTGTTTCAAAGATTCGTTCCAGGAGGTCTGGACACGCCCCTTTTGAAAACCAAATGTGGTATGTTGTAGGCAGTAACATTATCTAGAGGGGATTTTGATACTTTGGACCTCCCCTTTTGAAAATGCTGGAACTGCCCTTGCAGTTCTTGTCTGAGTTATGGTCCTAAACCAGTTTCAGTCATCAAGCTGATCAACTTCTTACTACCCAACTTTTTTTGTGACCAGACAAAATCATCAATATGTTTATAAAAATATGGAAACAAAAAATGGTTCCCTGCACAAGCGTTTCGCAGAGTTGTCTTCACACCTGCTTTAATTATGCCTTACAGATTCCTAGATATAAAACTCCATAAGCTAGCCATACTCCTAAACATGTGACATGCATAACTGGGCCCCTGAAGAGAATAGGTCTTCAGCAACCCATGCTTGCTGAAGGGGTCAGGTGGTCAGACTCGCTGACTTGGTTGATGGATGTCATGTATCCCAATTGCCTTGATTGATGCTTATGACGTACATCACTGGATTGTGTGATCCAGACTGGATTACAGACTGCGTCATATAGCTGGAATATTGCGGAGTGCTACGTCAATAAAGAAAGAAACAAACAAACAAATCATCAGTTGTCATAAAAAACGATAGTTATAGAAGCGATTACTCAGTATACAACTGGTCCGACGACATATTCAATCAATATGCTCCGTTGATACAGGAAAATATATACAACTCTAAAGAAGTTCAAATGCAACTAAAGTGAAAAAAATGACTGTGAATACCAATTTTCCAAGAAACATTTAGTAAATTTCCAATAGAAACAAATTCATGATATTTGTAGAAACTATTTTAATGTCCAAGCATAACCAAACTGTTGTTGCCTGGGAAATTATCACCTGTTGTGCAATGTTGGCCAACTCGGCCTGCAGTGCATGTGCAAGCTATTGCAGCGTCTGCAGTTCTGTCTTGTTAAGACCGCCTCCATGGTCTTGTGGTAGAACGTCCACCCAGAGGAAAGCGGAAGGTCGGAGGTTTGATCCTGTCTGCGTCATACCAAAAGACGTCAAAAGATGGCAGTTGTTGTTACCCTGTCTGGCACTAGGCATTAAGGGGACTGGTCGGCTCGGAGTCAGTATTCATGTTAAACTGCGGAATGGTATCTCAGTGGGCTAGCACTTTGAATCGGCATCTGTCTGGACTAGCACACACACACAAAAAAGGGTGGTTGGGTAGCCTAGTGGTTAAAGCGTTCGCTCGTCACGCCGAAGACCTGAGTTCGATTCCCGACATGGGTACAATGTGTGAAGCCCATGACTGGTGACCCCCCCCCCGTGATATTGCTGGAATATTGCTAAAAGCGGCGTAAAACCAAACTCACTTACTCCACTCTATCTGGTTAAAATCAGGCCACGGGAGGACATTGTGGTGCAGTAGCAATGCTGCTGTTACACAGTCTAATATTGCCTTATTGAAAGACGACCCTGCCTGGCGTTTGGCATTCAGAGGATAAAACATGAACTGGTCATGAACAAGTCCGAATATTGCCTGAGTGGGCTTTCTAAGTGTGCTAGCACTACAAGCAGACGGACAGACGCGCGCGCGCACGCACGCACGCACGCACACACAGGTGCATGCACGTTGGTGAGAGAGGTGCATGCACGTTGTATTTTATCCAACATTAGTACTCTGTCACCGTCGAACCAGTTTGCCATTGTCGGTGAGGCCTGTAATCCGCCAACTTGCCACCAATGACGTCGCGGAAGGATACGCTCACTTTATATTATATGTTTGGAACCAAATGCCAGATCATTAATCCTCGACATATCGTATATGTGCAAATGTCTTTCAAAATATATATATAATATATACTCCCCAAACAAAACGCATATGTGGTTTTCAAAAGAATTTTACAAGGCTTAATAACCGATACCTGGAACATGTGTGTGTTTGTAAGATTACAAGCTGAAATAGAGTTCAACAAACGTTAACGGTGAAGTCGTAACATGTACCAGTTACGTCACTATCTCAAGCACGGAAGTCGAAAAGTCAAGTATCGTGTGTCTATCACTGGCCAGAATGACCGCACGACACCTCTGCCGCAGAACCAAGTAGCCTGCAGATGTCACCATGTCGAAGAGCTTGCATTGGCTAATTGCTACCGATGCTGTGGCCTGTAGGCGTTAAGTGAAATTTATAACTCATCCAACAGATCAAATTCGGCGACCTTGACGACCATGGCAGTACGTTTATGTCCTCACCACGACAACGCCCCGGGGAGGAACAAGATGTGTCTCCGGCTACAAGAGATGGCTCCCCACATCATGACACTTCCTCCACAGAATCAGTGGACTTCATGTATACGCTCCAGCATGATAACTGAGTCTTGGCATGGCGATTTTCAAAATTCACGTCGTTTAACTGGATTATTTGTGGAAACAACATGGGTCATAAACTTGCCTAAGACACCCGTGACAAATTCCATGACTTGCACGGGAAAAGCGCTTTTCATTTTCCCAAATAAATGTCAAAGGCAAGAACACAACGAACACGTAGACTTTATTCTCATGTAGCAGTGCCAAATGGAATGCTTTCACTCCACCAAATTTAGTGTTGTTACCACCTCTGCGTTTCTTTTCACCTACGTTTTTTAGGAACATATATGTTATTGATTCTACTTGATGACCAACATGTCTTGTCAGTTGCTGTCAGAGTCTTTATTAACCACTCGCGCAAATATAATGCAGATATAAAAAGAAAATCAAGAGAGTTCCACCTTTGGAAAATGATAGCCTAAAACGAAATATGATTTTTAAACAAATATAAATTGGCATTTTTGGCATCTCTCCTACAGTTTATTTTGAAGATTATGGAGCACATTTATGAGATCTTTCCCAACACAATTGTAAGTGTTATCGTTTTGAAAAATGAGAAACGGTTGCTATGGCAACTATCTGAAAAACGGTATCTGGATCTGTGTTCACTTCATAGGCCAGATTCTTTATAACTTCTTCTGTACAAAATAATGTTGATAACAGTTTTGGCTCATATTGAATGTCAAGTTAATTACTTGTGAAGTACACTCGTGAAGTTCCGGGTTAGAATAGGTCTTCAGCAACCCATGCTTGTCGTAAGAGGCAACTAACGGGATCGGGTGGTCAGGCTCGCTGACTTGGTTGATGCATGTCATCGTATCCCAATTCCCTTGATATATGCTCATAATATCAATCACCGGCTTGTCTGGTCCAGCCTCGATTATTAACAGACCGCCGTCATATAGCCGGAATATTGCTGAATGCGGCGTTAAACAACAAATACACAAACAAAACTTGTGAATTAGAACTTTGGGGATTCCGGGTGGCAGTATACTTATGATTGTTGTAAGAGGCTACTAAGTATATCAGGTGCTCGCTGACTTGGTTTACTGCATGCGATGCGGATGTCAACCACTGGATTGTCTGGTCTAGATTCGATTATTTATAGACCGCCGTCACCTTGCAGAAATATTGCGTAAACAACAAACACACAATCGCGTGAAGTATGTTTTAACGCAATGATTTCTTTCATTAACTTTAAAAGCATTAGCTTACCCAACTTTACCGTACACATGTGCATGCTGTTAGGTGTTACTGTCATTATCTCTCCCAACACTGCTGATAACAACCAGTTCACAAACTGTGCCTGTTGAGAGGACGATCAAGCGTTTAGTATCAAATTGTATCTGAGTTCACCGTTAAGATACAGGGTCTGGGCACCGTTCCACAAAGCGATTTTAGCGCTATGATTGTCGTAAACCAGTGTTAAAGTATGGGAGTTACGATCACCTTAGCGCTAAGATGGCTTTGTGGAACGGGGCCATGATCACTAAGATCCACTTGTAACGTACACCCGTTAAGATCCGGGGTAGAATAGGTCTTCAACAACTCCTGCTTGCCGTAAAGGCGACTATGCTTGTCGTAAGAGGCGACTAACGGGGTCGGGTGGCCAGGCTCGATGACTTGGTTGATGCATGTCATCGTATCCCAGTTCGATGATCGATGCTCATGATGTCGTGGACTGGATTGTCTGTTCTAGACTCCATTATTAACAGACCGCCGTCATGAAGCTTGAATATTGCTGCGTGCGGCGTTAAACAACAAACAAACAAACATAAGATGTGTACATGAAGACGCTAGTATCACCTACATGACCTGAGAGACGGAAGCGAGAGATAATACATACATGCACATGATCCATATTTTACAAAGAAAAAGCCCCGATATTCTGTTATCCGTATAATATTATGTTCACGCCATATTTAATTACTGGAGAGACCTTGTTTTTGTAGTTTCATCGACCCTCCCGTCAAGGTAAGACGTTCTCCTCGATGTAATTTATGCTGCATGTACAAACAATTAAAATCTCAACAACACTGTCTATCGAACAGTCTCTTATTAATATTCTGGTCCCGGAAGGGGCGGTCGGGTAGCCTAGTGGTTAAAGCGTTAGCTCGTCACGCCGAAGACCCGGGTTCGATTCCCGACATGGGTACAATGTGTGAAGCCCATTTCTGGTGTCCCCCGCCGTGATATTGCTGGTATATTGCTAAAAGCGGCGTAAAACCTCACTCACTCACTCACTCTGGTCCCGGACACGAAAAAATAAGACCGTGTGTGCAACTCAAGGGAGGTAACTGCTGTTGAATACTGACAACAAATTTATGCACGATTTTTTATATTTTTTACTTTGTATATATAGTTCAAGATATAGATCGGGTTATCTGCATGGTAACGTTTACCTCAAAGATGTTCACACAAGCTTGTTTGCTGTCAATATCGAGTGCACGCATTTTAGTTATCTGTGTCGTCTGCTTCGTCACTGTTAACATTAATGCAAATGTCAAGGTGACGGTGCATATATACTCTTAACAGAGGCCTTGGCTGAGTATTTCCAGTCCGCTGTTCACATACATCAGTGGTGGCGGGTCTGCGAGAGCTGCTCGTGGAAGACGTAGTGTTTGGGAATCAATTCATCTAGAAACAAGAAGATGGTCCCGTAGTTGTATTATCGCAGGAAGCCAAAGCAGACGACAAGCAGACGAGACAAGTGGACTTGTTTGTTGAACCATCCCAGCAAAATCTTTTTCCGAGACATTTTTTTATAATAACTGACACCTGTGTCCAACGTATATAAGTTCGTGTTTAAGCCTTCGGTTTAAGCTGTTTGGTGTTCTTGCGAACAGAACCATTCCTGCTTTGATTACATTTTGTAATCATTGAATAATACATCACGTAATATATTTTTGGTGAAAACGTGGAAAGTGAATCTTGGAACTAGTAACGATGGCGCTTGAACTGCACGTGGAGGATATAATTGTCCTCGTTGTATATTTCATACTGGTCATGGCTGTTGGATTGTGGGTAAGAATTGAACTGTGACAACTTTATATTTTCCCTGCTGGGCAGTGGGGTAGCCTAGTGGTTCAAGCGTTCGCTCGTCATGCCGAAGTCCCGGTTTCTATTCCCTACATGGGTACAATGTGTGAAGCCAATTTGTGGTGTCCCCCGCCGTGATATTGCTGGAATATTGCTAAAATCGGCGTAAAACCATACTCACTCACCATCGACCATGGGGGATTTCTGTAATCTGGCGCCATCAGTTTCAGGAAAGGTATAAACTGAGTGACCTTTGAACAAATGTAGATAAAATGTGATATCATACGCATCATTCGACTAACATGCATGGGTTGGTGGGGACCTATTCTACCCCGGGTGAATTTCTCATAATTACTAGTAATTAAACAGTCATGAGTCTGTTGTTTTGTGAGGTCAAGGCCACAGGAAGCGCATTGTTCCCGTACAATGCATAACATCAGATTGCTGGTGTCTTATGACCTGAAGATGTCGTAACACTTAGTTCATTTAATAACGACTCTGTTGTACTTATATTCAGAAAACAGGAATGCATGTGTGATAATATCCCTTTGAACTAGATTTGCATTCCAGCCTCGATTATATAGGGTATTTTATTTTGATAAATATCCTGGACCCATTCGCCACTATAGTTCGTCAAATAAACGATATCATCCCCTCCGTATGTCTTGTCAGTAGCGTCACACAGAATTTCTCTCGCTCATGAGTGCAATTTGATTGGACGAAACCTTTTATCGAAGCTTAATTTGTATCCGACTCAAATCGAAGCTGTTGTAGTACCTGGTTCCAGGGTATGATTCATGATAGAATGGAGATATGATGACAAGGATAACGTAGAGGATCTCTGGCGTCCATTTTTCACTATGTGAATCGAGGTGTGTCATGGGTGTGTTTTTGACTTGAAATCCAGTGCTCTGCCAATGACTAGGTTAATTCTCCAGTCTATATCTCAAACAGTACCATGAAAACAGAGCTTCTTTTTTAACAAGGGATAGAGATTTAAAATTGTTAATTTAAAAATGTAAATATTTGCGCTCGTAAATAAATATTTACTTCTCAGTGTCCTACCCTATATGTCTGCTTTCAGTCATCATGCACGACCAACACCGGCAGTGTCAAAGGTTACTTCATGGCGGGAAGGGACATGATATGGATCCCCGTAAGTTTGAACGTTCCATGTATACAAGTACACAACACACACGCTTTTGTCAGCGTTGCACTGAATATGTTATTTCGGGCATCAGTTTGTTCTCTGCTGAAGACATTCTTATGTTTATAGATAGATAAGTTTATCTGAGTAGCACTGTAAGCAACAGGCCCGTGGATACAGAAGCGGTTGAAGAATCTACAACGATAAATGTCTTTGTGACATTGCATGATCTATAAACAGTGAAAGGTTACAAATTATCGTGTTGTTGGAAGTAAATTTATGTTTATTTGGATGTACTCTCGAACCCCGTTATCTCGTTCTTAGCCGGACCGTGTTGTAACTTGGACATATCCGGCCATTCGAGATAACAAGACAAGAACATCCAGACAGATCAAGTAACAATCATATAGACACATAGCAATACGATTACATACAGAAGAAATTAAGAACAACACATATATCAGGGGTGTGAAATCTCCGCGGAAGCGCGGAAAATCGCTTTTTTTAAACAGTAGTCCTCGGAAAAAATCATCTTCCGCGTAAAAATATAATCAAAGATTTAAAAAAAAACACTCTGAAAAATATGATCGAAAACCGGACAACCGTCGCGGATTGTTCTGTTTTCGACCAGAGCTTTCAGCAGCATAGGTTTTCGGGTATCATACGTTTTCTATCACGAATACTTGCACTATAACGTGGGGTGTGGCGTCACACAGAAATTGTAAATACTCTGAGTCAGATGATGGCTTGTTTTTAAGATAAATTTGTCTTTTAGCCTGTGAATGAGTGAATGAGATGATTTACAGTTGTTCATGTGATAAGCGAGAAAACTATGGATGTTTCTTCAGCGTCCAAAAACCCATAACATTGGGATATAATATTATATGTTATATTAATGTCTTATGTTTGCAATGGAGTTTTGGCTTTTTTTCAACAAAAGGTAAGTAAGTACAGAGACCATATGGTCTCTGGTAAGTACAAGGTAAATTTTTTTCAATATGCTTCAACATGGGGAAAGGGTCAGACATTGCACGCTTGTGACAGTTGTCCTTGTGTCTGGGGGATGGGGGGTTGAAGTTTATGGCAGTATTGCTCCCAGACCTGGCGGGTAGCCAGGTGCGCGGAAGCTACGCCCAATTTTTTAAAAGTACTGATTTAACTTCGAAATTTTACTGCATCTGCCATCTTGTTTTTTTTACTTATTGACTTTTGCCATTGACTTATTACATTTCTTGGTGTGAATAATGTCCAAACTGCACGAAATTGCTTAAAATGCAATCAAATGTTTAAAAAATTTCTGGGCCCCCCTAGACTTTTCCTCTTTTTTCAGGAAAACCTGCTCACATCCCTGATATATGCGGTGACAAACTGAAAACCCAAAATATTGTCGTTCCATACTTATTTTCTGATTTCATTATTTGCAGCAAACTAACAAAAACTGATTTTCATCTCAAACCTTGTTCAAAGAATAAATTGAGTACATCATTTTAAACCCCGAGGTATATTTATGTCTGCCACCTTCATTAATCTATGGCGCTTCTTCTTCTTGCGCTGAAGACATTCTCCATGTTTGTTCAACTCCTATTTAGGTGGGCGCCTCCATCTACGCCACCAATTTTGGCAGCCATTTTTTTGTGGGGATGGCGGGATCGGCGGCCGCGGGGGGCATCGGAGTCACCATCTACGAGTGGCACGTAAGTACATGGACTGACATTTAAAAGCGAAACATGCATTAACCTAATTTGTTTTTGTATTGAAGTCCATCTGAGTTAAAAGATAAGTTGTTAAAAATATATGAGGTGATACGGTTTTTATAGCCTGGCATATCTGGGTTGTGGCCATGGTTATACGTGTGACGTATATATTAGTATTGACTTGAGTTTGTTGAGTCATCTTGGCGTCCAGTGATAATTGACCTTATTCCTCAGCATTGAGTGTTACTCCAATATACATCTATCATGTCGCAATGGCTGTTGTAGGGGAATGGGGATACAAGCTTCTATCCCATCCACCAGATCTGGGCGCGAGTGACTTTAAGCCGTTTTCAATTTTGAAAAAACAACCCAAACACTTAAGTGGTTAGAGACTTAACGAGGAGCAACAATTGATGCTGCTGTGGAGGGCTGGTTGAAAGACCAAGGCTTGACATTGTACAACACAGGGATAATTGTCACGGGCCCGTTCAACAAAGCGATTTAAGCGCTAATCTGATCGTAACTCTCATACTTTATCAGACACTTACGACAGTCTTAGAGCCATGATGGCTTTGTGGAACTGGCTCATGGCAATTATCCCTGTTTTGTACAAGACCCCGAAGAGAAGAGATGGAACAAGTGTATTTGATCTGCACGGGGCTATGGTGAAATAATAGTAAATGATCACGACATTAATTCATTTCTATTAATAGTCATCTCTCAAACTCGATATTTGGTTTCCTTGCACCAAAGTTATTATTGCTGTAAGATTGCCAAAAAAGCGTCAGCCATGAAGCTAGTTTGCGAAGCTATTGCACTTCCGGTCATAACAGGAAGTACATATTAAGAGTGTGGTAGCGTCCGGATTAGCGAGGTATCGCTGTATCTACTTTCTACTTCCAGGCTGTGTTTATGCTGTGTCTGCTTGGGTGGCTCTTCGTGCCGGTGTATGTCGCCTCGGGGGTAAGCGCTTACCACAGAACCTGTGTCCTCCCATATATCCACCTTAAACAGTGATGTTCAATGATGCTTTCAGAGAGTGAGTGAGTATGTTTTTACGCCGCTTTTAGCAATATTCCAGCAATATCACGGCCTGGGACACAAGAAATGGGTTTCACACTTTGTACCAATATGGGGAATCGAAACCGGGTCTTCGGCGTGACGAGCGAATGCTTTCACCACGAGGCTACCCGACCGCCCATGGTTCTCTGTAAGAAGGGTCGGTCGGGTAGCCTAGTGGTTAAAGCGTTCCCTCGTCACGCCAAAGACCCGGGTTCGATTTCCGACATGGGTACAATGTGTGAAGCCCATTTCTGGTGTCCCCCGCCGTGATATTGCTGGAATATTGCTAAAAGCGGCGTAAAACCATACTCACTCACTCACTACAGAGAACTATGAAAAACGTTTTGTTGTTAGGAAAACTAGTGGTGAATATCACCACTGTCGTGTCGATTTGCAATCAATTAAAGGTTGAACCTTTGTCACAATATAAAAGTACAATTTAATTATAGTTTTGGAAAGTGTTTGAATCTTGATTTTGGAAAGTAAAAGTCAGGACATAGGCTCGAACTTGAACAAAGTATATGTCTTTTTCAATCTGTTTATAACTTAACAGAATATTAAGGCATACGGTTATCTCCCTTTTCAGGCGTACACGATGCCGCAGTACCTGAAGAAGAGGTTCGGGGGACGACGTCTACGTATCTACCTCTCCTGTCTCGCCATCTTTCTTCTCATCGTACAGAAAATATCAGTGAGAATCTTCGTGCTCCTCCCCAGAATGTGTTTGTAGTTTAACGCCGCACGTTTTTACCAATGAAGCTGCTGTAAAAGGTGACTATGCTTGTTGTAAGAGGCGACTAAGGGGATCGGGTGGTCACGCTCGCTGACTTCGTTGATTAATGTCATCGTATCCCTATTGCGCGGATCGATGCTCATGATGCCAACACTGGATTGTCTGGTCCAGACTCGATTATTTACAGACCGCCGTCATATAGCTGGAATATTGCTGAGGGCGGCGTTAAACAACAAAAACAACCCAAACCCAAACCAATGAAGCGAATCGAACCTTGGGTCCATTCCACGAAGGTATCTTAAAAATTAGCGCTAAGAGATCGTAACTCTCATACTTTAACATAGACTTACGATTGTCGCAGTGCTACGATCGCTTATGAAACGGCGCCCTGGGTCTCGAGAAAAACCCTTTCCCTCTCCCACTTTGGAGTTTCCAGAAGCCCACTCATGCTTGTCGTAAGAGGTGACAAACTGTGGGCGAGACTCAGCATCATTACCCGACGTCGTGTGTCGTTCATAATCTCAATCACCGCCGTTGGGGACCAACCATTTCATATTGCAACTATGTAGTTTTTGTGGCAGGTATTATTTTTCAAAGGCCTGAAACATAATTATTTTCTTTCATGATTTCCAGGGAAAATGTTTAAAATCCAAGCCCATACCCCCTCAAGAATATCAAATGGTCGGTGGCTTATATACCTGGAATTTTGCTTTATGGTTATGATACAAATTAACCAATGCTCGTTCTCCCTGTCAGGTGGCCATGTATGCTGGAGCTGTCTTCATTCAGCAGTCCGTGGGCTGGGACATGTACTCGTCAATCGTCAGCGTTACCCTCATAACCGCTGTCTATACCATCATAGGTTGGTAGAAAAGCGCACTTTGCGGTCAGTGGTTGGTTGTTTTGCTGTCTTACGCCGCACTCAGCAATATTCCAGCAGTGAACTGTTTAATATTGCATTTTTCCGTCTAATCTTGATGAACAGTTCGGACTAGTCACATAAACCAATGCATCTATGGAGTTGGGCTACTTTGTAGCGCCAGCGCAGCGTACCCAGGGAACCAGGCTGCTTTGAAAATTTGGTCTGAATTTGACTCCCACTGTCAGTGATTTCACTCTCAGATACTGCGCAAAGAATTTTGAATGTGTATTATATTCTACCAAAGACTTACAGTAGTCCTGCCTTTTGCGCATGTCATTTAAAGGTCAAATGTCAAAGTTACTTATTCTCAGTATATATACATGTGTGTTGTTTTCTGCCATATCTTCGCTACAGACCCTGCTGTGAAAATGACCAGTCAAGACCACCGTATATTAATATATCGCCAATATTGCAATCACATGGCGACAAAGACACTCTAGAGATACCAAGATGTGCGAATGTAAATAATCCGCAGTTGTTTCTAATGCACGTGTAAACTATATAGAAGGTGGCATTATATACAGCCCCAGCAGTATATTTTCTGTATAAAATAATATGTCTTCTTCTCAGGCGGTTTGTCGGCGGTGATATGGACAGACGCTTTGCAGACGGTCATCATGGTGTTTGGGTCTCTTTGGCTGGTCGTGGCAGGTACGTCGGCAGTGTACACTGACGTCATGGTGTAAGTCACAGAGTATGTGCGTTATGTCAGTCGTAAGTCACAGAGTATGTGCGTTATGTCAGTCGTAAGTCACAGAGTATGTGCGTTATGTCAGTCTTAGTCACAGAGTATGTGCGTTATGTCAGTCTTAGTCACAGAGTATGTGCGTTATGTCAGTCGTAAGTCACAGAGTATTTGCGTTATGTCAGTCGTAAGTCACAGAGTATGTGCGTTATGTCAGTCGTAAGTCACAGAGTATGTGCGTTATGTCAGTCGTAAGTCACAGAGTATGTGCGTTATGTCAGTCGTAAGTCACAGAGTATGTGCGTTATGTCAGTCGTAAGTCACATAGTACGTGCGTTAGGTCAATCGTAAGTCACAGTGAATGTGCGTTATGTTAGTCGTAAGTCAGAGTATGTGCTCTAAGTAAATCTTAAGTCAGAGAGTATGTGCGTTAGGTCAGTCGTAATTTACTGAGAGTATGTGCGTTATGTCAGTCGTAAGTCACAGAGTATGTGCGTTAAGTCAGTCGTAAGTCACAGAGTATGTGCGTTAAGTCACTCGTAAGTCACAGAGTATGTGCGTTAAGTCACTCGTAAGTCACAGAGTATGTGCGTTAAGTCACTCGTAAGTCACAGAGTATGTGCGTTAAGTCACTCGTAAGTCACAGAGGATGTGTGTTAAGTCACTCGTAAGTCACAGAGGATGTGTATTAAGGGGTGGTAAGTCACAGAGTATGTGCGTTAAGTCACTTGTAAGTCATAGAGCACGGGTTACGTCAGTCGTAAGGATATTATCGCGTTGTGGGGCGAGGCCCATATGACTCGAGTCGCCACACCAAACAACAATATCCTGGTCCCAAACCAATGTCCCGTGGGGGGTGGTGAGAGAGGGGTAGAGGGTGCGGACACCTGCATGGCACCAGATCGTGGAACCTGCATTGTCATCCTTTCAGTTGATATCGAGTCAAATTTCCATGAGTCACGACTGCAAGGTGAGTGTTTAACCACAATGACAAAGCAAGTCGAGACAACATAACACTGTGTCAACATCCCCATCATGGAGGCCATACATACTGGTTACCGTTATGCATGAAAATGCTATAAAAAATCGTGATGTACTTTATCATAATATGATCTGTCTAGGTATATGTTGATGTATGGACTGGGCCTGCTATTGAGTATCTTTTTAGGAATAATAATTCTTTAGACAGTGAATCTAGGATTTTGAACGGGGTGTTGTTGGTTGGTTGTTGTTTAACGCCGCACCTAGAAATATTCCAGCTGTGTGACGGCAATCTGTGCATAATGGAGTATGGACCAGACAATCTAATGATTGACATCATGAGCATGCCGTAGGGCTACTAAAACTTTGTAAAACGTCAGTTAAGTAATTTTGTAAAGGCCCTTGGAATCAAATTTAGGCTTTTTTCTGTTGGGATCACGACACTAACCTAGGTGTTAGTGTTGATTAAAAGACAAGTGCGGTTTCACACCTTTGGTCGGAACACTTACGATGAAGGGGAGATAATTTACGAGGAGGTAACTATTCTAAGACAATAGTTCCGTCAAAGTGTTATGTTCACTGAAATGAAATTATCACATTTCTCATCTTCACAAAACTCAGTATTTCACACTGGAGAATAAAATGACATGATATTTCACTCGACACATGGGGCGGTCGGGTAGCCTGGTGGTTAAAGCGTTCGCTCGTCACGCCGAAGACGCTGGTTCGAATCCCGACATGGGCACACTGTGTGAAGCCCATTTCTGGTGTGATATTGCTGGAATATTGTTAAACGGCGTAAAACCACACTCACTCACTCGACACATGGAATACTCTCTACAGTTATGTTGCTGCAATACATGTATGTGTTGGTGATGGTGCTACACGTATTCCAGGCTTCCTCAACGTGGGCGGCATGGACGAGTTGTTCGAGAAGTACATGCACTCCGTCCCCAACGTCACCACATGCGGTAACACTACCAGCGGCTTCCCTCGCGCCGACTCCCTCCACATCTTCCGCGACGCCATCGACGGAGACATCCCGTGGCCCGGCGCCATCTTTGGCCTCACTTCCATGGCCATCTTGGCGTGGTGCACGGACCAGGTCAGTAACCTATTGGGTAGTGAGTGAGTAGATTGACGCCGCTTTGAACGGTATTTCAGTTATATCACGGCGTGTCAGCTTGATGCGGGATGAGAGCTACAAATTATGTCCCATACTAACGAGCACTGACACTCTATATAAACCTATACTGAACAAAAGAAGCCAGTGATCCAGAATATTTTGGAGTATATTGTTGCAGTGAAGACAGAGCGCACAATTCAATGAATTAATCCCTGAGACATTCTCCCTGTGTAAAGGGCAACGAATTGAACCAGAAGGCAATATGTAGACTGCCTATTTGCTCGCATCTATCCCCCGTGTTATCACGATCCTCTTCCTCACCCTCAGTTATCCAGTGTATTATTTTCTCAATCTAGTGTGATAAATACCATCGACCCAGTCGCCACCAAAGCTCCGTCTTTTTCACAAGGTCTGTTCCATAATACACTGGATAATCGAGGTTGCCTCCTTGCCACCGCCGTCTATTTCACTGGGTCTGTTCCCTAATACACTGGATAATCGAGGTTGCCTCCTTGCCACCGCCGTCTATTTCACTGGGTCTGTTCCCTAATACACTGGATAATCGAGGTTGCCACCTGTCCACCACCGTCTATTTCACTGGGTCTGTTCCTTAATACACTGGATAATCGAGGTTGCTCTATTTCACTGGGTCTGTTCCCTAATACACTGGATAATCGAGGTTGCCCCCTTTCCACCACCGTCTATTTCACTGGGTCTGTTCCCTAATACACTGGATAATCGAGGTTGCCCCCTGTCCACCACCGTCTATTTCACTGGGTCTGTTCCCTAATACACTGGATAATCGAGGTTGCCCCCTGTCCACCACCGTCTATTTCACTGGGTCTGTTCCCTAATACACTGGATAATCGAGGTTGCCCCCTGTCCACCACCGTCTATTTCACTGGGTCTGTTCCCTAATACACTGGATAATCGAGGTTGCCACCTGTCCACCACCGTCTATTTCACTGGGTCTGTTCCCTAATACACTGGATAATCGAGGTTGCCTCCTTGCCACCGCCGTCTATTTCACTGGGTCTTTCCCTAATACACTGGATAATCGAGGTTGCCACCTGTCCACCACCGTCTATTTCACTGGGTCTGTTCCTTAATACACTGGATAATCGAGGTTGCTCTATTTCACTGGGTCTGTTCCCTAATACACTGGATAATCGAGGTTGCCCCCTTTCCACCACCGTCTATTTCACTGGGTCTGTTCCCTAATACACTGGATAATCGAGGTTGCCCCCTGTCCACCACCGTCTATTTCACTGGGTCTGTTCCCTAATACACTGGATAATCGAAGTTGCCCCCTGTCCACCACCGTCTATTTCACTGGGTCTGTTCCCTAATACACTGGATAATCGAGGTTGCCCCCTGTCCACCACCGTCTATTTCACTGGGTCTGTTCCCTAATACACTGGATAATCGAGGTTGCCACCTGTCCACCACCGTCTATTTCACTGGGTCTGTTCCCTAATACACTGGATAATCGAGGTTGCCTCCTTGCCACCGCCGTCTATTTCACTGGGTCTGTTCCCTAATACACTGGATAATCGAGGTTGCCACCTGTCCACCACCGTCTATTTCACTGGGTCTGTTCCTTAATACACTGGATAATCGAGGTTGCTCTATTTTACTGGGTCTGTTCCCTAATACACTGGATAATCGAGGTTGCCCCCTTTCCACCACCGTCTATTTCACTGGGTCTGTTCCCTAATACACTGGATAATCGAGGTTGCCCCCTGTCCACCACCGTCTATTTCACTGGGTCTGTTCCCTAATACACTGGATAATCGAAGTTGCCCCCTGTCCACCACCGTCTATTTCACTGGGTCTGTTCCCTAATACACTGGATAATCGAGGTTGCCCCCTGTCCACCACCGTCTATTTCACTGGGTCTGTTCCCTAATACACTGGATAATCGAGGTTGCCACCTGTCCACCACCGTCTATTTCACTGGGTCTGTTCCCTAATACACTGGATAATCGAGGTTGCCCCCTGTCCACCACCGTCTATTTCACAGGGTCTGTTCCTTAATGCACTGGATAATCGAGGTTGCCTCCTGGCCACCGCCGTCATTTCACTGGGTCTGTTCCTTAATACACTGGATAATCGAGGTCGCTTCCTGGCCACCACCGTCTATTTCACTGGGTCTGTTCCTGCTTCAGGTGATGGTTCAGCGAGTTCTATCCGCCAAGACCCACTCTCACGCCAAGGGCGGGGTACTTCTGGCCGGCTGGCTCAAACTCCTCAGTTTCTTCATCGTCATCTTGCCGGGAATGATGGGAAGGGTTCTGTTTCCGGGTAGGTACAATTGCAGGTTGCAGATTTGATTACCGTCATCCATAATGACAAAAGTGTCTTTTCTTGTCTCCGATTTTAGAACATTTTTTAAACATTTTTAAGTCCAAATTCCATCAGCTACTCAAATCATCAGGTCTTACAAGCTAAAGGTAAACCCTCACACCAGGTTTTACTTGGAGAAAGTAAAGCCTCCCCTAACGTTATCACACGAAAGAAGATATACCTACAATACAATAGAACCGTCTGGTGGTAGAGCGTCCGCCTGGAGAGCGTCATACCAAAAGACGTTAAAAGATGGTACTTGTTCTTACCCTGTTTGGCGCTCGGCATTTAGGGGCTAAAACAAGGACTGGTCGGCTCAGAGTCAGTCGCTTTATAAGTGCAATAATCTTGGACGCGACGTTAAGCCCCATTTCACCTCACCTCACCCCAATACAATAGACAAAGGCGGGAGTAGGTTTATAAAATTAGTGTTCGTGTTTTTTCGTTGACGTATGTTGTGATGTCGCCTTCAGATGAAGTTGGCTGTGTTGACCCTGACATCTGCGAGAGCGTCTGTGAGAACCGCAATGGCTGCTCCAACATCGCATATGCAAAACTGGTCGTCAACATTTTGCCTATAGGTAAGAAAACAACGAGAATCAAGAAATGCAAACATTTCTTATAAAACTATCACCCTAAATTGCATTTGGTTCCTGACAACCTCGGGTAAACCCAGTAACCAGCAGAGAAATGAAAACATTTCATAATATAAATCCATTCATCACAACGTGTTCGACATTTAACAAGGCTTTGACTACAACCACTCCCTCGTGGAATGGTAGAGAAAGACTTGGGTTTTTTTAATGTACAAGTAGTTTATTAATGTTAAATATACGCATTGGGTATGTGTGTTGGTTTTGTGGCCATGTATAATCTCACTGTGGTAGAAAGAACAAGCTGGTGCAAAAGAAAATGTGTCATGCCTTAAATTAGCAAAAGTCACAGTGAGAGTGGGAGTGGCTTGATAATGTCTGATAGAAAGACGTGCTATAGATGAAACATTTGATTTAACCTGAATGATATGATATTGATAGGAGAATGTAAATATATACATAACAGAGGAAGAAAAACATCATTAGGATTCATCCAGTGAATTGAAAGGCTTCCATTTCAAAAGTCAAAATTGCGGTGGACATTTTAGGAATTGATCAGTGAAATTCAGTGATGACACCAGTTGTTCGCGAAAAGGGTAAGCCTGTTCAGCCCTACCGGTATGTGGAGGACAAATTTGAGGCATCAATGACCAAAATGATGTTCGATGCAATGCTATCTTTTGATTTGTAGCATCTACTCCCGTGGTTGTTCGGCTGTGTATAGACCGCCTCCGTGGTCTAGTGGTAGAGCGTCCGCCCGGAGAGCGGAAGGTACGGGGTTCGATCCCCGGCCGAACATTTGTTTGTGAATCATTATCAACTAGAGATGAAACCAGGTATTCCCTATTGGCGAAAGGGCGAGCGTATCCTGCCACACATGTGGCAACCGTCATAAACACGTGCAAAGGCAAGTCAAGTGTTCCCAGCAGGTTCCTGATGTCACCAGTCCACATGCTCAGAAGCCTTTAGCTTATTTCAGACGTGAATCAAGTTTGCTGGGAGTGTCAACCAGCCCTAGCTTAGTCCCCCTTTAAGGCGACCATGTTGTTTACAGGCGTTCGTGGTCTGATGCTGGCGTGTATGTTGTCGGCGCTGATGAGCACACTGACGTCGGTCTTCAACAGCGCGAGTAGCCTCTTCACACTAGATCTGTATACAAGATGTCGACCCAAGTCATCAGAGAGGGAGCTGATGATTGTTGGGAGGTAATGCCTGTGAACGTTTTGCTTTCTTTACAGCAGATCGTGTGTTCAATCGTGATATTAGATCAACGTCATCTTCCCCAGGCAAGGAAGTATATTGACGTAAAAGTCCAGTTTCCACACTTGCCGAAGTGGATTGGGATTTCTGGGCTCGGTTGTAGCCCCACAAGTGGTTATTTCGAGTTATGTCCCTTCTATGTCCCTCCTTTTGACCAATCAGATTCCACCTCTCATATCACTTGCATTTGCTTCAAACAAAATCGCCGCGCCCATTAAAGACGATCTGAGCTATAATCCAGATCTTTAATGTTAGCTATGTAATTATACGGGTCTTACGCATCAATTCGCATCAGTTAACGCCGCTTTTAACAGTATTCCAATTATATCGCGGCGTGTCAGCTTAATGTGGGAGGAGAGCCGGAAGTGATGCAGGTCTTAGACGTTTACCACTTTGGTGAAACCCACGAGCACGGGTATGGTGCTGACAAACATAGAAACATAATCGGGGCGAACCGGGATTCAAACCCACGTACCCAAGGGACGCATTCCTCAAATACGAACCAGTATTTCCACAGGTAATGTGCAACTGAATTGATATTGTTATCATATCAAAGACGCTGATTCATCATTAATTTCAATGAATGACCCTTATCTCCTCTTCTTCCCAGACTGTTCATCCTGGTATTGGTAGCTGTCAGCATTGCATGGATCCCTATCCTGAACGTCGCCCAAGGGGGACAACTCTGGACATACGTGCAAGCCATGCAGTCGTATCTGTCCCCACCATGGGTCGTGGTCTTCATAATGGGAATTGTCTGGAAGAGGACTACAGAAAAGGTGACCTCCCTAGCTGACTTTACCCGTGAGCAACCCATGCTTGTCATAAGAGGCGACTATGCTTGTCGCAAGAGGCGACTAAGAGGATCTGGCGGTCAGGCTCGCTGACTTGGTTGATGAATGTCATCGTATCCCAAATGCGTAGATCGATGCTCGTGATGTCAATCACTGGATTGTCTGGTCCAGACGCTAGTATTACAGACCGCCGTCATGAAGATTGAATATTGCTGTGCCCGGCGTTAAACAACAAACAAACCAAGCCAAATCATAGCTGACTTAACGAGTGGGTTTGGCTTACGATGACTTTGGCAGCATTCAAGCATTTAAAATGGAGTTTGATTTACCACGACTTTATTAATATTCAAGCACTACCACTGTGTCTACCACGTGGGAAGAATAGGCCCCCAACAACATATGCCTGTAAGAGGTCACTCTATGGATCGAGTGGTCAGTCTAGTTGACTTTGTTGAATGGTTTCGGACGCTACTCATAATATCAATCACTTGTATGTATGGTTCAGGGTCGATTATTTGCAGGCCACCATTATTTAATTGGAATATTGCCGAGGCTGGCGTTAAACAACAAACAAAGCTGCGATAGTCGTGGAGCTGAGACTGTTTTGTTGTTGTTTTCCGGATCGAGACGGGTCGTCATGACGTAACCAATATTTTTAACTAGGGTCTAAATACATTGTACTATCTCCAATTACTGAAAATGTGTTGGTAACATTGTTTTTCATATAATGCTTCTGTCACAAGGCGGCTTTCTGGAGCCTGATGTTGGGACTCGCTGTCGGAATGAGTCGGTTGATCATGGATCTCGCCTACTCCAAACCTGCGTGCGGCGAGGACGAGACCAGACCGGAAGTCCTTTACAAAGTGAACTACCTGTACTTCGCAATTATCCTGACCGTCATAGTCACCGTCGTCTGCACCGTTATCAGTCTCGTGACCGAGAAGAGACCAGAAGCGAAGGTAGGCCAAGGGTAGTGCGGCCATTTTGAATTATATAAATGACATGCATCATACCGCCCGAGCCTTTGTTTTGAAGCTGGTTTGAATAACATCACGCTAAAAATAGACATCCAATCAAATTACACTGTTCTTTCACGGTTTAACCAATCAGGTGAGTGAGGGAATTGGATTGCATACCGCTTTTAGCAATATGGGCTTAGAAATGGGCTTCACACATTATACCCATGTGGGGTATTTAACACGGGACTTCCTCTTCAACGTTTGACATGTTCTTTGTGCGACTACATTTATACTCACATGATCATACAATAATTTGGCAGGAGACATGCACCTTTACTATTAAACAAAACAAAATATCACAAACTCTGATATGTTAATGTATTAGCTTTAGAAAAGGACAATCCATCATCTTACCCGTGAAAATCCGGGGTAGAATAGGTCTTCAGCAACCCATGCTTGCCGTAAAAGGCGACTATGCTTGTCGTAAGAGGCGACTAACGGGATCGGGTGGTCAGGCTCGCTGACTTGATTGAAGCATGTCATCGATCCCAATTGCGTGGATCGATGATCATGATATCAGTTACTGGATTGTCTGGTCCAGACTCGATTATTTGCAGACCGCCCGTCATACAGCTGATATAATGCTGAGTGCGGCGTTAAACACCAAACCAACCAATCCATGATCTATATATGTTACTGACACCTTCTTGTCCTCTTGGAGTAGCCCTTCCAACGACTGCCAATATTAACCTTCTTTTTTCTTGGCATCCACAAGCAAATGATAATTTCATGATATAAATATTTCATACAATGAATTATTATTTTTATATGATTTCAATGTTGTCTAATACACAAAGTCAGTTGTACCTTAGATCATATAAAGCGCATAATTCATATACTGAACCAAATTAAAAACTTCACAATCCGAATATTTTAACATTTTGACCAGTTATCATTGTGGGTCCTTATTGTGTATTTAAGCAGTAATGGACACGTATTGTCTTCAGATAACACCCGTTTTTGTGCAGGTGAATCGATTAAAATCATGTGCACAGCACTATAGTGGCAAAAGTGTTTTTTCACGTGCAACTGGTCACGTGGCCATAATACCGCACGTGTTTTCAGCCATACTTGTTAGCAGTCATTTACAAAAAATGAAAAACACAAGAAAACAAAAGTCTTTACGGCCATTTGTCATGCCACGCCTTTCAAATGTGCAAAGTGAACTTGCCATCGGCATGTTGCAGACGGGAACGTCCGTAGCTGAAGTCGCAAGGACTCAATTACACAGACGTCAACGTCAATTGTGGGCACAGCGACACTTACGATTGACTCAGAGGAATTAGAATCAAGTCGTCTTCAGTGATGAATCCCGATTTAATCTTCGATTTGCTGATGGAAGGGCGAGGGTTTGGAGGCGCCGTCATAAACGTTACGCCCAGTGTTGTGTACAGGAAGTTGACAGATTTCGAGGCGGAAGTGTCATGGTGTGGGGTGCTTTCTGTGGCAATGCACGTTCCAGGCTTCTTGTCATCCGTGGCAACCTCAACGCTGCTGCTCACCGCGACTAGGTACTGGCACCAGAACTTCAAACACGACAATGCCAGACCCCACACAGCAATTTTGACAAGGAATTTCCTTCAGAATGCGGGAGTCAACGTCATGGACTGGCCGTCAAGGTCTCCCGACCTCAATCCCATCAAACACGTCTAGGATGCTCTTGGCAGAAGTCTGCGCACTCTCCAGAACCAACCACAGAATTTGAAAGATCTTGGCACCATTTTGCAGCAACAATGGCGTCGTCTTCCCAATCATGTGTTCACAAGCATCACAAGGTCCATGCGGAGGCGTTGTGTGGCAGTTGTCAACGCACATGGTGGCCATACACGCTACTGAACTTGTGTGCCATCAGATTCTCGTACTTGGGACTTATGATTTAAACTGTTGATGTTATTACCGAATACCGTAGGTGCTTTGAACAAATTATGGTTACCACCGTTAATTAAAATCCTTCTTTGGACATTAATGATTAAAAATTACCTTCTCTGATACATTTGTCCATTGTATATCATATATGGGATTACTTTTAAAAATGTGAAGTTTTTAATTTGACTCAGTATATTTAGGAAATATTCTTATTGCATTACATATACGGTATAAAACAGAAAAATAAATTAATTGTTATAATTAATAAAGACAAAATCTGCAGAATATAAATATTATCATCGTCAAAATATGTACACTTTTCTTCAGCGCTATGTGATAGAGGCCTAACTGAAACAAAGTAAATAGTTATCATGTTATGTTAACCTTAGGAGCCGTCATATAGATGGAATATTGCTGAGTGCGGCGTTAAACAAACAAACAAACAAACAAAAATAAAAACTTTCTAGTATTTTTCAAAAAATATATTCGGACCATAATCACAGACAAAATGCATATGATGCCGTCTCCTTAATGGTAATTTAACTATAAATATATGACGTAAATATTTGGGTTTGCGCCAAAAATATATAAAAAAACATAAATACAGATCGTACCTAAATGATTTTGGTACCAAGCCAAAGGGGAAATCTGGTGTATATAAACATATTCATTTCATGATCGATAATAGGAATGAAAGCAGGCGGAAATTAAGTGTTGTGGTGTTGTAATTATTTCGGAAAAAAATCAGATTTAGTCGCATTTCTGGAGTCCAAATCACAAATTGCGCGATCGCCCTAGATTTGTTAAGACACTAAACTAATTTTAAACATGTGTTGTTTTTATAGACCTTAGAACTAAAGTCTTTCATTGAGAATAAGTGTCCGTTATTGAAAATCACAATCTGCACTTTTGCCGATTGTAGATGTGCGCCATTTCGCTCACTCGGACAAAGACGAAGTGTGACCAGATTCAGCGAATACAATGACAACGATATGCTTTAGCGCACTAATATATCTCAGTTGTAATGTTGACAATGTTAAAAAATACATGAGCGTAAATATATATTTTGAAATATATCCTTTTCATGAAAAATAAGGCGACAACAGTTACTTCAGTGAACGCGTTTACGACAGCTTCCGGTTAGCCTGCGCAGTACAAGCCGTAGCGCTGATGGTTTCGCGCATAGGCTAGATCCCTTTATTTTATGGTCTCTGCATGAATTCACTCGTAGATTTTTATGACAGGCAAGCCAGTATTAATCGTATATTAATTGAACATTACCGTCATATTGCTCAGATTTAACGTCTTGTAACTGGTTGGCATGAAAACACTCAAGGTCATAATTTACCATCATTTAATCGTCAACGTCTTCCTGCAGCTACGGAGGGTCACGTGGAGCACTCGTTACTCCGAGCCACGAGAGGACACGGACGATGAAGAGGACTACGACAACGAAGCTGCTAGGAACGCTGACGTACACCAAGAAACGGATGAAGAAGTGGAAACAGGTATGTTTGGGGAAGGGTGAGAGAATTTGTTTTGTTTTTAATGGCGTTAAACAACAAAGAAAGAAACAGTGGGCTAGCACCATAAAGTCGGCATTAGTCCGGACTAGGACAAGCGGCCACGCACACACGTGCACGTCGCTATATAAGTGCAACAATCTTGAATCAGATGTTGCTGATGCGAAGGTAGATAAAGAGGATATAACAAGGACGGCATGAGTCTGAGGCATGGTATCTCAGTGAGCTACCACTATAAAACCGGCATGAGGCCGGTCTAGTACGGGTGGTCAGGCTCGCTGACTTGAATGATGCATGTCATCGATCCCAATAGCGTGTATCGAAGCTCATGATTTCAATCACCGGATTGTCTGGTTCAGACATGATTATTTACAGACCGTCGTCACATAGCTGGAATATTGCTGAGTGCGGCGTTAAACAACAAAGAAACAAACAACAAGCACGCACGCACGCACTACCTATTCGTGTTCTATCCGTATTCTAATTGGGATCTTTAAATTTTTTCCAGATGGAAAATTTAATTTCAAGGAGAAAGTATACAACATCCTGTGCTGCTACTCCAGCTTCAAACCTAAACCAGTAACCAAGGCGATGGAGGAAGCGGAAGCGATGCGCTACAGAGGCAAGGACGAGGCTCCCTGGGTCAGCAAGTTCTTGGACTTAAATGCCATTATTGTGATGGGCGTAACGGTGTTTCTTCTGGGCCTGTTCGCTTAGGAATGATTTAAACACATGTCATGCTCATGATATAATCGGAATCGTACAATCGACTCTGCTATTAGCAGAGATTTCTTATGAATATGGAAAGGGTTTAGTCGCTTTTATTAACACTGTCTCATTGGTTGCAGTACTTACAGGATATAGAACACTGCTTAATCTCAGAGTATTTGTAGCTTTTACCCACAATACTCAGTATGTCATGTCATGGTGACCCTGACCCGCATTCGTAACTAATCGCCTTTTTTTAAGTGAACGCCAACGAGTGGTAAGAATGACTGACCCTTCCGTCAGTTGTATTCCTCTCTCAGATTGTGCATTAAAATCAGTTTAACGGGATCGTATTATAACAGCATTGCAACTGTCAAGTGTCCATTTCCGGCCAACGTTATCAAACGGAGATATCGCCTCTGTAGAATAAAAACAGTTATTTTACAATATATAATATAAATATTTTGCTACAAAAATAATGATCTTTTCAATAATAATATGCATCAGTTGGATAAATTTCCTCATATTCAGATTATTGAGATAACAATATGGAATATACTTATTGCGCCAAAGAGCTGCTACAGCAGCTGCCCAATATGTCACTCTTAGGGATACGGATGGTCACGTCAAAAAGTCTGCCAATCAGCCTCGTAAGTGCCCTTCTACATGTTTTAATAACCTAGATATCTTCCGTATTTACCTCCAAATATATATGTCTACTCACTAATCACGATTCAAAAGCCAAAATGAAAGCCGTTAGCAGTTTTAGGCTGGCGGCCATCTTGGTTTCTGAAATCTGTTCTGCTTTTTTGGTGATGAAGGGCTAGGGGGGATGTGGTAATCGTAAGCTAGGTTCTGGTAGTGGTAGTGGTAGTGGTAGTGGTAGTGGTAGTGGTAGTAGGGACACAGTACTGGTGGGTTTAATTTTGTTTTCTATAAACAGATATATTTTGAAGACAGTTACTGGTAATGACTCAATGTCAATATTGTCCTGAACTTTCTATAAGTATCTTGTACTTAGTAGATACACAGAGATTGGTTTGTTTGTTGTTTAATGCCGCACTCAGCAATATTCCAGCTATGTGACTGCGGTCTTGGTCTGTAAATAATCGAGTGTGGACCAAAAATCCAGTGATTGACATCATGAGCATCGATCCACACAATTGGGACACGATGACATGCATCAACCATGTCAGCGAGCCTGACCACCCTATCCCGTTGGTCGCCTCTAACGACAAGCATGGTTGCCTTTTACGGCAATCATGGCAAGGTACGTGGACAGTGAGGTAGCCTGGTGGTTAAAGCGTTCGCTCATCATGCCGAATGCCCAGGTTCAATTCCCCACATGGGTAAAAAGCGTTAAGCCCATTTCTGGTGTCCCCGCCGTTCCCCGTCTCTAACGACAAGCATGGGTTGCTGAAGACCCATTCTAACCCGGATCTTCACGGGAGACAAGCATGGATTGCTGAAGACCTATTCTTACCCGGATCTTCACGGGTAGTGAGTGACGCGGTTATTTTTGTTGTGTCATATGTCTTTCATATGTTCGTAAAATTAAAATATATATACATACTTCCTTCTGTGATGTGTTGATTCATCCGTTTACTGCGGTATCCGGTTCAAACAACGTAAAAAGAGAGACCTATGAAACAATATTGGAAAAAAACTTGAAACAAAACAACGCCTGTCTCGAAAAGAAAACGTCATCTCAAAAGTATAAGGCTATGTACACTTAAACAATAACACTGTCAAACAAAAATTGAAAAGTTCACAGATGATGATACTACCACAGACGCTTCGCTGTAGAAATATATAGGCCTATACATGTTGTACAAGCGCCTCCTAGAGATACGTTGGAGGTTCCACGCAACCAAGTTTTTCCCCATAGACCTCTATAGTAACGTTATAAGGTTTTTTTTAAAAATAACTAAGCATCCAACAATGAATACCTGTACGTGTGTTTACAGTTCGGTCTCAGAGCAGCAAAAAACACACCAAAGACTAGCTTAGCCAGCTCCTTTTCCGAATACAGGAAGCTAAAAACACCACCCCCAGTTCCGCACCAAATGACACTGGCTTGAAAATATCTGTGATCACATTCAGCAAAAGTCATCATGTTGAAAAAGACAATATAGAAAATATAGAAAAATATGGATAGTTTTAATTACTGGATGGACGTACGTTACATCAACATAAAATCTTACACGAAATCATCCAATCGCACGCCAGATAATTCAATCTGCACTGAAGGCAAACAACCAAAACTGCTTGTTGAACAACTCATTCTGATTTGGCGTTGTAGACCCTGAAACACTGAGCCAGTAGAGGTAGAACTGGCTAAGGGAGGCATCTCTCCACAGTGAGGCAGGGCAACTGACCACTGTGTCACCTAATTTTGAGACAACTTGATAGGTATTCAGTTTTTTGTGTAACTACTTGTAGATTCTCAAACTGCTTGTTGAACGACGAAAACTGCTTGTTGAACGACTTATTTTGATTTGGTGTAGTAGAACCTGGCGCAAGCGGGTGTAAAACATTTCAGCGAAGTTAACTCGACATATCAGTTCACGAACTCATTGAAGTGCATGTACAATATCTTCAGCATCTTTCTGACTCATGTCTTACTCTCAAGTCTTATAGAAACGTTGGAATTGAAAACAAAATTTGAAAATATACTTGATTTCTTTCATAAATAGACTTCGTATTTACACATTTCCCGTACACGGAAAGATCAAGTCAATACCAAGCTCGATGCTCGATATATAGTCCAAACTTATCACCACCGAAGAACTCGAGACAAGACTAGAGAATCACGTTGCTTCCATAACAATAAAGTGGGTGTTATTTGATGTATAGACTGTCTCGAGAGACTGGGGTTCATCTATCATTATTAAATATGGCCAGGTGTCAAACTTTATACGCGTGTGCGCGTGTCTTGTTTAATGCCGCATTCAGCAATATTCCAGCTCTATGGCGGCGGCTGTAATTAATCGAGTCTGGACCAGACAATCCAGTGATCGATATTATGAGCAATGATCTACGCTGTCCGGTACAATGCCAGGCAATCAACCAGTCGCCGAGCCTGACCACCTCTCACGACCAGCATAGGTTGCTGTGGACCAGTTCGAACCCGGAATCACCACGAGGTGATGTTTGTATGTAGAGGGCGGTCGGGTAGCCTAGTGGTTAAAGCGTTCGCTCGTCACGCCGAAGACCCGGTTCGATTCCCGACATGGGTACAATGTGTGAAGCCCATTTCTGGTGTCCCCCGCCGTGATATTGCTGGAATATTGCTAAAAGCGGCGTAAAACCATACTCACTTCTTCTTCTTCTTCTTGTATGTAGAGACGATAAACATTCCAAGTCTGTGTGTTTTGTTTGTTTGTTTCTTTTTTGTTTAATGCCGCACTCAGCAATATTACAGCTTTATGACGGTGTCACGAAATATATTCGCCCTCAGAATAAAATCTCCCCCCGGCGAATTTATACCGGTACAGTTCCGCCCCTCTCGAAATAAACTCTCCCCCACCCTACGAAATAAAATCTCCCCCCAGAATATTTCCTCCCCCGGTCGTTTTATAAATACTTGCCCTGCAGTTGCCAATAGTTTTAATGTTAATTTGTTTATGTGTTTTTTTATTCATTTTTTTTTATCTCCTTTATTTTTTCTGAATTATACATTTAGTTACTTGTGTGGGGTGTGTGGTGGGGGGTGGGGGGTGTCCCACCTTTCCTTTCGTTTTTCATAATAATATATTTTTAAGTTGTATATAACGTATGAATCCCTTCTCAGATTACTTTATCTCAGTTCTATATGACGTACTATTTTACTTTTCTGTGTCGTTCTTGTTTTCTCTTCTGTGTGAGGTTAAACTGTATTCTTTTTACTATTTTGATATTTTGCAATATGTTGTGGTCATCAGTTATGCAAATCAGTTTCGGTGTGTCTTTTTAACAAGATGTTCTTCATTAATATTCACCGCCAAGTAGATTTAATCCGAATGTTTGCGAGGATTAATAAGATCTCTGAAATCAGTTACATCAGTAGTTCCGGTGTCACGAAATATATTCGCCCCCGAATGAGTGAGTGAGTTGGGTTTAACGCCGCTTTTAACAGTATTCCAGTTACATCACGGCGTGTCAGCTTAATGTGGGAGGAAAGCCCGAAGTGATGCAGGTCTCAGACGTTTAGCACTTCGGTGAAACCCACGAGCACGGGTATGGTGCTGACAAACCTAGAAACATAATCGGGGCGAAGCGGGATTCGAACCCACAATCATATGTTTCTGGCGTGCCCAAGGGACGCAACTCTGCCTTAGACGACTGGGCCACCCGTGCCCCCGATACTCGCCGAAGCAAAGTTGAACAGCATTGAGGATCATATTTCAACAGCACTGGCTGATTGTAAGATATCCGAGGAGGATTTTCGTTCAGTGTTGTCAGAACTCACCAAATACAACACAATAAAGCAGGAGATTCGATCTTAATATCGTAAGATCAGTGGTATTAGCGAAGACGAGAAAAAAAGTACATAGAACAGGGGACACAAGCGCGTCAATTATTCCGTGCCAAAACCAAAGAACTGGTTGGAGATTAAAAATAGATTGTTTCCTATCATTGGATCGCACCGCATAACAAATCATACATTCATTTAAACGAATGCTTACATAAATATATAATAATGGAGAATTACAAACCAACAAAGGAAGAACTCGAAAAAGCTATCGAAGCATTTATGCTCAGGGAGAAATTTATCAAATGGAGAGAATTACCACAAGGTATATATTATATCAATGATGTCAGACCAACCAAATACGGTCATCAATTGTTTCTTTCCAATTACCAAGAAGAGTATATAGTCTTGTCTCCTAGTAAAATGAACGAAGAACTTAGTAAAAATGTTGAATATCACTTTGTTAAAAAATTATGGTATGCGTATGAGTAAAAATAATAGAGAATATTTTCATTACAATTTAGTTTAGTCTCATCATCGTTTTTGTGCTAAAAATTCCCTCTATGGTATCATTGATTGACTCAAGGTAGTGGTGAGCTAGAGTCAATTTAACTTAATCTCACGACGATCGTTGAATCGCATCAGCGTTTACACATAAAAAATTCCCCCTGTAGTAGCAGTATAGGTATATAAATCTGGCTCCAGTGGGGTTGCGGCAGAATCACCATTACCTATACTACTTTCTGTGACGTTCCTTGTAAGAGCTGAACATTTAATATTGGAAAAAGGCTCAGGGTAGATGAAATGGAAATTTGCAATAACATATTGTGTGATGCATAAATTGGGAGCTTATTGCAATTGCAAATATCGTCTTTCTTTTTTGACAATAAATAACAACAAATTCAATCAATCGAGTCACAGCACGACTGTATGTGCTCATATTTCAACGCCATCATCACTGTTCGTGTGATGATTAACCGATCATTATTGACTTATCAACACTGACTATTGGGCAATCTTTTTGTTCCAAAGGGAAATAACTCTCCTTTTGAAATGATATAAGCGACGGTCCAAACTGTCACTTCCGGTCTGGTTCCCGGATCAATGCGCGCTGCGACAACTACACTCTCCAACCCAGAGTTCCATGCGGCCGGTGTCATTTATACTGGTACAGTTCCGCCCCTCTCGAAATAAATTCTCCCCCACCCTACGAAATAAAATCTCCCCCCAGAATATTTCCTCCCCCGGTCGTGTTATAAATACTTGCCATGCAGTTCAATAGTTGCCAAACACTTCTGATAGAGACGATGTTGAGAATGTGGAGTGAAAAGGGCTTCACTTTGAGCACTGTGTTTTCTTTACTACCGCAATATGAGACAATAAAGTGGTATATAGGTGGATATAATCTTAGTCGTTAGATATAAAGAATGTTTAGTAACTTAAGAAGTTCTAGGACAGTTATTAACACATGTCGTGTCAGCCCTATTACATTCGCGATTGTCCACTTCCAGAAAACATCCTGTGTTGGTTTAACATGAATTAGTAAATGTTAATTAGGGATGCCCATAACGTTAATTAATGAAAGACGAGTAGTCAAAACACTGTCATTTCCTGCCCAGGACATCACACCCCTACACGCTGAGGTCGGTGAGAAGCATTCTCATAAAAAAACACACACACAGTCAAGACTGTAGATTCCCGTCGTCTAGCTACAAATCCCTGTGATGTATTAAAGGTTGAAGAATTTTGAACTGAACTGTCCGAAAGTTTATATCTAAAATGTTGGAATTGGATACAGTGATCAAGTCTTATATCAATATGTAGACTCATAAATATTGGTTTTATGTTTTAACGGAGATATGATATTTTCTTATGAAATATCGCGTAATAGAGTAATTTGCATGCTTTACCATTCATTGTACCATTCTAAACCATGTGAATGTTGTATGTCAGTCAATCGGGTGAGAAAACAGCCCAATCCTCGCTCTATAAAGGACTATGTCAATCATTTTGCAAGTTGAAATGACCCCTGATACTTTATGAATATTTTATAACAGTTTATTCATAAACTTAAAGATTGAAAATACATCAGTCAATCAAAGATGAAGGTAACTTTATACATCAGAGTTCTTTAGAATTAGTTCATGTTTTGTTCTTAGACTAACATTTCAACCATCGATTGTGTTCACATGTAGACTCAAACTGGTATATTAAAAAAATGTATACAGACAACAACAACTGTATTAGAAACAACACGTTCTGTAGACTCATGTCTCCCATCCTTTGTTTGGTATGATTATGTCTTATAATTATTTCAGGATGGAAGGTACAGTTACCAAATAAAATATTCTGAAATATCAATTCATTATGACCATATTTCATAATCTATTTTTTAAAGTAACCCTCCTTACATTTAAGATAACTTTTTAAAGAATATAGTACTTAAAGACATTGCAACAAACCGAATAATCAGGGGGGAGACTTTATACTGAGGGGGGCGCGAAATATATCCGCCCGGGGGAGATTTTATTTCAGAACAGATTCGCCGGGGGAGAATCTGTACCGGTATAAAATCTCCGGGGGGAGAATTTGTACGGGGGAGAGTTTATACCGGGACACCGGCGGTCTGCAAATAATCGAGTCTGGACCAGACAATCCAGTGAATGACATCATGTCAGTATGATCATGAGCTCACCATATTACAGCAACCTCTAACATCATATCTAAGACTGAACTCGGTTTGGACAAACCAGCGGTCAAAGATGTGCAATGAGCTAGGTCATTTGGGAACAATGACACGAAACGAGACTTGAATTACGTGGTAAGAACAGGCAACTGTGGAAGCATTTGTATTGCTTACGATCCGTGAAGATCCGGGTGGAATAGGTCTTCAGCAACCCATGCTTGTCGTTACAGGCGACGAACGGGATCGGGTGGTCAGGCTCGTTGACTTGATTGATTATTGTCATCGTATCCCAATTGCGTGGATTGATGCTCATGATATCAATCACTGGACTCGATTATGTACAGATCGCCGTCATATAAAGCTGGAATATTGCGGCGTTAAACAACAAACAAACATAAGATGTTCACATGAAGACGCTAGTGTCGCTTACATGACCGGAGAGACGGTAGTGAGAGATGGTACATACACCCTCCTGTTCCACAAGAATCATATTTAACGAGGCAAAAGCCCCGATATTCTGTTATCCGTACAGCTGTATTCACGCGATATACAATTACTGTGGAGACATTGTCTGTAGTTTCACCTGGGTGACCCTCCCGTCAAGGTAAGAAATTCTCCTCGATGTAATTTATGCTGCATGCACAAACAATGACAATCCCAACAACCTCGACTGTCATGCAGTCTCTCATTAATATTCTCGACACGAAAAAATATGACCCAGTGTGCAACTCAAGGGAGGTAACTGCTGTTGAATACTGACATCAACTTACAATCTATGCACGATTATTTTTGTTTACTTTGTTTATATCGTTCACTATATATACAGTTCAAGATATAGATCGGGTTATCTGCATGGTAACGTTTACCCCAAAGATGTTCAAACAAGCTTGTTTGCTGTCAATATCGAGTGCACGCATTTTAGTTATCTGTGTCGTCTGCTTCGTCACTGTTAACATTAATGCAAATGTCAAGGTGACGGTGCATATATACTCTTAACAGAGGCCTTGGCTGAGTATTTCCAGTCCGCTGTTCACATACATCAGTGGTAGCGGGTCTGCGAGAGCTGCTCGTGGAAGACGTAGTGTTTGGGAATCAATTCATCTAGAAACAAGAAGATGGTCCCGTAGTTGTATTATCGCAGGAAGCCAAAGCAGACGACAAGCAGACGAGACAAGTGGATTTGTTTGTTGAAACATCCCAGCAAAATCTTTCCGAGACATTTTTTTTATAATAACTGAGACCTGTGCAATCGTTCAAAAGCTTGTGTTTAAGCCTTCGGTTTAAGCTGTTTGGTGTTCTTGCGAACAGAACTGTTCCTGCTTTGATTACATTTTGTAATCATTGAATGATACATCACATAATATATTTTTGGTGAAAACGTGGAGTCAATTCATCTAGAAACAGGAAGATATCTCCGTAGTTGTGTCATCACAGGAAGCCAAAGCAGACGACAAGCAGACGAGACAAGTGGACCTGTTGTTGAACAATCCCAGAAAAAACCCTGTTTGTTATAATAACTGACACCTGTGTTCAACATTCACAAGCTCGTGTTTAAGCTGTTTGGTGTTCTTGCGAATAGAACCATTCCTGCTTTGATTACATTTTGAAATCTTTGAATGATACATCACGTAATATATTTTTGGTGAAAACGTGGAAAGTGAATCTAGGAACTAGTAGCGATGGCGCTTGAACTGCACGTGGAGGATATAACTGTCCTCGTTGTATATTTCATACTGGTCATGGCTGTTGGATTGTGGGTAAGAATTATACTGTGATTATTGATATTGATATTTTCCCTGCTGAATACAAGAGTTCATTTCGACCACGGTCGCCATTCGTCACTGATTTCTATAATCTGGCGCCATCAGTTTCAAGAAAGGTATAAATGCGTGACCTTTGAACAAATGTAGATGAACATGTGATATCATACGCATCATGCGACTAACATAGGTTGGTGGGGACCTATTCTACTCCGGATGCATTTCTCATAATTACTGGTAATTAAGCAGACATGAGTCTGTTGTGTTGTGAGGTCAGGGCCACGGGAAGTGCATGGTTCCCTTACAATGCGTAACATCAGATTGTTGGTTTCTTATGACCTTAAGATGTCGTAACACTTAGTTCATTAATAACGGTGTTGTGTTGTAAATATATTCAGAAAACAGGTAAAAAAAACAGGTTTGTTTTTAACAAGGGTAGGGAAATAAAATTGTGAATATTTGCGCTCGTAAATAAATATATATGTCTACTTTCAGTCATCATGCACGACCAACACCGGCAGTGTCAAAGGTTACTTCATGGCGGGAAGGGACATGATATGGATCCCCGTAAGTTTGAACGTTCCATGTATAAAAGTACACAACACACACGCTTTTGTCAGTGTTGCACTTATAGCGGCCATAAAATTTCCGAGTCCCGTGATGGGATTCGAACCACGGACCTTCTATCAGAGGTCGGACGCCTTGCCCACATGACCAAAGAGGTCAAGCTGACAAGGTAAGGATGTCATCTGTGGGATGACTCCACGCCCTGCTACACACTGAATACCAGTATGTTATTTCGGGAATCAGTTGGTCCTATGCTGAAGACATTCTTCTGTTAATAGATAGACAAGTTTAACCGAGTAGCAACAGGCCCGTGGATACAGAAGCGGTTGAAGATGTCTTAGTGAGTGAGTGAGTATGGTTTTACGCCGCTTTTAGCAATATTTTAGCAACAACACGGCGGGGGACACCAGAAATGGGCTTCACACATTGTACCCATGTCGGGAATCGAACCCGGGTCTTCAGCGTGACGAGCGAACGCTTTAACCACTAGGCTACCTGACCACCCCAGATGTCTTAGTGACATAGCATGATCTATAAACAGTGAAAGGTTACAAATTATCGTGTTGTTGGAAGTAAATTTATGTTTATTTGGATATAATATCGAACCCCGTTATCTCGAACTTAGCGGGACCGTCTTGTAACTTCGAGATATCCGGACATTCGAGATAACAAGACAAGAACATCCAGACAGATCAAGTAACAATCATATAGATACATGACAATACGATTACATACAGAAGAATTAAGAACAACACGCATATGCAGTGACAAATTGAAACCCAAAATACTGTCGTTCCATACTTTTTTTCTGTGACCGCCAGGGGTGGTCGGGTGGCCTAGCGGTTAAAGCGTTCGATCGTCACGCCAAAGACCCGGGTTCGATTCCCGACATGGGTACAATGTGTGAAGCCCATTTCTGGTGTCCCCCGCCGTGATATTACTGGAATGTTGCTATAAGCGGTGTAAAACCATACTCACTCACTGTGACCGCCATCTTCATTAATCCATGGCGCTTCTTCTTCTTGCGCTGAAGACATTCTCCCATGTTTGTTCAACTGCTATTCAGGTGGGCGCCTCCATCTACGCCACCAACTTTGGCAGCCACTTTTTTGTGGGGATGGCGGGATCGGCGGCGGCAGGGGGCATTGCTGTCACCATCTACGAGTGGCACGTAAGTACATGGACTGACATTTAAAAGCTAAGCATGTATAAACTACATTCTTTTGTATTAAAACCCATCTGAGGTAAAAGATAAGTTGTTGAAATATATGAGGTGATACAGTTTTTTATAGCCTGGCATATCTAGGTTGTGGCCATGCGTATACGTGTGACGTATATATATTAGTACTGACGTGAGTTTGTTGACTCATCTTTGACGTCTGGTGATAATTGACCTCCAGTGATAATTGACGTTCAGTGATAATTGAAACTCAGTGATAATTTACGTTCAGTGATAATTGACATTCAGTGATAATTGACGTTCAGAGATAATTGTCGTGCAGTGATAATTGACGTTCGGTGATAATTGACATTCAGTGATGATTGACGTTCAGTGATAATTGATGTTCAGAGATAATTGACATTCAGTGATAATTGACGTTCAGAGATAATTGACGTCCAGTAATAATTGACATTCAGTGATGATTGACGTTCAGTGATAATTGACGTGCAGTGATAATTGACGTTCGGTGATAATTGACATTCAGTGATAATTGACGTTCAGAGATAATTGACGTTCAGTGATAATTGATGTTCAGAGATAATTGACATTCAGTGATAATTGACGTTCAGTGATAATGGATGTTCAGAGGTAATTGACGTTCAGTGATAATTGATGTTCAGAGATAATTGTCATTCAGTGATAATTGACGTTCAGTGATAATTGACGTTCAGAGATAATTGACGTTCAGTGATATTGACGTTCAGAGATAATTGACATTCAGTGATAATTGACGTTCAGTGATAATGGATGTTCAGAGATAATTGACATTCAGTGATAATTGACGTTCAGAGATAATTGACGTTCAGAGATAATTGACAATCAGTGATAATTGACGTTCAGTGATAATTGACGTTCAGTGATAAATGAGGAGGTTGAGGTTCAATCACGACAGACTATTGATGGATGTTTGCATTATGTTTATGGGGAAGCTGCACTGTCAAGTGCCACAATTAAACGTTGTGTGAAGGAATTTCAGCGTGGGAGCGAGAATTATGAAGATGCCCCCCGCTCTGTTCAATCCACCCCGGCACCACGTGCAAAACTGTGATGCTGACCACACCCTTGTAGGCACATTACACGCCATGAGCTGGAGTGAGTGAGTGAGTGAGTGAGTGAGTTGGTTGGGTTTAACGCCGCTTTTAACAATATTCCAGTTATATTACGGCGTGTCAGCTTAATGTGGGAGGAAAGCCCGAAGTGTTGCAGGTCTCAAACGTTTACCACTTCGGTGAAACCCACGTGCACGGGTATGGTGACAAACCAAGAAACATAATACGGACGAACCTGGATTCGAAACCACAATCATACGAACGCAACTCTGAACAGCGAATCGACGACTGGGCCACCCGTGCCCCCATTTTACATAGACTTACGACAATCTAATATTAGAGCTACGATTGCTTTGTGGAACGGCCCCATGACAATTATCCCTGTTTTGTACAAGACCCCGGAGAAGAGATGAACAACATGCACGGGGGCTATGGTGAAATATTAGTTAATGATCACGACATCATTTCAGTTCTATGAATAGATTTCTCTCAAACTCGGTATTTGGTTTCCTTGCACCAAACTTATTATTGCTGTAAGATTGTCAAAACAGCGTCAGCCAAAAAGCTAGTTTGCGAAGCTATTGCACTTCCGGTCATAACAGGAAGTACATATTAAGAGTGTGGTAGCGTCCGGATTAGCGAGGTATCGCTGTATCTACTTTCTACTTCCAGGCTGTGTTTATGCTGTGTCTGCTGGGGTGGCTCTTCGTGCCGGTGTATGTCGCCTCGGGGGTAAGCGCTTACCAAAGAACCTGTTTCCTGCCATATATCCACCTTAAACAGTGATGTTCAATGTTGCTTTCAGAGAGTGAGTATGGTTTTACGCCGCTGTTAGCAATATTCCAGCAATATCACGGCGGGGGACACCAGAAATGGGTTTCACTCATTGTACCCATGTGTAGAATCGAACCCGGGTCTTCGGCGTGACGAGCGAATGCTTTAACCACTAGGCTACCCTACCGCCCCATCTTTCAGAGAACCATGGAAAAGTTTTTGTTTGTTAGGAAACTTTAATGGTGAATATCACCACTGTTGTGTCGATTTGCAATCAATGAAAGGTTGAGCCTCTGTCACAATATAAAAGTACAATTTAATTATATAGTTTTAGAAAATTATTGAATCTTGATTTTTGGAAGTAAAAGTCAGGACATAGGGTCGAACTTGAACAAAGTATATGTCTATTTCCATCTGTTTAAAACTTAACATAATATTAAGGCATACAGTTATCTCCCTTTTTCAGGCGTACACGATGCCGCAGTACCTGAAGAAGAGGTTCGGGGGACGACGTCTACGTATCTACCTCTCCTGTCTCGCCATCTTCCTTCTCATCGTACAGAAAATATCAGTGAGAAACTTTGCTTGTTCGTTTAACGCCGCACGTTTTTACCACTGTAGCAAATCGAAACTGGGGTCCGTTCCACGAAGCGATCTTAGCGCTAAGGTGATCGTAACTCCAATACTTTAACATAGACTTACGACTGTCGTAGTGCTACCATCGCTTTATGGAACGACGCCTGTGGTAAGAGGATTGGGTGGCGAAACTCAGCATCGTTACCCGACGACGTGGATCGTTGTTCATAATATCAATCACTGGTCTGTCTGGTATATATTATTAACAGGCCGAGAGGTTGTATCGGGATTAGATATTTGTTCAGCTTCATCTGCAAAACCAGATATTTTTTCATTCACAACTCTGAATCTGAATATGTTTTGAAGAAAACACCTTGCAACAATGTTATTTTTGTGGCAGGTACTTTTTTTTTCAAAGAACTGAAGCATAATAAAAAAAATTCATGATTTTCCAGGGAAAATGTTTAGATAAATTGATAAAACCCCAGCCCCATACCCCCTCAAGAATATCAAATGGTCGGTGGCTTATATACCTGGAATATTGCTTTATGGTGATGATACAAATTAACCAGTGCTCGTTCTCCCTGTCAGGTGGCCATGTATGCTGGAGCTGTCTTCATTCAGCAGTCCGTGGGCTGGGACATGTACTCGTCAATCATCAGCGTTACCCTCATAACCGCTGTCTATACCATCATAGGTTGGTAGAAAAGAGAACTGTGCGGTCAGTGGTTGGTTGGGTTTGTTTTTTTGTCTTACGCCGCACTCAGCAATATTCCAGCAGTAAACTGTTTAATTTTGCATTGTCCCGTCTAATCTTCAAGAACAGTTCGTACCAGTCATATAAACCAATGCATCTATAGAGTTGGGCTGCTTTGAAAACTTGGTCTGAATTTGACTGCCATTGTCAACCCGTGAAGATCCGGGGTAGAATAGATCTTCAGCATCCCATCCTTGCCATAACTATGCTTGTCGTAAGAGGCGACTAACGGGATCGGGTGGTCAGGTTCGCTGACATGGTTGATGCATGTCATCGTATCCCAATTGCGTGGATCGATACTCTTGATGTCAATCACTGGATTGTCTGGTCCAGACTCGATTATTAACAGACCACCGTCATGTAGCCGGAATATTGCTGAGTGCGGCGTTAAACAACAACCAACCAACCAACTCTGTCATTAACTCTCGGATACTGCGCAAAGAATGCTGAATATACATGTACATAATAACCTACCATAGACTTACAATACTCCTTAGCAGTATTTTTGGCGCATGTCAATTTAAGGTCAAATGTCAAAGTTACTCATTCTCAGTATATTTTCATGTGTGTTGTTTTTTGCCATATCTTCGCTACAGACCCTGCTGTGAAAATAACCAGTCAAGACCACCGTATATTAATATATCGCCAATATTTCAATCACATGGCGACCAAGACACTCTAGAGATACCAAGATGTGCGAATGTAAATAATCCATGGTTGTTTCTAATGCACGTGTAAACTATATAGAATGTGGTACTATATACAGCCCCAGTAGTATATTTTCTGTATAAAATAATATTTCTTCTCCTCAGGCGGTTTGTCGGCGGTGATATGGACAGACGCTTTGCAGACGGTCATCATGGTGTTTGGGTCTCTTTGGCTGGTCGTGGCAGGTACGTCGGCAGTGTACACTGACGTCATTGTATTCGCGTCTTAATCACAGAGTATGTGCGTTAAGTCCGTAGTAAGTCACAGAGTATGTGCGTTAAGTCCGTAGTAAGTCACAGAGTATGTGCGTTAAGTCAGTCGTAAGTCACAGAGTATGTGCGTTAAGACAGTCGTAAGTCACAGAGTATGTGCGTTAAGACAGTCGTAAGTCACAGAGTATGTGCGTTAAGTCAGTCGTAAGTCACAGAGTATGTGCGTTAAGACAGTCGTAAGTCACAGAGTATGTACGTTAAGTCCGTAGTAAGTCACAGAGTATGTGCGTTAAGTCCGTAGTAAGTCACAGAGTATGTACGTTAAGTCCGTAGTAAGTCACAGAGTATGTGCGTTAAGTCCGTGGTAAGTCACAGAGTATGTACGTTAAGTCCGTAGTAAGTCACAGAGTATGTACGTTAAGTCAGTCGTAAGTCACAGAGTATGTGCGTTAAGTCAGTCGTAAGTCACAGAGTATGTGCGTTAAGACAGTCGTAAGTCACAGAGTATGTGCGTTAAGTCAGTCGTAAGTCACAGAGTATGTGCGTTAAGTCAGTCGTAAGTCACAGAGTATGTACGTTAAGTCCGTAGTAAGTCACAGAGTATGTGCGTTAAGTCCGTAGTAAGTCACAGAGTATGTACGTTAAGTCCGTAGTAAGTCACAGAGTATGTGCGTTAAGTCCGTGGTAAGTCACAGAGTATGTACGTTAAGTCCGTAGTAAGTCACAGAGTATGTACGTTAAGTCAGTCGTAAGTCACAGAGTATGTACGTTAAGTCCGTAGTAAGTCACAGAGTATGTGCGTTAAGACAGTCGTAAGTCACAGAGTATGTACGTTAAGTCCGTAGTAAGTCACAGAGTATGTGCGTTAAGACAGTCGTAAGTCACAGAGTATGTACGTTAAGTCCGTAGTAAGTCACAGAGTATGTTCGTTAAGACAGTCGTAAGTCACAGAGTATGTGCGTTAAGACAGTCGTAAGTCACAGTGAATGTGCGTTAAGACAGTCGTAAGTCACAGAGTATGTGCGTTAAGACAGTCGTAAGTCACAGAGTATGTGCGTTAAGACAGTCGTAAGTCACAGAGTATGTGCGTTAAGTCAGTCGTAAGTCACAGAGTATGTGCGTTAAGACAGTCGTAAGTCACAGAGTATGTGCGTTAAGACAGTCGTAAGTCACAGAGTATGTGCGTTAAGTCAGTCGTAAGTCACAGAGTATGTGCGTTAAGACAGTCGTAAGTCACAGAGTATGTGCGTTAAGACAGTCGTAAGTCACAGAGTATGTGCGTTAAGACAGTCGTAAGTCACAGAGTATGTGCGTTAAGTCAGTCGTAAGTCACAGAGTATGTGCGTTAAGACAGTCGTAAGTCACAGAGTATGTGCGTTAAGACAGTCGTAAGTCACAGAGTATGTGCGTTAAGACAGTCGTAAGTCACAGAGTATGTGCGTTAAGACAGTCGTAAGTCACAGAGTATGTGCGTTAAGTCAGTCGTAAGTCACAGAGTATGTGCGTTAAGTCAGTCGTAAGTCACAGAGTATGTGCGTTAAGACAGTCGTAAGTCACAGAGTATGTGCGTTAAGACAGTCGTAAGTCACAGAGTATGTGCGTTATGTCCGTAGTAAGTCACAGAGTATGTGCGTTAAGACAGTCGTAAGTCACAGAGTATGTGCGTTAAGACAGTCGTAAGTCACAGAGTATGTACGTTAAGTCGGTCCTAACTCAGAGTATGTACGCGTTATGTCAGTGGTAAGTCACAAAGTATGTATGTAAGTGAGGTGTACAACACTGATTATGTGTGTAAAATGTGAGTCGTAAGTCACACAGAGTACGTGTGTAAGTCAGTGGTAAGTCACATAGTATGTTCGTTAAGTCAGTCGTAGGTCATAGAGTATGTGCGTTAAGTCAGTCGTAAGTCACAAAGTATGTGTGGAAGTCGGTCGTACGTCACAGATTACGTGTGTAAAATGTCAGTCGTAAGTCACACAGAGTATTGTGTAAGTCAGCCGTAAGTCACAGAGGATGTGTGTTAAGTCAGTCGTAAGTCACAGAGTATTGTGTAAGTCAGTCGTAAGTCACAGAGTATGTGCGTTAAGTCACTCGTTAGTCATAGCGTACCGTTACGTCCGTCGTAAGGATATTATCGGGTTGTGGGAAGTCGCCATACCACACATCAATACCCTGGTCCCAAACCAATGTCCCGTGGGGGTGGTGAGAGAAGGGGAGAGGGTGCGGACACCTGTGGATCCGCGCGTGGCACCAGATCGTGGAGCCTGCATTGTCATCCTTACAGTTGATACAATTTGATATCCGGTAAAATTTACATATGTCACGGCTGCCAGTGTTAAAGTAAACGTGAACTAGTGAATTTTGATCTAATATGGATTCACGCCAATGTTGGTCGAGATGACATACAGGATTGAGGTAATCCGACCAAAGAAGGTGTTTACCTGGGATTTCCACGAGGTTTCCATGCAGGCCCATACACTGTATATGTTAACACATATAGAACACAATATCTGCGGACACTACAATGGGTCGGGTTGTCTTTCGCGCAAGGTGAGTGTTTAACCACAATGACAAAGCAAGTCGAGACAACCTAACACTGTGTAAACATCCCCATCATGGAGGCCATACATACTGGTTACCGTTATGCATGAAAATACTATAGAAAATCGTGATGTACGCTATCGTAATATGATCTGTCTAGGTATGTTAATGTATGTACTAGAATAGATATTTCTATCGATGGTGAGTCTGGGATTTTGAACGGGGCTCATGTTGGTTGGTTGGTTCTCATTCCAGCTGTATGACGGCAATCTGTACATAATGGTGTCTGGACCAGACTATCCAATGATTGACATCATGAGCATTTACCTACGCAATAGGGACACGATGAGTTAGCGAACCTGACCGCCTAAGTTACTCGCCACTTACGACCTAGATTGGGTTCCTGGAGACGAAATTCTAATTTCTTCAATTGGGGATGTCCAATCACAACAGGCCCAACTCCGAAAAGGGACCGTGTTAAAATAATCCATGCCGACAATAACTGAAAGATCGCGAAATAGGGGCATTCTTTCCATTCACTCTATGTCTAAAGGACGTCTTCGAAGATCGAGCGAAGGATATTTTTAAGATATCAAATCACTGTATTGTCTGATCCAGAGGGGCGGTCGGGTAGCCTAGTGGTTAAAGCGTTCGCTCGTCACGGCGAAGACCCGGGTTCGAATCCCGACATGGGTACAATGTGTGAAGGGCATTTCTGATGTCCCCCGCCGTGATATTGCTGGAATATTGCTAAAAGCGGCGTATCTTATCGATAATCAAGATCTATATTGTGATAAAACGAGTCTTACATCGCGAAGTGCATCAAATCACGTGAGCACCTTGATTAAAAAGATTTAGGAAAAGATTTAGAAAATATTTGTTGACAACGAGTTAGCGGTGCACATCCTTTGCAAATCCTGCAGTCGACCGAAATCTGCATGACACTTTACGAACCGGATTTCGATTTCGGTGCGCGATTTTGATTGGACTATGCATAGACTCGTTAGTCCAGCCAAATGTAACTCCATAATACCAGCCTAGTTTGGCAAGGGTGGAAACTGGACTTCTATAGTCAGTTAACTCACTTGCCTCGGGAAGATGGGTTAGAATAGGTCTTCAGCAATCAATGCTTGCCATAAAAGGTGACTATGCTTGTCGTAAAAGGCGACTAACGGGATCGGGTGGTCAGGCTCGCTGACTTGGTTGATGCATGTCATCGATCCCAATTGCGTGGATCCATGCTCATGATATTAATCACTGGATTGTCTGGTCCAGACTCGATTATTTACAGACCGCCGTCATATAGCTGGAATATTGCTGAGTGCGGTGTTAAGCAACAAACAAACAAACAAACAAAACTGTTCATTAAAAGACAAGCTTGAGTGAGTAACCAGTGACCATAGTTGTTAACCGGACAAATGTTAATTTATTTAAATGATTGAGTGAGTATGAGAAATGGGCCTTTCTGTTATAAGTCGCATTAACAAACCGGAAATGATGTCATAAGACCGGAAGTGCTCAGCTCTCGACCCGGTATATCAAGAGACGGGGCCAGCTTAGAGAAATGGGCCTTTCTGTTTTAAGTCGCATTAACTAACCGGAAATGATGTCATAAGACCGGAAGTGCTCAGCTCTCGACCCGGTATATCAAGAGACGGGGCCAGCTTAGAGAAATGGGCCTTTCTGTTTTAAGTCGCATTAACTAACCGGAAATGATGTCATTAGACCGGAGTTGTATTTTACCATTATAAAGTACATCCTCCATTATCCAGTATTATATTATATCAATTCCCTGATGATAAATACCCTGGATCCATTCGCTACCACAGCGTTTTGAACCCGATTAGAAATGCACGACGCTGAAAAACTCCCTCCAAGCAAATTACTCTTCTGTGCCAAGTTACAATAGGGTGATGTGGGCTGGTGACGTCACTCCCGAAACGAAGCTGTATTGTGACGAAAGGTTCCTGTGTACAATTCAAACCCTGATATTTCATGTCGGCTGAAAGGGGAGATAATTTGCGGGGAGGTAACTCTTGTAAGACAATAGTGAATACTGCAGTGCAAATATGAAGTGTTATGTTCACTGCAATGAAAATATCACTTTTCTCAACTTCAGAAAACTCAGTCTCTCACCCTGAAGTATATCATGACATGGTATTTCACTCGACACATGGAATACTCTCTAAAATTATGGTGCTGCAATACCTGTATGTGTTGGTGATGGTGCTACACGTATTCCAGGCTTCCTCAACGTGGGCGGCATGGACGAGTTGTTCGAGAAGTACATGCACTCCGTCCCCAACGTCACCACATGCGGTAACACTACCAGCGGCTTCCCTCGCGCCGACTCCCTCCACATCTTCCGCGACCCCATCGACGGAGACATCCCGTGGCCCGGCGCCATCTTGGGCCTCACCCCCATGGCCATCCTGGCGTGGTGCACGGACCAGGTCAGTAACCTTTTTAGGTGGTGAGTGAGTAGATTGACGCCGCTTTGAACGCTATTTCCGTTATATCTCAGCGTGTCAGCTTGATGCAGGATGAGAGCTACAAACTGTGTGTCATGCCTATTTCCATTTTACGATTCCATTTATTTAAAGTGATTGTTATTGTTCAACTAAAGCGCTTTAAGCATGCACTTAGTGTGTTTGTGTGTGTGGTGGGGACATTATTAAACCGGTCCCTCTAGATGTAGTGTGTGTGACCCTAGTTCAGCATTTCCCAGCGGGGCATATGTAGTTTATACCTTATCTGTAAGCAGTACATGGGATAAAACTGCACATTCAGTAACCAATCAGAAATAAGTAGCTTCGTGCAAGGTACGATAACAGTCAATATTCAATAACAAACAGCAACAAAAAACTTTACGTAGTTTCAAACCGACAGGGCTCCCATACGTGTGTATTCCAGCAATATCACGACGGGGGACACCGGAAATGGGCTTTCAATCACTGGATTGTCTGGTCCAGACGCGATTATTTACAGACCGCCGTCATATAGCTGGAATAGTGCTGAGTGCGGCGTTAAACATAAACAAACAAAACAAATCCTGCTTCAGGTGATGGTTCAGCGAGTTCTATCCGCCAAGACCCACTCTCACGCCAAGGGAGGGGTACTTCTGGCCGGCTGGCTCAAACTCCTCAGTTTCTTCATCGTCATCTTGCCGGGAATGATGGGAAGGGTTCTGTTTCCGGGTAGGTACAATCGGAACATACCTACCTGTCTCGACTCGCTGTGTCATATCGGGCAAAGGGATTATAATGGACCTGGACCATCCAATTAAAAAGTACTTTGTCCAATATTAATTAGTGTTCGTGTTTTTTAGTTGACCAATGTTGTGATGTCGCCTTCAGATGAAGTTGGCTGTGTTGACCCTGACATCTGCGAGAGCGTCTGTGAAAATCGCAATGGCTGCTCCAACATCGCATATGCAAAACTGGTCGTCAACATTTTGCCTATAGGTAAGAAAACAACGAGAATCAAGAAATGCAAACATTTCTTATAAACCTATCACCCCTAGGTTTTACAATTAACGTTTTATAAACTTGCCGCTTGATGTGAACACACTTCTGTTTGGTAATTAGTTGAAAGTCACAATTTTGTTTTAAATGAAAATTCCATGACGTGAATCGAACCTGCTTTGTAACCCACTCTTTTCCCACTGAGGTATTTGATGAGAAGTTGTTAAATATATCAAGTCATGACTCCAGGGGGCACGGGTGGCCCAGTCGTCTAAGGCGTCGCGATTCTCTGTGCAGAGTTGCGTCCCTTGGGCACGCCAGAAACCTATGATTGTGGGTTCGAATCCCGGTTCGCCCCGATTATGTTTCTAGGTTTGTCAGCACCATACCCGTGCTCGTGGGTTTCACCGAAGTGGTAAACGTCTGAGACCTGCATCACTTCGGGCTTTCCTCCCACATTAAGCTGACACGCCGCGATATAACTGGAATACTGTTAAAAGCGGCGCTAAACCCAACTCACTCACTCACTCATGACTACAATTGGTCCATGCTGCACCTGTTTTTTCTCTCGCACGCTTTGAGCGAATTTCTTTTATACCGCGATACACTGTTTTCACTATAAGGTATGTCGATGTTTTCTTATTTTTTCTGGTATTTCTTGGATTTATACGGTTCTTAAGTTGAATAAAACACGCGTCCTCTGTTTTGGTTGAAAATATAAAACCTTAAGCTCGGGTAAAACTCCGGGGCTTTTCCCTCGCTAGCGGTTTTACTTTTTCATCCAAAACTGAAGAGGCGTTTTTTTTCTTATACATAATAAAAATGCATGCTACACAAAAATATTCGACATAAATAAGGCTATGACTACAGCCACTGCTTCGTGAAATGGTGGAGAAAGACCACGTTTTTTTATGTACAAGTAGTTTATTAATGTCCAATATACACATTGGGTATGTGTGTTGGTTTTTTGACCATGTATAATCTCATTGTGGTAGGAAGAACAAGCTGGTTGAAAAGAAAATGTGTCTGCTTGAAAGACATGCTATAGATGAAGCATTTGATTTATCCTGAATGATATTGATAGGAGGATACGAAATGAATATTTATCACATAATGGGAAGGTTTCTCGGCAGGATAAAGCCAACGGATAAAAAAGATGTCCGTTGGGGTCATATGCGTGTAGAGATGCAAATATCAACGGTCAAGTAGGGACTTCTTTCAGTGTTTATAAACAAATATGGCGTCACCCTTGTCATTCGGCGATCGAGTCAGAATTAGGCCTAACCATCGGGAATATGGAGAAACTACTGGGATGATTGCTATCATAATCAAAAGAATAGTCAAATATACTGAAAATCAGTGTCTAACTGTGCTAAAGTACCTGAGACATTTTACAAGTTGTGGCAACTTTGGAGACATAAATTGCAAAACAAGGTTACTAGCAAAGCGGGATCAGTTTCAATATCTGTGCTTGTAGACCTCTGCGGCTTGGAACCTTTTCCTTAAATTAAAACTGTATAAGAAACAGGTTTCAGTTAGAACTATATTGGCTTCTGTCACTGTCCGACTGACACATCACTTGCCCTTAATATATATTAATGCGCACTTTTCAGGAAGGATTGCAATGTTTAGGTAATGTCTGTGAGAGATGGGAAGAGCTGTTAGAGCACAGAATTGGGGAATGACATTATATAATAAAAAGGTTATCGTGCTTATGTGTTTGGAGATGGTAAATATCCTGTATTAGGAGTAAACACTATGTATTTATTCCTAATTTAGGATATATATATATATATATTTACCATCCCCAACCACACTCTCGTCAACTAGCCCTAGCTTAGCCCCCCTTTAAGGCGACCATGTTGTGTACAGGCGTTCGTGGTCTGATGCTGGCGTGTATGATGTCGGCGCTGATGAGCACACTGACGTCGGTCTTCAACAGCGCGAGTAGCCTCTTCACACTAGATCTGTATACAAGATGTCGACCCAAGTCATCAGAGAGGGAGCTGATGATTGTGGGGAGGTAATGCCTACGATCTTGTTTCGCTTTCTTTCAGCAGATCGTGTGTTCAACCGTGATATATTAGATCAAAGTTCGATTCCCCTATGACAAAAAGAGGCTGCTAATATTTGTAAGGAAATATCCAAAAGTGAGATTGTAAATTCTTTAGAAATATGCCTGCGTTATTTCTTAAATGAGGGTAAGACGGGCTTCCATTCGCAGTGTAGTCCAGAGACGTTCCGCGAAGTTATCTTAGCACTACAAGTTTCGTGAGTCAGTGTTGTTAAAGTATTGGGGGTGAGTGAGTGAGCTGGATTTTATGACGTTTTCAGCAATATTCCAGCAATATCACGGCGGGGACACCAGAAATGTTCTTTACACAATATCTATACTGGAGTTAAGACAGCCGCAGGACAAAGCGTGAGTGGGTTATGTTACACCTGGGCTGAACAAATTAGTGTGGATAAACGCTTGAATTGATGCAGGTCTTAGATATTAACCACTTTGGTGAAACCCACGAGCATGAGTATGGTGCTGACAAACCTAGATTCTTAATCAGTGCGAACCTGGGATTCGAACCCACGATCATAGAATTATGTAACCAGGGGACGCAGCAAATTGAGACATGACTACTTATGCCATGTACAATGCTAGGAAGGGTTGGTCATTGCTCCATCAAACAATCATAAACCTCAATATCGGAGCATAACCCGGTCAGATATTCCTGGAATAGTAAGTGAATGAGTGAGTTGGGTTTAACGCCGCTTTGAACAGTATTCCAGTTATAGCACAGCGTGTCAGCTTGATGTAGGGGAAAAGCCCAAAGTGATGCAGGTGTACCACTTTGGTGAAATCCAAGCCTGGATATGGTGCTGACAAACCTAGAAACATAATCCGGGCGAACCGGGATTTGAACCAACAATCATAGATTTCTGGCGTGTCCAAGGGACGCAACTCTGCACAGTGAATGGACTATATATCGACTATATACACTCACATTACTTGTTCATAAGGCCATGACGCTTTCCTCAAATGCCTTCAGCAATATTGTTATAATATTAGCGTTAAATTCAATGAATGACCCTCATCGCCTCTTCTTCCCAGACTGTTCATCCTGGTATTGGTAGCTGTCAGCATTGCATGGATCCCTATCCTGAACGCCGCCCAAGGGGGGCAACTCTGGACATACGTGCAGGCCATGCAGGCGTATCTGTCCCCGCCATGGGTCGTGGTCTTCATAATGGGGATAGCCTGGAAGAGGACTACAGAAAAGGTGACCTTCCTACCTGACTTTACCCGTGAAGATCCGGTTTAGAATAGGTCTTCAGCAACCCATGCTTGACATAAGAGGCGACTATGCTCGTCGTAAGAGGCGACTAACGGGATCGGGTGGTCAGGCTCGCAGACTTGGTTGATCGTATTCCAGTTGCGGAGATCGATGCTCGTGATGGCAATCACTGGATTGTCTGTTCCAGACTCGATTATTTACAGACCGCCGTCATACAGCTGAAATAATGCCGAGTGCGGCGTTAAACAACAAACAACCCAAACATAGCTGACTTAAAGAGTGAGTTTGGCTAACGATGACTTTGGCAGCATTCAAGCATTTTGAATGGATTTCGATTTACCACGATTTTATCAGTATTCAAGCACTACCACTGTGTCTCTTGGTGTTCGGGAAAGAATAGGCCCCCAACAACATATGCCTGTAAGAGGTCACTCTATGGATCAAGTGGTCAATCTAGTTGACTTTGTTGAATGGTTTCGGACCTTACTCATAATATCAATCACTTGTATGTATGGTTCAGGGTCGATTATTTGCAGGCCGCCATTATTCAATTGGAATATTGCCGAGGTTGGCGTTAAACAACAAACAAACCTGCGATAGTCGTGGAGCTGAGACTGTTTTGCGGAAGGGGGCCCTGATCTTGACACGTAACGGACAGTCCATCTTCCCGAGGCAAGAGAGTTAACTGACTTTTAAAGTCCAGTTTCCACCCTTGCCGAACTAGGCTGGAATTCCTGGGCTCGATCGAAGCGCCACCAGTGGCTATTACGAGTTATGTCCTTTCTATGCCTCTCCTATTGCTTCTATTGCATTTGCTTCAAACAAAACGGTGGCGCCCAGTCAAGACAATCTGATCGATAATCAAGATCTATATTGTGATAAAACGAGTCTTACATCGCGAAGTGCATCAAATCACGTGAGCACCTTGATTAAAAACATGAAAAGATTTAGAAAATATCTGTTGACAACGAGTTAGCGTAGCACATGCTTTGCAAATCCTGCAGTCGACCGAAATCTGCATGACACTTTACGAACCGGATTTCGATTTCGGTGCGCGATTTTGATTGGACTATGCATAGACTCGTTAGTCCAGCCAAAATGTAACCCCATAATACCAGCCTAGTTCGGCAAGGGTGGAAACTGGACTTTAACAGTCAGTTAACTCACTTGCCTCGGGAAGATGCGGACAGTCATGACGTAACTACTATTTGTAACTAGGGTCTAAATACATTGTACTATCTCCAATTATTCAGAATCTGATGGTTACAATGCTTCTGTCACAAGGGGGCGTTCTGGAGTCTGATGGCGGGACTCGCTGTCGGATTGAGCCGGATGATCCTGGATCTCGCCTACCCCAAACCTGCGTGCGGCGAAGACGAGACCAGACCGGAAGTCCTTTACAAAGTGGACTTCCTGTACTTCGCAGTTATCCTGACCATCATAGTGTTCGTCGTCTGCATCGTTATCAGCCTCATGACCGAGAAGAGACCAGAAGCTAAGGTAGGCCAAGCAGAGGGACCTTTGAATTATATTAATCACATGCATTACTCCGCCGCGAGCCTTCGTTTTGAAGCTGGTTGGAATGACATCATGCTAAAAATAGACATCCAATCAAATTACACTGTTCTTTCACGGTTTAACCAATCAGGTGATTGAGTGAATTGGATTGTATGCCGCTTTAGCAATATTCCAGCAGTATCATGGGGCTGAGCGCTGGAAATGGGCTTCACACACTGTACCCATGTGGGCAATCGAACACGGGATTTCGGCGTCTTCAACGTTTGACATGTTCTTTGTGCTACTGCATGAATCGGAGACCATAAAATAACTTGGCTGGAGACATGCAACTTCTACTATTAAAACAAAACAAAATATCACAAACTCTGATATGTACATGTATACATTATAGAAAAGGACAATCCATCATCTAAATAATTATGTTATTGAATGACACCTTCTTGTCTCTGACTCCTCTTGGAGTAACCGCAATGTATTTACCTTCTTTTTTTCTTGGCATCCAGACCGCCTCCGTGGTCTAGTGGTAGAGCGTCCACCCGGAGAGCGGAAGGTCCGGGGTTCGATCCCCGGCCGCGTCATACCAAAAGACGTTAAAAAGATGGTACTTGTTGTTACCCTGTCTAGCGCTCGGCATTAAGGGGCTAAAACAAGGACTGGTCGGATCTGAGTCAGTATACTGTGTCTGAGTGGGGTATTCATGTTAAACTGCGGCATGGTATCTCAGTTAGCTAGCACTATAAATCGGCATCAGTCCGGACTAGTACAATCAGCCACACAAACACACAAACGTACATGTACATGCACGTCGCTATAAAAGTGCAATAATCTTGGACGCGACGTTAAACCCCATTTCACCTCACCTCTTGGCATCCACAAAGCAAATGGTAATTTCGTGATATAAATATTTCATGTAATGAATTTTTATTTTTATATGATTTTACTGTTGCCTAATACACAAATTCAGTTGTACTTTAGATCATATCCCTCATAATATATATTTAGGAAGAATACTTACAGTATTACATATACGGTATAAAACAAAAAAATAAATTAAATGTCTCCCCAGTTTTGTTAATGGCACTAATATTTAACATGTCTCCTTTTTGTGCACCTTAGTAACCGAGAACTTTCATTGAGCATTAGTGTCCGTTACTGAAAATCACAATCTGCACTTTTGCCGATTTTAGATGTGCGCCATTTTGTTCACTCGGACAAAGACGAAGTGTTGCCACACTCAGCGAATACAATGACAACGATATGCTTTAGCGCACTAATATATCTCAGTTGTAATGTTGACAATGTTAAAAAATACATCAGCGTAAATATATATTTTGAAATATATTCTTTGCATGAAAAATAAGGCGACAACAGTTACTTCAGTGAACGCGTTTCCGACAGCTTCCGGTTAGCCAGCGCAGTACAAGCCGTAGCGCTGATGGTTTCGCGCATATACTAGATCCCTTTATTTTATGGTCTCTGCATGAATTCACTCGTGGGTTTTTATGATAGGCAAGCCAGTATTAATCGTATATTAATTAAACATTACAGTCATGGTACTCAGATTTAACGTCTTGTAACTGGTTGGCATGAAAACACTCAAGGTCATAACTTACCATCATTTAATCGTCAACGTCTTTCTACAGCTACGGCGGGTCACGTGGAGCACTCGTTACTCCGAGCCACGAGAGGACACGGACGATGAAGAGGACTACGACAACGAGGCTGCTAGGAACGCTGACGTACACCATCAAAAGGATGAGGAAGTGGAAACAGGTATGTTTGGGAAAGGGTGAGAGAATTTTTTGAAGGTCGTTTACATTTATGTTTCTTGAGTGAATTTTATTTTGCAACTCATTTGATGAAAAGGCCTTAGTGACCACGTATGGGGATGTCGTGCCAATACCATATCTGAGTACTAAGACAATGTGCTCGGTGGCTTTTAAATTGTCTGTAGGAGCAGGCGGAGCATTGGGTTATAGCATATCCGATCACTCTATCACGAAAACGACGTAAAAGGGCAGTTCCGAAGGGATAATAAAGGACGAGTTATCTATATGTTGGATTAACCAAGGTCGGGGGTTCGCCCCCCGGCCGCGTCACACCAAAAGACGTTAAAAGATGGTACTTGTTGCTCAGTGAGCTAGCACTGTAAAGCCGGCATTAATCCGGACTAACACCCACGCACCCACGCGTACACACCCACACACATACACACTACACACATACACACTACTATTCGTGTTCTATCCGTGTTCTAATGGGGATCTTTAATTATATTCCAGATGGAAAATTTAGTTTCAAGGAGAAAGTATACAACATCCTGTGCTGCTACTCCAGCTTCAAACCTAAACCAGTAACCAAGGCGATGGAGGAAGCGGAAGAGAGGCGCTACAGAGGCCAGGACGAGGCTCCCTGGGTCAGCAAGTTCTTGGACTTAAATGCCATTATTGTGATGGGCGTAACGGTGTTTCTTCTGGGCCTGTTCGCTTAGGAATGATCTAAACACAAGTCATGCTCATGATATAATCGGAATCGTACAATCGACTCTGCTATTAGCAGAGATTTCTTATGAATATGGAAAGGGTTTAGTCGCTTTTATTAACACTGTCTCATTGGTTGTAGTACATACATGATATAGAACCCTGCTTAATCTCAGGGTATTTGTAGCTTTCAGAGTCTATTTCCGGTCTAAGTTTCGATGTTATCAAACGGAGATATCGTCTCTGAAGAATTAAAACAGTTTATTTACAATATGTAATATACACATTTGGTTAAATAAATAATGATGTTTTCAATAATAATTTGCATCAGCTGGATAAATTTCCTCATATTCAGATTATTGAGATAACAATATGAAATATACTTATTGCGCCAAAGAGCAGCTACAGCAGCTGCCCAATATGTCACTCTTAGGGATACGGATGGTCACGTCAAAAAGTCTGCCAATCTGCCTCGTAGGTGCGTTCTAAGTGCCCTTAGGTGCGTTCTACATGTTTTAATAACCTAGATATCTTACTTACCTCCAAATGTATAGAGAATCTCACCCGAGTGTCTTTTGACATCAACTATATCAACACGAGTTGATAAAAGTGGTAAAACTCCGAGAGAGATTTTATTGATCATCCAATATGATTTTTAAATCGAAATACGCGAAAAGAAAAGTCAATGATATATAAAAGCGATAACTACAATAATATCTCCTGTGGAACCGATTTGGGATGATAAATATGAACACTGTCATCAATGAAATTTGAATCTCGATTCAAAAGCGAAAGTGAAAGAAGGTAGCAGTTTTGAGGCTGGCGGCCATCTTGGTTTCTGAAATCTGTTCTGCTTTTTTGGTGATGAAGGGCTAGGGGCGATATGGTAAGCGAAGCTAGGTTCTGGTAGTGGTTGCGATACAAGGCACACAGTACTGTGCAGTTTTAGTTTCCATAAACAGATATTCCTTTGTAGACAGTTACTGGTAATGAATCACTGTCTTACATGAAATCAGACCATTGTGCACTATTCATATTGTCCTGAACTTGCTATACGTATCTAGTACTTAGAAGATACACAGATATTTGTTTGGTTGTTGTTTTATGCCGCACTCAGCAATATTCCAGCTATATCACTTCATTCTGTAGATAATCGAGTCTGGCCCAGACAGTCCAGTGATTGATATTATGAGCATCGATCCACGCAATTGGGATACGATGACATGCATTAACCAAGTCAGCGAGCCTGACCACCTGATCCCGTTAGTCGCCTCTTACGACAAACATGGGTTGCTGAACACATATACTAACCCGGATCTTCACGGGTAGTGACGCGGTTATTTTGGTTGTGTCATATATCTATTATATGTTCGTACAATTAAAATATATGTATATCTATTTCCTTCTGTGACATGTTTTTGATATAAGCATCTATCCATTTACTACAGTATCCGGTTCAAACTACGTAACAAAGAGAGACATTTGAAATAGACAATATTGGGGGAAAAAACTTGAAACAAAACAACGCCTGACTCAACACGAAACGTCATCTCAAAAGTATAAGGCTATGTTCACTTAATACAATCAATGTCAAACAAAAAATGAAACGTATGATGATACTACCACACATGTTTCGCTGTAGAAATATATTTATCACAACTCCATAACAGAATGATGAGATCTGATTGGTCCACGTGATCTTGATAAAATACTGTGTAACCCGCCTTGGACGGGATAATCAAATTCTCAGCGGAGGAATAAATCCATTACACCCCAACAAGAGCAAGTTAAGCTGCACGTGGATTTCTGAGAGGTAGAATAAATCCCTTATACCCCGCTTCGAAACAAAAAGCTGCACGCTTTTTCCGAGAAAATGAACGTCACGTGACAGAGCACTCATTAACCTCTGCTCAATCGGACAGCTGTTTTCTATCAGTTTTGAATGTGTGTAAATTCTTTTACAATGTCACATTAAAACACGTCGGTAAGATAAATTCGTTGCAGCAGGATCACTCGGGGTACATGGGATTTTATTCGTTTGAGTCTCCGGCTCGTGGGAGAAAATCTAACGCGGGGCGCATAAATCTCCATGTACCCCGAGTGATCCTGCTATAACTTACAACATATACTTGGACAAGCGCTGCCTATAGATACGTTGGAGTAAGCTGTCGTAACTGAATTATCGTAAGTCTATGTTAAAGTATGGGAGTTACGATAACCTTAGCACTAAGATCGCTTGGTGGAACAGGGCCCTGCGTTCACTGAAGCGCACGTAAAATATCTTCAGCAATTTTCTGACGAAAAAATGTCTCACTCTCAAATCTTGAAGTGAGTGAGTGAGTATGGTTTTACGCCGCCTTTAGCAATATTCCAGCAATATCACGGCGGGGGACACCAGACAAGTCTTGTAGAAATGTTGGAATTAATAACATCGTTAACAATATACTTGATTTATTTCATAAATAGACTCCGTATTTACACATTTCACGTAAACCATAAGACAAAAACACTGAACAACATGACAATGTATGTAAAAGTTCGATCAACACCTATAATCTCGATAGTTCAAGCAAATCAAATGTAAAAAATGAATGAATAATATTGTTTTACGCCGCTTCAGCAATTTTCCAGCTATTCGCGGCCAAAGCAAAAGGAGATGTTTTCCCAACTGACACAACTGAAAAATGTATGTCATAAGCATTCATTTGAAAGGGGCAGATAATTCGTTATTTTCAACTTGAAATAGCGACTGAACATTGCAGCTACACCAAGTTCTTGTAGATACTCGAGTCTGGACCAGGCAAACCAGTGAGTGTTGTTTAATGTGACAATCATCAATATTCCAGCCAAATCTTGAAATCTGGACCAGGCAAACCATTGAGCAATGATCCACCTTACGACGACAATGAGTAAGTGAGCATTGTTTTATGCCGCTTTTATCAATATTCCAGCAATATCACACCAGAAATGGGCTTCACACTTTTTTCCCATGTTGGGAATCGAACCCTGGTCTTCGGCGTGACGAGCGAACGCTTTAACCACTAGGCTACCCCGCCGCCCTAATCAGTAAAGACCGTGCGACACCCATTTCATCTGGCTCTTCGAAGCATCAGATACTGGGAACCCGTTCTAACCCGGAATCGCCACATTGGAGCGCCAAATAACTCGACATTGGCCCGTCTTAAGAAGGCTCCTGGTCAGCAGATGTTTCTCAATTTTACCCATTGTCCTTTGTGGACGAAAATGCAACAATCATTCTGACATATTCTGACATGGAATTGCCCCAGGAGATGATGCCTGGAATTACTACTGACACAAGACCCGATGTTCCAACTGCGATGTGTTTGTTGATTTGATTGTTGTTTAACGCCGCAATCAGCAATATGTGACCGCGGTCTGGACCAGACAATCTAGTAATTGACACCATGAACATCGATCTACGTAATTGGGATACGATGACATGCATCAACCAAGTCAGTGTGCCTGACCATCCCTCTCGGTTAGTCGCCTCTTACGACAAGCATGAACTGTTGGAGGTTAATTCTAACCCGGATCTTCACGGGGTCCAACGACGAATCCCAATTAACCCTCCCAAGAAGTAATGCTAGTTACCACATCAGTTCCAGAAAGCGATCTTAGTGCTACGATTATCGTAAGTCTATGTTAAAGTATGGGAGTTACGATAACCTTAGCACTAAGATCACTGTGTTCAAACAGTGGTCAAGCAGTTATTAACAGGAAGAAGAACGTTCTCGGACTTGACCAGACTAACATCTAATCTCTGAAATGAACATAGTTCATAAAATAGTTATAAAATATAATAAAAAGGAGTCCAGGGACTTTCTTCATTTTCAGATACTGCAGTAATCTAGACTTGCCAAACATTATAGACTTGCATGGGCTGTATTGGATATATTTGTTCAGGGTCTGTATGACAGACTAGGACTTGACTTTCAACTTCAGTCGCATACGCTTATCAAACGAGGCTGTTTATCTTTCACCCTACATTCGCAGAGCTTCGTGTATTTGTACCTCTCCGTGGAAATAAAGAAGTCCCTTTTCGTCTACCTTCCCGAGGCAAGAGTCCAACTGGACTTTTTATAGTCGGTTAACTCCCTTGCCTCGGGAAGATGTTTTCGTCTTATAATATACATTGGATACAGTCAACAACTTTTGCTTTTTACTTTCGTCAAATTAAGTTTGCTAGGTGGAAATGAATCAGCGTCAGGGTACAGACGGTTTAGATACCCCGATGTCTATTTTTGTTCAATACGTTATGAGGTTTGCCCTATTCGGCTCAAGTCTGGGACACATGCGCCATGAATGACATAAGCAAAACTTGGCGTACCCATGCTGCAGCCAGGCTGTGAAAAATGAATATATACTCACATGTACTTTATTGAGGGGCCATGCAGATAATAAGAGATTAAACGCCACACGTTCAACTTCCAAGAGTGCTGTTCAGTTGCATCTGGAATTATACCCACGTTGACTGTTGCTCATCTTCCGAGGGAGGGAGTTAACTGGCTATAACAGACCAGTTTCCACGGACTTTTGCAGTCAGTTACCTCCCTTGCCTCGGGAAGATGACTGTTACTTGTCATACATTAGATAATTCCTTAAAGAAAATTCTGTTGGGACTATAAGATTATTTATATAAGATTAAAATGTTTTTTGTTTGCGGGGGTATAAACGTAAATACCGCTGGGCATACTGCATGAACCTGACACAGTAGTCCGTTTGTGGGCGTGGCCTAATTGTCTTTGGTCTTGTTGGGACAGAATGATAGGTGTGTTTACACTAAATTCTACCAGAGACCATATAATAGATTCTATTATATGGTCTCTGATTCTACCATGACAGTGAATGCTTGATTTAGCAAAAGCGTTCGGTTCCAAATTAAAATAAGAGGTATCTACTCTACAATGGGACCACGTCAAATTTCAAAACACAGAAGGTTAATCTCCTAAATGACCAGCGACCGTCTCAACAAGACTTGGTGCACTGCAAGATCGGGCCTAAAATCACTTTAGCATAGGTAACATGGCTCTCTATATTACAATACAGTATGGTTATATCTCCTAACTGAAGAAACGTGTTTGAAAACTCAATCCTACAAAATAACCTTCAAATTATAATATCAAGGACTCGATTGTTAACAAATTTAAGATTGCTACGCGATAAATCGCAAAGAACGATTAGGAACGAAGCGTGGTTTATTTCACGATAAAATAGTGTTCTGTCATGACGTCCTTTCTGGAGATTCGAACATGCGCTCGCAACTTGACGTCGTATGTTTGACGTTACCCTTAGATGTAGCAAGGCAACGCAGATAAACGCGATGGCCAAACGATCGCATACAAAAGCGGGAGAGATATGACATTCGGTATTGGGAGAAAAGGTACAGGCAATCGACGTGAGGATTATGAGAATATGCGGGAAATACCCACCTGTGCAGACAATGGACTTGTCCGACATTGCCGAGGTCGGATTGTATTGAGGGAGTCGTCATTATTTAAATAGGGGTTAATATTTTTAAAGCTTGTACATTTTATCAACAACCTTAAAGAGGATGTTCATATCTCATATAAGAAATAAACTCGAGGTCATTGTTTATCGTACAATAAAACACTGCAGGGAGAATAAACCACGAGGGGCGTTATGTCTTAACAAACACCGATTCTGACGTCATGGACAATGGATGACGTCATATCAGTTTGTACAATTCACCCGCATGACGTAATACTGATTCAGCTAACCAATCAGCTTTGAGAATCGTCCCGGACGTCAAACGTGTAAATACTACTAAATATCGTAACATTTATTTATGGATGTTCATTTCTTACACACCTGTGGTTGAGAAACCCATTTGAGATAACTGGTATCAAACATATGTGTGAGATCGAATTCCAGGCCCGTGATTGGCTACTCCATGGTGATGACCTAGGGTCAGATGATGACGGACTACTTTCCTGAGTGTAAGTCATTCATAAGTTGCTCGTGCTTCAGTCGAATGTTAACCTACGTCTGTAGTGAACAACAGGACTGTGTAATTAATAATAAAAATAAACAAACTCGTCCTCGTCTGCGAGTTTGTTTGTTATTATTATCAGTTACATTATCTGTTGTTATGTCAACATTATCGTGTTTTCAGAGTGTAAACCCCCTGGCTGCCACAGCGACACACATGTCCCTTCTCTTCAACCCTCACTTCGAAATCCCATAAAATTCAAAATACATCACGCAAACACTTCACAGTTTTGAATTCCCCCTTCTGTTTATCATTTACTGTCATTTCAGGCAATTCAAAATTACTGAAAGTTAGGTACATTGTAAATCTCGCCAAATCACAATTCACGGCGTTATATAAATATTTACTGTGTGTTTAGAAATCTAAATATCGGATATTTACTCAAATAATTAAAGTAGAAAAATAGCATATTAGTGATCACGGGTATCAAATCACTAATGATAATTCTGAAACGTCGCTGATAAGCCTAGAATCGTCTAGAATGTTTTGGAAAATCTGCATACACGAACGCCGAAGCGTTCCGCCATATTGGATTGTGTTTACAAAATGCCGGTTATGAGACGCCTATACTCGATCAGGTATATTTCAAACTCAGCTGCTATACATGCATCCCTGAATTCCTCATACATTTTCGAAACAATGGATAAATGGTCTTTGTCACCAATGCAAATTATCTAGATGAAATCATGCGAAAAAATTTAGGTATGGAAACGAAAACTGTGCTCGGAAAATTGTACTTGCTGAAATGTAAACAAAGCAAAATTCAGATTTTACACTGTGTAGCATTAAAGAGGTACTTTCGTCTAATTGTTGCATACACTGGCTCGATCACGCGTTTGAGAATATTCATGGGAAGAGTATCGTTGCACTAACTATGGAAATACACACATATACATTACAATGATGTGGTAAATTCAACAGAAGCCGTAAAAGTTCCGTCCTGTGTGACGACATGACTGACGCTAAATCACGCACAACGATGACGGTAGTTATCTGCATTTCTGACTAATTCTCTTTGTTACATTGGGAAACATGGTAAACAAATAACAGTACGCAGATTGTCAAAATGTTTCTGATTACTTACGTGACACATTTATGTGTATACGATCCCTCAATCAACGAAAATCTCCACTGGAAATCCCGCGTACTGTTCTCAGTGAACACGCCATTTTGTAAAAGTCGGTCACCGGTAGTGATGTCATATGGAAGTAAACATTGTTGTACATATTTGGTCATTTCTTTGAGGTGTAAACTTTCAACTTGGCACCCAGCGTGTTCTTGGTTTTTGTCTAGTATGCATTTTCATCATCGCCCTGATAATCCACAGAAATGACGGAAACCTTTTTGTGTAGGGTCACATTATTTATGAGTAGTAAGCAGCACATAGGATGACGTCACTTATGACAGTGGTATTATGTATTAATGCGCTACTGCAATCATGAGACAAAATTCATCGGTTCGATGCTAAAAAGGTGCGATTTTAGGGTGTGTAAGAAACAGATTACTGCACTCGTGCCTGTCAGATACCAGTGATCTTACAACTCGTTGTTACAAAGCGTATCTAACTCGCTTTCGCTCGTTAGATACGTTTTGAAACAACTCGTTGTAAGATCAATGGTATCTGACAGACACTCGTGTAGTAATCTCTATTTCTTTATTACGAGGAAAGCAACGTTTCGGGGTATTTACTCACTCCCTCATCAGCTGACTGAATGCAGAGAGTTGGTACAGATTAATTAAATCAATAAGTCCCAAGCACGAGGCAGATATGTTCCCTCGTCATGGTTCATGGCTGGCTGGAACGTCGTGTTCTTCGTGTTAAAGAAGTTGACATCCATAAATTCCCTCTCTTATGTGTATCACTTCTAAATACCATTCGAAGACTTATCCACTTTTTGTCTATTTTTGCCACCAAAACATGCAGTGATTGCAATACTATATTTCATTTGTGAAATCTATAGATCTATATATAATGGAAAGAACAGGAAGTGTTGGAAACAGTGACAGTTCGAAAACACAATGTTCTCCAATCTCCAGATATCCTCAGCTGTATTTTTCTTTATTTAAAGGGTAGTTAACTCTGATTAAAGTAGTGTTCCTTTTTTGGATTACCTCCCTTACTATCTTGCTGCGATACTTCCGGTAACAATATTTGTAAATGTCGTAATCTCCGAAGTCTGTTTACAACGCATTAGGGTGTGTTTTGTGTTTTTTCTGAGTGTATTTAATAGATATTATTGTTCGTGACTTGATACATTTGAGTAAAAACATTTTGATTATGCATGATTCCTTGTTGGGAGTTGTTTTGAATCACTAAACATGTCAGAATTATGTATTGGCTAACGGTAGGCGTCAATACATTCATTTTTTACCAGCAGACCATAACATGAGAAATGTCGCGCTACTGTCAATGTTAATGATGTTATCGTAAGTATATTTAGAGTAGAAAAATTATCTTCTAGATGACACTACAATAACCACAAAACCGTAGTCTATTTCGTATTAAAGTTAAACACACCCACGTGTTTGCCGTTTCCAAGTTGGAAAAAGTGTTTGTACTGATACTAAAACAATGTGACATATAAACACTTGGTATAGGTCACAACCGTCATGAAACATTAGCTTACTCAGAGACATTTCTTTTCACAAGTAACAGTAATCATCGAAAATTGTAAGTAAAAACAGGGTTTATTACACATTTTAGATTGGTAATTACTTTAGAACTGTTTTTCCCCCACTTCACGCGTTTCCAACGTCACCTCTTCTTGAGCCTCAAAACAATACATTACCACATTAGTGGTGGGACGATATGGCGATTCAAGGCCCACGATGCTATACATCGATTTACAAACTCTGTAACACAATACAAACAATACATTACCACATTAGTGGTGTGACGATATGACGATACAAGGCCCACGATACTATACATCGATTAACAAACTCTGTAACACAATACGTACAATACATTACATTATAAGTTATTTTGCTGTAACAACACATGAAGAATAAAAGAAACTGGTTAACAACCAGCTTACACCGATCTTCTAGTATTTCCTGGTTAGCTATGAATAGCATAACAGCATAACATTCACAGTGCCTTCTAGCCTATATGTTTACAATATGTCATCTTCCTTCTTATAGATTTATGGTTGTGATTTACCTGCAAAAAGAAAGAATACAAACTTTATAAAATACAAGTAAGTATTGAGATACGGATCGTATCGTAATTTGATTGATTGTTTAGGCTGAACTATAAGCCAGTGCGTTGTCATGGAGATATGTTTATCATGTGGCTGATTATGGCATTTCAATTAGAATCATTTAGAAGTGGCAGACCAAGAAAAATTTAAACAATTATTTTTTTATTATGTTTTTCATGATGATGTTGAATGGTATTTTATGATTTTTCAAGGTATCTGAACATACTATGTCTATGCTAATGCTATCTGTTTTGAATTAACTTTTCTTGTAAAGAGTAGAACATACTTGCAAGTCTGAACTGACATCATGCTTGTCTCCTATATATACTCACCACCAAAAGATATGCAAACGATAGAAACATATAGAGAAGAATGTACTTTAAGAAGAGATGTTTCGAATGTGTACCAATAAATGACAAAATCAGCCAAGTGTTACCACAGCATCTTTATTTTTATTATGATATGCTGCACATTATTTCAAAATTTGACACACTAATCCTGCACAAGACAAATGGTGCATCTTGCGTCATGGATCTATGACATCACATGTGATGCGTTCATGAGCAGTATGGTTGTTAGTGCATTGAACCAAACTAATCTCTCTTGAATATGAGTAATTCTTCATATATTAACCAACATGTATGCAATTTGCGTTTCTTTTGGCAGCGAGTATAGTTCACCCGTTTTCCCCCATAGCTTCATTTGAAGTCCAATTCGAGTGACACACGGCTTCTAACTGCCTGAGGGGCGGTCGGGAAGCCTAGAGGTTAAAGCATTCGCTCATCACGCTGAAGACCCGGGTTTGATTTCCGACATGGGTACAATGTGTGAAGCCCATTTCTGGTGTCCCCCACCGTGATATTGCTGGAATATTGCTAAAAGCGACGTAAAACCATACTCACTCATTCACTCTAACTGCCTGAAAAAATTACTCTCATATATATGAGAGAATATGGGTAAGCGAGATGGGTAGAGTGACATCATCTTCAAAATGAGGGGCGGTCGGGTAGCCTAGTGGTTAAAGCGTTCGCTCGTCACGCCGAAGACCCGGGTTCGATTCCCGACATGGGTACAAAGTGTGAAGCCCATTTCTGGTGTCCCCTGCCATGATATTGCTGGAATATTGCTAAAAGCGGCGTAAAACCATACTCACTCACTCACTCTTCCAAATGAAGCTGTGGGGGCAGGGATCAAGGGTATTTGTGAAAATGGAATGGCGATATTACTTATACACTGGAGAGTGAGAAATGAAGACTGGTCTCTTCAGGTAGAAGATGGACTGAAGCCTCCATGTCGATTGAGGTGAAAATGCCACTCTTCAGGAAGCAAAGTGAGAAAGGGAAGAAGCGTCAGGAGAGACAGGAGTATTTGGTGAGAGGCCTACTAGTTGTAGCAAATGTACACCTCATTTTTGAGGGGTTATCAAAATTCAGGAGTCTGTGCCAAACACATTTTAAGCTACTAGCCAGAACACGTCCTTTACATTTTTTTCAGTAGATTTTGGTGTTATAGTATGGACTATTTTTCGCTGAGCTTTCTTGACCAAACAAAATCTTATTAGCCATGAGCTTCGGACAAGTGGCTAAAGTTGCAGACTGTGTCAGCATATCCATGGCCAGTGCTGATAAGGAATCTGCCTTATAGTGACATTGTCTTTAACATGTTTAACCAACTATATCAAGTTGATATTGTTACCAATGATTCACTGTACTTGTTGTGCTGGTGTTGAGGGAAATGCTTCTGTTTTACAGGCCCAGGATAATCCAGAGCCGACTTTCGATCTGTCAGCGTGTGAGATAAGTCAGGTAAATATCCTCCTCCATTCCATCTAATTATTATCCCCCAACACGAATGGAAAGGGGGGTATAGGAATGGGTGCTGTCCGTCCGTCCCTCCATCTTTCCGTCCCTCATGTTTCGTTTCTCGAGCAGAACTAAAAAACCATGAGAGATATCGCAACCAAACCTGTCACATTGATAGGTCTAGTTGTGAACTTGTGCCTTTTGAAAGTTCGTGATTTAAAAACAACAACATTTTCATGTCTCCATGGCAACGACTTTGACTTAGACTGAAAATGGCAGTAGTTCTTCTTACAGGAGCAGATCTTGAAAATTGTACAATATTTCTGCACCAAACTTGGCACATAGATAGATCTAGTGGTAAACTGGTGCCTTTTGATAGTTTGTGATTTAAAAAAAGTATTAATATTTTTTTAGTCTCCATAGCAATGACTTTGACTGGCCAAGGAGGCCTCTACATGCCATGACAAATTAACAATAGCGTGTCATGCCATGACAAATTAACTATAGCGTGTCACACCATGACAAATTAACTACAGCGTGTAATGCCATGACAAATTAACTATAACATGTCATGCCATGACAAATTAACTATAGTGTGTCATGCCATGACAAATTAACTATAGCATGTCATGACATGACAAATTAACTATAACATGTCATGCCATGACAGATTAACTGTAGCATGTCATGCCATGACAAATCAACTATAGCGTGTCATGCCATGACAAATTAACTACAGCGTGTCATGACAGATTAACTATAGTAATATGAAAGAAGCAGGTGGTCCTTAACTTTTTTGCGTAGTATAGTCTCATGTTTTTGACTGAATTAGGTTGAGCTCAGTTTTAATTGAGTAATATTTCTCGATGTAGCTTAAAATCATTTTCAAAGTATTTATATCAAATTAAACATATCCTAAACAACGTTTGGTAACCTTACCAATATTTCTCACTGTTTATATGCGGGACATTGATATGTATATATGTGTCTATATATGTTTGATTATTGTGTTATTTAATTATTTAATTACATAATCTTGATGTTTCGAGATTCTTCGGATTTATCTGGAGGAAATAAAGACATTCATTCATTCATTCATTCATTCATTGTAGATCCCTTCAGGAGTGTTTGCCAGATGCAAGATTCTGCAGAAAGAAGTAAGTCTCCAACAGTGTCAGTATACACAAGTGGTCGTAATATGCATGAGTAAGAGCATCAGACTACACTGCTTTCATCGTAATAAAGCCTAATGGTGCCACTTTGGTAGCATTAATTTATTTTTTATATCAAAATGTCTCATGATTTCAAGAAAGTTAACAAATATTTGAAATAACGATAAATTTCAATTTAAAAAGATATATATGCTACCAAAGTGACACCGGTAGGCTTTCATAACATCACACTGGATTCAACCGTTAACCATCGCGTACCTAATCAAACAATATTGTTGGAAAGATTCACTGATTCACCAGCGCATAACAGTATTGATCTCAATGACTTTTGAAAATTCCCAGTGTTTTGTTTCATTGATTACTTTAATTATATTGACATAAACTTGAAATAGGCAATGAACGAGAAGTCACTGTACCATGTGTACAATATCAAACATTTTAATAAACAATACTCCTTCTGTCATGTCTGTGTCAGCAACAAGAATGTGTGATGTAAGGAGAGATAAGTTGCCTCCCTTAGCCATGTCAGGATATGCTAGTCGGGGGGTAATTCCCCCTAATTAATCTAAGGTCCTTATTATCCCATCCTCGTGGATTTCACAACAGAGCTAAACATCTACATCCTCATCACTTCAAGCTTTACGCCATCATTAATCCAATCTCATTAAAATCAGATCTTAGTTCTCGCTGCAGCTAAACAAAGATCTGAGGACATCCCATTTTGCACAGCATGTCTTTTTTATCACAGCATCTTAGTTCTCGCTGCAGCTAAACAAAGATCTGAGGACATCCAATTACGGGTCACGTCAGACTGACCTTTCGCAAACTCTGACCGACCAATGGAATTACTGACAAGAAGTTGACATTAGCCAATCAGAAGGCAACTTTCTCGTGCTTTACGGCACTAATTTCAAATTGGCGACTACGCTTCGAAACATATTTTGACAAATTCTCGCTTAAAAATTTGAAACCTGAACAAAAGAACATTCTCGAATGGCTAATATATGGTCTAGATTGTATAGATTCAGTCGTTAAGCCCGTAACTATCGTTCGGAATACCCCGTTTTAAAGTTTTCGAGGCTGCATGATTAGAAATCACATTCCGACTGTCACTTTCATGATCTGGTAAGCGATGCTCTGATTGGTCGGATGAAAGGTCGTTCTGACGTGACCCGTAATTGGATGTCCTCAGATCTTTGTTTAGTGGTAGCTAGAACTAAGATGCTGTGATAAAAAAGACATGCTGTGCAAAACATCTGAGGCCCACCTCACTCTCTCACCCCGGTAGCCTGTTGTAAAAAGTCTCCCTGTTCTGCCCAGGCTCTCCTGCTGCATGACAACTGGCTTGGCTCCATCTCGGGAGGAAAGTTCTCCGATCTGATCACACTCAGGGTATGTATAACATGTGACCCACCAGGGTCCACTTGCACAAAGCGATCTTAGCGCTAAGATGATCGTAACTCCCATACTTTAACATAGGTTTACGATAGTCTTAGCGCTAAGATCGCTTTGTGCAAGTGGACCCAGAAGAATAGGAACCTTATGGCTGCAAGGATACAATTGTGCTGTGACGTCATAAAGACGTTTGCATGAGCATACTTCAGTGAAGATCACCATGCTTGTGGACTGTGCAAAAAAAATCTTATTTCTCTCTTGGTAGTTTGTATTGTAATAAAAACATTATTTCAAAACCTTTCAGCATACATGTCTACGAAAATCTGTAATTATTACTTAAACAGTTATTAATCAGAAAATTAGTCCAAATGTTTGTTGTCATGTATCTCAGTAATAAATATGAACTGAAGCTAGTGCAATGTATTTTTGTGTTCCGGAAATTATTAAAACATGATGAAAATTCAAAATGTGATTTTTCACCAATAATGTCCCTTATCTCAGGGTTGGGCACATATATTTTGTCTCTCAAGATTTGCCTTCCACTGTTTCACACTGTCACAGCCTTCCACTGGCTATTGCAATTTTGAGTTTAGCTTTTGATCATGTTGATAAAATTCATTAAAATATGACTGCACAGTTCTTGCTTTTGTGCAGATGGCAACAATTTGTTCTTCGGACCTTTTCCCGAAGCAGTCTGCAACTTTAGCCACTAGTCCAAAGCCCAAGTCCAGTAAACCTCTGTTCGGTCTAGTGTGCTCAGCTAATAATACACCATATTGTAACAATATGATCTACTGAAGATGGTGGCAAGAGCCAAGTTCAGTCTAGTGTGCTCAGCTAATAATACACCATATTGTAACAATATGATCTACTGAAGATGGTGGCTAGAGCCAAGTTCCGGCTAGTGTGCTCAGCTAATAATACACCATATTGTAACAATATGATCTACTGAAGATGGTGGCAAGAGCAAAGTTCAGTCTAGTGTGCTCAGCTAATAATACACCATATTGTAACAATATGATCTACTGAAGATGGTGGTTAGAGCCAAGTTCGGTCTAGCATGCTCGGCTAATAATACACCATATTGTAACAATATGATCTACTGAAGATGGTGGCAAGAGCCAAGTTCGGTCTAGCATGCTCAGCTAATAATACACCATATTGTAACAATATGATCTACTGAAGATGGTGGCAAGAGCCAAGTTCGGTCTAGTGTGCTCGGCTAATAATACACCATATTGTAACAATATGATCTACTGAAGATGGTGGCAAGAGCCAAGTTCCGTCTAGTGTGCTCAGCTAATAATACACCATATTGTAACAATATGATCTACTGAAGATGGTGGCAAGAGCCAAGTTCGGTCTAGTGTGCTCGGCTAATAATACACCATATTGTAACAATATGATCTACTGAAGATGGTGGCAAGAGCCAAGTTCCGGCTAGTGTGCTCAGCTAATAATACACCATATTGTAACAATATGATCTACTGAAGATGGTGGCTAGAGCCAAGTTCCGGCTAGTGTGCTCAGCTAATAATACACCATATTGTAACAATATGATCTACTGAAGATGGTGGCAAGAGCCAAGTTCCGGCTGGTGTGCTCGGCTAATAATATACACCATATTGTAACAATATGATCTACTGAAGATGGTGGCAAGAGCCAAGTTCGGTCTAGTGTGCTCGGCTAATAATACACCATATTGTAACAATATGATCTACTGAAGATGGTGGCAAGAGCCAAGTTCGGTCTAGTGTGCTCGGCTAATAATACACCATATTGTAACAATATGATCTACTGAAGATGGTGGCTAGAGCCAAGTTCCGGCTAGTGTGCTCAGCTAATAATACACCATATTGTAACAATATGATCTACTGAAGATGGTGGCAAGAGCCAAGTTCCGGCTGGTGTGCTCGGCTAATAATACACCATATTGTAACAATATGATCTACTGAAGATGGTGGCAAGATCCAAGTTCCGGCTAGTGTGCTCGGCTAATAATACACCATATTGTAACAATATGATCTACTGAAGATGGTGGCAAGAGCCAAGTTTGGTCTAGCATGCTCAGCTAATAATACACCATATTGTAACAATATGATCTACTGAAGATGGTGGCAAGAGCCAAGTTCAGGCTAGTGTGCCCAGCTAATAATACACCATATTGTAACAATATGATCTACTGAAGATGGTGGCAAGAGCCAAGTTCAGGCTAGTGTCCTCAGCTAATAATACACCATATTGTAACAATATGATCTACTGAAGATGGTGGCAAGAGCCAAGTTTGGTCTAGTGTGCTCGGCTAATAATACACACTATTGTAACAATATGATCTACTGAAGATGGTGGCAAGAGCCAAGTTCAGGCTAGTGTGCTCAGCTAATAATACACCATATTGTAACAATATGATCTACTGAAGATGGTGGCAAGAGCCACGTTCCGGCTAGTGTGCTCAGCTAATAATACACCATATCGTAACAATATGATCTACTGAAGATGGTGGCAAGAGCCAAGTTCAGTCTAGTGTGCTCAGCTAATAATACACCATATTGTAACAATATGATCTACTGAAGATGGTGGCAAGAGCCAAGTTCGGTCTAGCATGCTCAGCTAATAATACACCATATTGTAACAATATGATCTACTGAAGATGGTGGCAAGAGCCAAGTTCCGGCTAGTGTGCTCAGCTAATAATACACCATATTGTAACAATATGATCTACTGAAGATGGTGGTTAGAGCCAAGTTCGGTCTAGCATGCTCGGCTAATAATACACCATATTGTAACAATATGATCTACTGAAGATGGTGGCAAGAGCCAAGTTCGGTCTAGCATGCTCAGCTAATAATACACCATATTGTAACAATATGATCTACTGAAGATGGTGGCAAGAGCCAAGTTCCGGCTAGTGTGCTCAGCTAATAATACACCATATTGTAACAATATGATCTACTGAAGATGGTGGCAAGAGCCAAGTTTCGGCTAGTGTGCTCAGCTAATAATACACCATATTGTAACAATATGATCTACTGAAGATGGTGGCAAGAGCCAAGTTTGGTCTAGCATGCTCAGCTAATAATACACCATATTGTAACAATATGATCTACTGAAGATGGTGGCAAGAGCCAAGTTCAGGCTAGTGTGCCCAGCTAATAATACACCATATTGTAACAATATGATCTACTGAAGATGGTGGCAAGAGCCAAGTTCAGGCTAGTGTCCTCAGCTAATAATACACCATATTGTAACAATATGATCTACTGAAGATGGTGGCAAGAGCCAAGTTTGGTCTAGTGTGCTCGGCTAATAATACACACTATTGTAACAATATGATCTACTGAAGATGGTGGCAAGAGCCAAGTTCAGGCTAGTGTGCTCAGCTAATAATACACCATATTGTAACAATATGATCTACTGAAGATGGTGGCAAGAGCCACGTTCCGGCTAGTGTGCTCAGCTAATAATACACCATATCGTAACAATATGATCTACTGAAGATGGTGGCAAGAGCCAAGTTCAGTCTAGTGTGCTCAGCTAATAATACACCATATTGTAACAATATGATCTACTGAAGATGGTCGCAAGAGCCAAGTTCGGTCTAGCATGCTCAGCTAATAATACACCATATTGTAACAATATGATCTACTGAAGATGGTGGCTAGAGCCAAGTTCGGTCTAGCATGCTCAGCTAATAATACACCATATTGTAACAGTATGATCTACTGAAGATGGTGGCAAGAGCTAGTTCCGGCTAGTGTGCTCAGCTAATAATACACCATATTGTAACAATATGATCTACTGAAGATGGTGGCAAGAGCCAAGTTCCGTCTAGTGTGCTCAGCTAATAATACACCATATTGTAACAATATGATCTACTGAAGATGGTGGCAAGAGCCAAGTTCCGGCTAGTGTGCTCAGCTAATAATACACCATATTGTAACAATATGATCTACTGAAGATGGTGGTTAGAGCCAAGTTCGGTCTAGCATGCTCGGCTAATAATACACCATATTGTAACAATATGATCTACTGAAGATGGTGGCAAGAGCCAAGTTCGGTCTAGCATGCTCAGCTAATAATACACCATATTGTAACAATATGATCTACTGAAGATGGTGGCAAGAGCCAAGTTCCGGCTAGTGTGCTCAGCTAATAATACACCATATTGTAACAATATGATCTACTGAAGATGGTGGCAAGAGCCAAGTTCCGGCTAGTGTGCTCAGCTAATAATACACCATATTGTAACAATATGATCTACTGAAGATGGTGGCTAGAGCCAAGTTCCGGCTAGTGTGCTCAGCTAATAATACACCATATTGTAACAATATGATCTACTGAAGATGGTGGCAAGAGCCAAGTTCGGTCTAGTGTGCTCGGCTAATAATACACCATATTGTAACAATATGATCTACTGAAGATGGTGGCAAGAGCCAAGTTCCGTCTAGTGTGCTCAGCTAATAATACACCATATTGTAACAATATGATCTACTGAAGATGGTGGCAAGAGCCAAGTTCCGTCTAGTGTGCTCGGCTAATAATACACCATATTGTAACAATATGATCTACTGAAGATGGTGGCAAGAGCCAAGTTCCGGCTGGTGTGCTCGGCTAATAATACACCATATTGTAACAATATGATCTACTGAAGATGGTGGCAAGAGCCAAGTTCGGTCTAGTGTGCTCGGCTAATAATACACCATATTGTAACAATATGATCTACTGAAGATGGTGGCAAGAGCCAAGTTCGGTCTAGTGTGCTCGGCTAATAATACACCATATTGTAACAATATGATCTACTGAAGATGGTGGCTAGAGCCAAGTTCCGGCTAGTGTGCTCAGCTAATAATACACCATATTGTAACAATATGATCTACTGAAGATGGTGGCAAGAGCCAAGTTCCGGCTGGTGTGCTCAGCTAATAATACACCATATTGTAACAATATGATCTACTGAAGATGGTGGCAAGATCCAAGTTCCGGCTAGTGTGCTCGGCTAATAATACACCATATTGTAACAATATGATCTACTGAAGATGGTGGCAAGAGCCAAGTTTGGTCTAGCATGCTCAGCTAATAATACACCATATTGTAACAATATGATCTACTGAAGATGGTGGCAAGAGCCAAGTTCAGGCTAGTGTGCCCAGCTAATAATACACCATATTGTAACAATATGATCTACTGAAGATGGTGGCAAGAGCCAAGTTCCGGCTGGTGTGCTCAGCTAATAATACACCATATTGTAACAATATGATCTACTGAAGATGGTGGCAAGAGCCAAGTTCGGTCTAGTGTCCTCAGCTAATAATACACCATATTGTAACAATATGATCTACTGAAGATGGTGGCAAGAGCCAAGTTTGGGCTAGTGTGCTCGGCTAATAATACACCATATTGTAACAATATGATCTACTGAAGATGGTGGCAAGAGCCAAGTTCCGTCTAGTGTGCTCAGCTAATAATACACCATATTGTAACAATATGATCTACTGAAGATGGTGGCAAGAGCCAAGTTCCGGCTAGTGTGCTCAGCTAATAATACACCATATTGTAACAATATGATCTACTGAAGATGGTGGCAAGAGCAAAGTTCAGTCTAGTGTGCTCAGCTAATAATACACCCTATTGTAACAATATGATCTACTGAAGATGGTGGCTAGAGCCAAGTTCAGTCTAGTGTGCTCAGCTAATAATACACCATATTGTAACAATATGATCTACTGAAGATGGTGGCTAGAGCCAAGTTCTGTCTAGTGTGCTCAGCTAATAATACACCATTTTGTAACAATATGATCTACTGAAGATGGTGGCTAGAGCCAAGTTCTGTCTAGTGTGCTCAGCTAATAATACACCATATTGTAACAATATGATCTACTGAAGATGGTGGCAAGAGCCAAGTTCAGTCTAGTGTGCTCAGCTAATAATACACCATTTTGTAACAATATGATCTACTGAAGATGGTGGCAAGAGCCAAGTTCTGTCTAGTGTGCTCAGCTAATAATACACCATTTTGTAACAATATGATCTACTGAAGATGGTGGCAAGAGCCAAGTTCAGTCTAGTGTGCTCAGCTAATAATACACCCTATTGTAACAATATGATCTACTGAAGATGGTGGCAAGAGCCAAGTTCTGTCTAGTGTGCTCAGCTAATAATACACCATATTGTAACAATATGATCTACTGAAGATGGTGGCTAGAGCCAAGTTCTGTCTAGTGTGCTCGGCTAATAATACACCATATTGTAACAATATGATCTACTGAAGATGGTGGCTAGAGCCAAGTTCCGGCTAGTGTGCTCAGCTAATAATACACCATATTGTAACAATATGATCTACTGAAGATGGTGGCAAGAGCCAAGTTCCGGCTAGTGTGCTCAGCTAATAATACACCATTTTGTAACAATATGATCTACTGAAGATGGTGGCAAGAGCCAAGTTCCGGCTAGTGTGCTCAGCTAATAATACACCATATTGTAACAATATGATCTACTGAAGATGGTGGCAAGAGCCAAGTTCCGTCTAGTGTGCTCAGCTAATAATACACCATATTGTAACAATATGATCTACTGAAGATGGTGGCAAGAGCCAAGTTCCGGCTAGTGTGCTCAGCTAATAATACACCATTTTGTAACAATATGATCTACTGAAGATGGTGGCAAGAGCCAAGTTCCGGCTAGTGTGCTCAGCTAATAATACACCATTTTGTAACAATATGATCTACTGAAGATGGTGGCAAGAGCCAAGTTCAGTCTAGTGTGCTCAGCTAATAATACACCATATTGTAACAATATGATCTACTGAAGATGGTGGCAAGAGCCAAGTTCGGTCGAGTGTGCTCAGCTAATAATACACCATATTGTAACAATATGATTTACTGAAGATGGTGGCAAGAGCCAAGATCCGGCTAGTGTGCTCAGCTAATAATACACCATATTGTAACAATATGATCTACTGAAGATGGTGGCAAGAGCCAAGTTCCGGCTAGTGTGCTCAGCTAATAATACACCATATTGTAACAATATGATCTACTGAAGATGGTGGCTAGAGCCAAGTTCCGGCTAGTGTGCTCAGCTAATAATACACCATATTGTAACAATATGATCTACTGAAGATGGTGGCTAGAGCTAAGTTCCGGCTAGTGTGCTCAGCTAATAATACACCATATTGTAACAATATGATCTACTGAAGATGCTGGCAAGTGCCAAGTTCGGTCTAGTAGACTCCTAAGATTTTGGCAAGGAATGCCATAGTGAGGGCAGTGTGGGAAATTTTACTTGTAAAAGACAAACAGTGATATTCATCTCCTAGCACTGCAGCTATCTCAGGAACTTATAAAATCCTCGAGAAGTAAGAACACACGATATTTTCATACGACTACAGTTAGTGTGTCATAGCGAGTGGGTATTGCAACATACAGCCTTCCAATTTTGGGTGTTCTTTAACTTGTTTTCAGATTTCAGCACATTGACAGATGCAAATGCACTTGTAGCAGCATTTTAAGAAATTTGTACTCATTGGTTAATTATCCCAAAGATTGACCCCAAGGCAGTGGATATATACTGAATACCCATAATATGAATGCCCAATGAGAAGGATTACTTGTGCATTTTTACACCGTGGCCGAAAAATTATCTGGAGCACTGCTGAAATGTTATGCCTTCTTACTATCAAACATCCTCCCATACAGGGTGTCTTTCAGCATTTGGGGGCACGGGTGGCCCAGTCGTCTAAGGCGCCGCAATTCGCTGTGCAGAGTTGCGTGTCTTGGGCACGCCAGAAACCTATGATTGTGGGTTCGAATCCCGGTTCGCCCCGATTATGTTTCTAGGTTTGTCAGCACCATACCCGTGCTCGTGGGTTTCACCGAAGTGGTAAACGTCTGAGACCTGCATCACTTCGTGCTTTCCTCCCACATTAAGCTGACACGCCGTGATATAACTGGAATACTGTTAAAAGTGGCGTTAAACCCAACTCACTCACTCACTCTTTCAGGATTTTGCACCCTTTTATCATGTCATGTTTCAGTGAAAACATCAGTGCCTTCAGTCTCATTATGATGATTTGTAATCAAACTAAATGATAAGTGGGAGGATATCTGTTTTTCATGAGTAGCAGGTTGCCATGGATACCTCAGTCATCACAAAGGGACATAAATCTGTTTGATTTGCAATGACATTAATAGTGTACAATATTTCAGGTGTTAGACGTCCACAACAATGAGATTAAGGTTTTACCTGAAGATATAGGAACACTCGTTAACTTACAGGTAAGTCAGATGATTACAGAATACGCGTATAGGGTACCAATATTTGTTTTATCAGTGTTGCAAGGAACTTTTTTTAATTAAAAGAAACAGTGACTGACACTGAGTAACCTTTTCATCATGCTGATTCCTTCTCATTAAGGGGGCGGTCGGGTAGCCTAGTGGTTAAAGCGTTCACTTGTCACGCCGAAGACCCGGGTTCGATTCCCGACATGTGTACAATGTGTGAAGCCCATTTCTGGTATCCCCCGCCGTGATATTGCTGGAATATTGCTAAAAGCGGCGTAAAACCATACTCACTCACTTCTCATTAAGAAAACACATACACAACTAGCTTTGGTCTTTGGTAGTCTTATCAACAGGGTGTCGCAAAACTTTCCAGACGCAGTTAAGGCTATTGGTAGCCTTAGTAAGTCATGACAAGGACTGTGTGATGTGGATCTACACTGTCGACCACTGATTCAGTTAATGACCTAATTGTTTCGTCAAGTGGCAGCCTTAGAAATTTGTGTTTTTTTAAGGACGAGTGGAAACCTTTTTTCAGTCAGAGTTTGTAACTAATACTGATTTACTATGTTTACTATTTCTGTCAGATTTATTCAGTTCCAATTTATAGCAAAATTAAACAATTGAGAACTGAGGAAGGGAATATAGGGATGTCAACTTCTTTACTATGAGGAACACAACATTTTAGAGTATGCCCTCACCCCTTCATCAGGTGAAGTTGACATACTTAAAATTCTCTACCTTATGAGACCGCCTCCGTGGTCTAGTGGTAGAGCGTCCGCCCGGAGAGCGGAAGGTCCGGGGTTCGATCCCCGACCGCGTCATACCAAAAGACGTTAAAAGATGGTACTTGTTGTTACCCTGTCAGCCGCTCGGCATTAAAGGGCTAAAACAAGGACTGGTCGTCTCAGAGTCAGTATACTGTGTCTGAGTGGGGTATTCATGTTAAACTGCGGCATGGTATCTCAGTAGGCTAGCACTATAAATCGGCATCAGTCCGGACTAGTACAAGCAGCCACACAAACACACACACGTACATGCACGTCGCTATATAAGTGAAATAATCTTGGACGCGACGTTAAACCCAATTTCACCTCATCTCACCTCACCTCTTCCTTATGTGTGTCAGTTTTAAATGCCTTTCAAAGAATTAATTGAGAACTTGTTCAGATTTATAGCCCTCAAATGCTGCTAGTGAACATGGTGAATTCAGTCGCCTCAGACTAACGGACTAGTATGAGTTTCAAAGGCGTGGAGCTGGAGTGGGAGTAGATTTAATGATGGACACTTCTGGACCTTCCTCCAAATCAATTAATATGTTTTTTCCAATCTCATTAAAATCAGATTTTAGTTTTCGCTACCGCTAAACAAGGATCTGAGGACATCCCATTATGGGTGAAGTCAGAACGACCTTTCATCCATCTCCAACACCAAGGGACCACATAAATAGTTTGACTGGGGTTCAACACCTCTGACTTACACCCGTGACCTAGTCATCAGACAACAGACAGCAGACATTCCCCATTGTGCATGTTGGGTGGACAACAATTAAGTAATGAGAATTATAAACAGAAGTACTTGTCATTTCCACACATCTGGCTGTTTACACTGAAGTTTTTTTTCAATTGTAACTTGTGCTAAGTTTGGTTTTTAAAAAAAATTGAATTTGACTTTTCAGAGTAAGTTTTAACTTATTTAAACTCTTTGGACTTTAAACTTGATAAATTGAGTTAGAGACAGCAGAGAATTCGTCACATCCAGTTCGACACAACTGGCTTGAAAAAGTGATAGATATAATAAGAGTTTGAGTTTGACTCAAACAGGGATTGGACAGATCGGAATTCAAGTCGACTGGGTCCCGCTGTAGTTTTTCATATTCCAACAACGTGAATCAGTGCTCACACCATTGATGACTGGTTCTGCCCTCTTTCTCCATCAGTGACCTTTATATGATCATTTTCTCAGGTATTGAATTTGGAGGGCAACAAATTGAAGAAGATTCCAGAAACAATTGGGGACCTCCGTTCACTTCAGACTCTGAATGTTAAAAGTAAGAATATTTTCATTTGATAGAATTGTGATGTGTGGTCATTCTTATTTGTTTAAATTCAGTACATCTAGTATTATTTCTGGGGGCACGGGTGGCCCAGTTGTCTAAGGCGCTGCGATTTGCTGTGCAGAGTTGCTTCCCTTGGGCATGCCAGAAACCTATGATTGTGGGTTCGAAACCCGGTTTGCCCTGATTTTGTTTCTAGGTTTGTCAGTACCATACCGTGCTCGTGGGTTTCACCGAAGTGGTAAACGTCTGAGACCTGCATCATTTCGGGCTTTCCTCCCACGCTATTAAGCTGACACGCTGCGATATAACTGGAATACTGTTTAAGGCGGCGTTAAACCCAACTCGCGCACCAGTATTATTTCTAGAAGGTCTAGGTACTTTTCCAGGGTATAAAATCCCTTGTTATAGCTCATAACACAGTTAAGTTCCTAACGACACAGGACCGCCTCTGTGGTCTTGTAATAGAGCGTCCGCCCGGAGAGCAGAAGGTTCGGGTTTTGATTCCCGGCCGTGTCATACCAAAAGATGTTAAAAGATGGTACTTGTTGTTACCCTGTCTGGCGCTTGGCATTAAGGGGCTAAAACAAGGACTGGTTGGCTCAGAGTCAGCATACTGTGTCTGAGTGGGGTATTCATGTTAAACTGCGACATGGTATCTCTGTGTGCTAGCACTATAAATCGGCATTTGCCCGGACTAGTACAAGCACCCCCCCACACACACATGCCTGCACATCGCTATACAAGTGCAATAATCTTGGACGCAACGTTAAACCCCATTTCACCTCTCCTCACCTCCTAACGACACGGTTAATTTATATTCCTGGTTCCTGAATATCATACTTAACACATGCTTATATTCATGTATTTTTTTAAATATATCTTGTAATGAGGTGTATTATTCAAAGCCAGTGATCAAGTTCTTTCGCCAAAATAATCTTCACAAACATGTAAGGTATACATACATAATACAGAGTATATTTCATAAAATACACCTCGGGATTTAGGTAATGGAAAGGATGTTATCCACCTCCAACAAAAGGATGCAGGCAAACTCATTACATGTTCTACATTACAACATATATTATCTAGCTTGTGATGAAATGACCTTTGAAGTTTGAAGATGGATCAAATGTATTCTTGTTGGAATGCTTCAGTTCCCGAGGACATTTTTGTGAGTGCACTGTAGCTCACTTAAAAACAATATATTCCTGTTGTATGTTTTAGTCTATGTATGAATTAATCATAACATTTATTGGACTAGTTACTTGTGGATGTAGTTGATAATGATAAAATTCTGTCATGTATGTATCATTATATCAAGAACACAAATACACTGAGGGAAACACCATTTCATTGCAGTTTCCCTTTATTTTCCCTCCCAGATTTTTACCCACAGTGACATCCATAGCTTGGGAACAAAACCTGGAAAACAATAAAGGAGCACTTGTATTTTCATGTGTTCCCTAATTTGTTTCACCCCCTTATATTAACACATTGTGATCACTTTTCGTGCAGAGAACAAAATCAGCCATTTGCCAGGGACTTTGTGCGAGCTTCCTTGTTTACGGCTTCTGGACATCTCGGATAATGAAGTTACCTCCCTTCCCCAGAGGCTGTGTTACATTCGTACGCTGGAAACGCTTGTACTAGATGCATCCCGCATGAAATACCCAGACAAAGGTGAGGCGGACTTGTTTGCAGGGACAGAACATTTCAGTATTGTCAGGTTTGGGTTTTGCTTGATAAAAATAATTTGTTCCAAGATAATACTGCAAAAAGTAATTTTGTCACCTCGGGCTTTCCACCCACGTCAAGCTGGCGAACTGTGATACAACTGTGATACAACTGTGATACAACTGTGATACAACTGCGATATAACTGCGATACAACTGCTACTAATAATACTGTTCAAAACGTTGTGTGAGACCTATAGCTGGTTGGACTTGACAGTTGCGTGGTGAATATAATGTTTGAAGTGTTTGTAGCCATGGTAATATATCGAGAATTGTCATTTTCTTTGCACATCAGGGGGCGGTTGGGTAGCCTGGTGGTTAAAGCGATTGCTCATCACGCCGAAGACCCGGGTTCAATTCCCGACCTGGGTACAATGTGTGGAACCCATTTCTGGTGTCCCCCACCGTGATATTGCTGGAATAATGCTAAAAGCGGCGTAAAACCTCACTCACTCACTCACTTGCTCATTCACTCACTTTGCACACCAGTAGGCATGTTTTGATCCTTGCAATCTATTTTTTCAAAGTGCTTACTAAAAACTTTCTGTCACTTAATCATGTGCCTGCATTGGCTATAAGTAGACTGTGGTACACGATATTCTCTGAAACTGACTATAAAGCTGAGAGACGGAGACATATTACCTTTATTCATTGTGTGTGTGTACGTAATAATTGAAGTTTTGTACGAGCACTACGATACATGACTTGGGTGTGCCCACCTGACGGAGATTGTTGTGTTTATTGCAGAGATCTGTAAGAAGGGGACAGAGGACACCATGAAGTTTCTATGCAGTGGTAGGTTGTGCTGTCCTCCATTATACATCTCACAGTAGGGAATCCTGGTTAGAATTGGTCCTTAGGAACCAATGTTTGTTGTAAGCGTCGACCAAATTGTATCAGATGTCAGATGTATGTTAATTGCGTGTCATACCTCGATAACTTGGGGCATTGTTTGTGGTGGCATCAAAGATATCGCACCCGGAAGGAGCATGGTGGTTGCTGTGACAAGGGAAATAATCCATGTCACACCAACTGCAGACCTCTAAAATGATTCACCTACTCTTAACCCCTCAAGCTCATTAGTTGCTTGCTTCTAATGACTATTACCGATGTGACTTTCAGTGACTGGACTTGAGTACCAGCCCCCCTCCAACTTCCTGCTGAACATCCTGGAGCCCCCAAAGCCGGTCGCCTCGTCCTGGAGCAGCAACTCGCTCAAGGCCTACCAGGAGGAGGCCAAGATGATGGTACAAACTTCCAGGATTTATCTAGGATTCCAAACTATAAGGATGCAAGGGAATCACGCACGTTGAGACGCCCAACGCTAACACCGTATTCGTGCGTGTGTGATTCCCGTGCACCCTTTCGAGTTGAGTTACTTGGTTCAACTGTGTCATATGGCCCTGTGACGCAGGGGTAGCATTATGCAGATGGCTGTTTCAATGAATGCTTGTTCCACCCGTGACGAACAGGTCTGGTTGTTGATGAAATATAGTGATAGCTAAATAGACAGATTTTTTATTCATGCACCGATTGTCTTTAAATGTAATATCCAGTTATGTATGACTGTTTAATAATCTCATACCAACTTTGACTGGAGTAGGTCCGATAGTTTTTCAGATATTGTAGTAAACGTCAGTACCCTAAATTACCTTCCAGACTATAAGTGCTGTTGGCAGGCAACTTGGGAAAAAATAGCTATTTTTTGCAAAATTTCGAATTTTTGAAAGTCATTTTCTTAATTTTTTGCAAAAATTCAGAGTTATTTCAAGATTGTATCCAATACAATAATGCCTCTACTGATTTATTCGTCCTGTTATCAGTGAAATACAAGTCACCTCCAGAGACTAGGGCTGGGACGAGTTCAAACCAAGGTACCCACTGTAGGTCTCAAGAGTTGGGTACAAAACGTCCAATTAGGAATTGTTGGACTGGAGCCCTGGCAAAAAGTATTTAGACACACATATAAAACGTTTCAGTCATGCATAGACTGAAGATGACTGAAAGTTATCTCTATTCAAACATATAAACCCGTGAAGATCTAGGGTAGAATTGGTCTTCGGCAACCCATGCTTGACAAAAAGGCAACTTTGCTTGTCGTTAAAGGCGACTAACGGCAACGGGTGGTCAGACTCCCCAACTTGGTCTATGCATGTCATCATATCCCAATTGCATTGATTGATGCTCATGATGTCAGTCACTGGATTGTCTGGTCCAGACTCGAATATTTACAGACTGACGTCATATAGCTGGACTATTGCTGAGTGTGGCGTTAAACAACATCAAACATCAGACATGTAAAAGTCAGAAGGAATGCTGCATTAGTGACTTGCAGTGTGACCATGGAGTTATTGATAATTTTTGGCATTAAAACTCGATATCACGTAACTAACCACGGTTCCCGGTAGTCTTGTGGGTACTCGGGTCCTACTCAGTACCCACCCAACCCAAATACCTGAGTTACCCAAGTTACCCGTCCCCCCCTACTAGAGACCCATAATATTAGTAATAGCTGTATTAACAGATAGCATGAATGGGGAAAATCTTAATTCCAAGTTTGCGGCAGACTTGGGTCCGACCAACGTTGACTAGGTGGATTGAAGAGTTTGCTGTCAGTCACTGGTTGTTTACTCACCACTTTCAGAGAGCTGGAATATTGCTGGCTGTTGTGTGAAGTGATTTTTACTTGCCAAGCTCATTTAGTCATGTTTTCTTACCGGTACCCATTATCTTTCAGAAATCGCTGGAACAGTACCAAGATGTAATGGTAAGTATATTGCCTGCCGTCGACACACACATCTCTTAACCATAGCGTTGCTTCAGTCAAAACTATTAAGAAAAGCATGATGAGATTGAATGGAATGTGATTCAGAAAATTTACATCATGTATTTTTTTGCTCGTGGTGGGGTATAAGGGATTTATTCTCCTGCTGAGAAATATATTTCCCTCCAAGGCAGGATACACAGTATTTTTTCAAGATCACGTGGACCAATCAGATCTCATCATTCTGACATGGAGTGAGCATAATAGCTGTTAGCATGTTTTGGTGGAAATATGTTTTTCTGAGTAATAGGGTAGAAAAGTCATTATTCTAAATGTTAAATGGAAGATAGCACGTAAAAGTTAAGTTTCTTTCAATCATGAAATTTGATTGGACTGTTATTTTTAACCTAGTGTCAATTGGACCAGACTGAAAAGGAAGCAATATTTGCAAGTGGGTTTGAGGTATATATCCTAATTGAATGGAGATATGATACACTTGATGGTTAAAGCGGAAATAAGGCAGACCTGTGACTTTGTGCAGGACAAGAAGCGCGAGGACAGGACGGCCCTGGAGAAGATGATGCGCGAAGAGCAGGAGGTACAGGCCATCATGGCCGCCAAGGTCGTGTCTCAGAAACAGAACCTCGTAGACGCCATTGCCAAGGTCAGTGTGCTGTAAATACTTGCTTTTCGGCGTATGTCAAAGTCTTGTAACGTTATGGGAGTGAGTGAGTGAGTGAGTGAGTTGTTTTTTATGTCGCTTTGAACAGTATTTCAGTTATGGCATAGTTTTACGCGGCAGGGAAGTCTAAAGTGCATGAGTTTAGTGCTGACAGACCTAGAAACATAAATGGAATCATAGATTTCTGACACAACAAAGGGATGCAACTCTGCACAGCAAATTGTGGCCCACTGATGATGATGATCAGCATCAGCATGATCAGTGTTCAACTTTGAAATATGATTTCAGCAATTGTAATCTTTAACGTGGTTGAGTACTACTTTCCCTTGGGGGTTTCATGGCAGGATAGGTCTCTTGTAACCATGGTAACTCATGCTTGTTGTAACTGATAACTAAAACATGGATTATTAAGATGGGAAATATTTACATGGGTCACATACCAGGAAAAACTGCTTTCATCTGTGAAGCCTGTTGTGTTTCCTGGTCGAGCTAGGTTCCCTGTACCTTGTGCATGTCATAAGGGTAAATGGAATAGAGGCCTACGGCATTACTGGTATGCCAAGATTTAAAATAATGATGGATAGAAAGTACTATTATATTATGTTTTTCAAAATCATGCATATTTTTATCTTGTTGGAAAAAGTTTAAGTGACAAGTGGAATTGAAATTTAGAAATTCAGTAATAAGCAACTGATTTCTGTGATTGAAAAAGCAAGACTATTTGCGACCATCTTCCCATATATAATGTGTGTATTACACATGCACTGTGACCATAGCAACATCCAACAAAATGGCGGGTGACTACCAAGTTGTCAAAAATTGGAGGAAGTCTGATGAGATTATGTACAATACATTGTGGTACGTATCATAATGTATGAATAATTTTTGCAATAAATTGCAATGTGAAGGTCAAGCCATTTCTAAGGTGGAATATTGTTGACTGCGGAGTTATATGTCAGTCACTCACTCACTCACTCACTCACTCACTCACTCACTCACTCACTCACTCACTCGATTGCCTTGTGTGTGACAGGACCAAGAGCGGATCCTAGATGGCTTGAATCAACTCAGTGAGAAGAAGGGCGTGGAGAGAGAGAAGATGTTCGGGGCACTCAAAGAAGGTAATACGTTCTTTATATTCTGTCCCACACTGAGTTGTCCCATTGCTCATGATGTGAATCACTGGTTTGTTTGATCCTGATTTAAGTGACCGCCTCCATGGTCTAGTGCAGAAGGTCCGGGTTTCGTCCCAGGCCGCGTCATACCAAAAGAAGTTAAAAGATGATACTTGTTGTTACCCTGTCTGGAGCTGCTCAGTATTAAGGGGCTAAAACAAGGACTGGTCGGCTCGGAGTCAGTAAACTGTGTCGGAGTGGGGTATTCATGTTCAACTGTGGCATGGTATCTCAGTGAGCTAGCACTATAAATCGGCATCAGTCCGGACTAGTACAAGCAGCCACACACACACACACACACACACACACACGCACAGTCCATTTCCTTGCACATCATAATAAAAGTCGCCATCTTTGTTGTTATGGTACAATATTTAAGATCGATTTGAGCGATCCTATGTTGGTCCGGAGCAACTTAGCATTTTGATCTTAACTTACAACTCTCTTAGTTAAGATTGCTTTGTGGAAACAGGCGGCCGATTGTGGCAAAAATTTAGGATCACGTACTTAGTGAGTTACAATCAACTTAGCCCTAAGATGGGCCCCGTTTCACAAAGCGATCATAACTACAATCAATCTTAGGGACTTACGTCGATTTTAAAATTGTCTTAGCTAAAGTTTACAACCGTTCCACAAATGATCTTAGAGCGATTGTAACTTTACAAGTTCTTAAGTAGCCGATCTTAACAAAGATCTGAATCTTCAGCCATGAAGATACTAAAGTTTCCCTTAGAGTGGCCTCCCTTGGTCATGTTTAGCAGACGACGCATTTCCTTGCACACCATAATAAAAGTCGCCATCTTTGTTGTTATGGTACAATATTTAAGATCGATTTTAGCAATCCTATGTTGGTCCGGAGCAACTTAGCATTTTGATCTTAACTTACAATTCTCTTAGTTAAGATTGCTTTGTGGAACAGGCAGCCGATTGTAGCAAAAATTTAAGATCACGTACTTAGTGAGTTACAATCAACTTAGCCCTAAGATCACATACTTTAACTGAGGCTTACAATCATCGTAGCCCTAAGATCGTTTTGTGGAACGGGGCCCTGGAAGCAGTAAATCAAACAATAGTGTTGCCCCATGTTGTAGTGGAGAAGAGTGCGGACGAGCTGCTGGTCCACCTACTGGACATGACGGAGAAGGCCAAGAAGACGGAGGAGCTCCTGGACGAGCTGGAGCAGGAGAGGTACGCCAGATGTTTCTCCACAACTCTTAGTATAGAATAGCCATTTAGGACAATTCAGTCTCACACCTTTCACAAACGTCCGTAAAGTCTGATGACTAGCAGTGATGTGTTTATGTGTGACATCACCATTGTGGGAGGAAGTAAGCCACACAACTGGTTGGTACAACAATTTCCGGGTGTTAGAAGTGTGAAGGGAAGGACTGTTTGTTTAGTTAATAGAGCCTTTGTTACCATGGTTACAGGAGTGTGAAGGACGGTCTGTTTGAAGTGAGGTGGGAGGAGTTCCAGACACTGCGGAAACAGGAAGTCCTCCGTGAGTAAACACAGTTTGTTGACCACCTCCTGTACAGTCACCAGGTTGGTTGGTTGGTTTGTTGTTTAACGCCACACTCAGTAATATTCCAGCTATATGACAGCGGTCTGTAAATCATTGAGTCTGGACCAGACAATCCAGTGATTAATATCATGAGCATCGATCCACGCAATTGGGATCGATGACATGCATCAACCAAGTCATCGAGGCTGACCACCCGATCCCGCTAGTCACCTTTTACGACAAGCATAGTCTCCTTTTACGGCAAGCATGGGTTGCTGAAGACCTATTCTACCCCGGAATCTTCACGGGTCTACAGTCACCAGGAGAACAGGGTCAGACTATGTCCCCAGCAAGCCCCTGCTGGCTGTGAGAGAGGACTAACTGGTTGGGTGGCAGACTCAGTGAATTGGTCGATTGCTCATGATATGAACCACAAGGTTGTCTGAGTGAGTGAGTATGGTTTTACGCCGCTTTTAGCAATATTCCAGCAATAACACGGTGGGGGACATCAGAAATGGGCTTCACACATTGTACCCATATCGGGAATCAAACCCGGACTTCGGCGTGACGAGCAAACGTTTCAACCCGACCGCCACGAGATTGTCTGATCCACACTTCATTATTGACAGGCAGCCATGATATGGTTGAGTGTGGTGTTTTACAGCAAACAGAGCTTACAGTCTGTTTCTTCAGGAGACCGCCTCCGTGGTCTAGTGGTAGAGTGTCCGCCCAGAGAGCGGAAGGTCCGCGTTCGATCCCCGACACCGTCATTCAAAAAAATGTTAAAAGATGTTACTTGTTGTTACCCTGTCTGGCGCTCGGCATTAAGGAGCTAAAACAAGGACTGGTCGGCTCGGAGTCAGTATACTGTGTCTGAGTGGGGTATTCATGTTAAACTGCGGCATGGTATCTCAGTGGGCTAGCACTATAAATCGGCATCAGTCCGGACTAGTACAAGCAGCCACACCCACACACATGCATGCATGTCGCAATATTAGTGCAATAATCTTGGACGCGACATTAAACCCCATTTCACCTCACCTGTTTCTTCAGGCCATTAGAGTTATTATGATTTTTTTTTTCCGCACTATTTGCAATACAACTTTTTGGCCAGTGCGCAGCCCTAGCCTGGACCCCCTTAAATGCTACACTGCTCATATGCATCACGACAAACGTATTTCGTTCTAGTCCAGAGATCTAGAACTATAATTTGTGTGCTGGATAAATCGTGGACATTCCACGGTATCATTTTATGAAGATGTGAAGACGACATGGCAGGTATGTTTTGAAACCAAAGACGTATGCGTTTGTTGAAAAGTCTTGGAATCGTTTGGTAGATATTTATATTACCATTAAAACTTACGTCCTTGTTGTCAAACGACCCACGTGGGTGGGTGTTTACATGACGTCACCCGTTTACGCATTAAACCAATGAAATGTATGTGTTATCATGACGTCATATAGACCTGTCAAATCACTTTTATAAGCTCCGCCCACTAGAGTGCGGTAGTTACTACCGCAGATGGGGCTTTAAATGCTAACACTGGCATCTCTTGTTGTGGATGTTGCAGGAGCGATGAAGTGGAGCCTGCAGGATGACGAGGGGATGGAGAGACTGAGGCAGGAGTACACCATCGACAAGGACAACCAAAACAAGAGGAACCTTGAACAGTCAGTTAACGAACAGCATAGATTCAGTGATTTGGTGATAATTGTTTGGCAAGATGTTTTGCTATTTGGGATTTGGGACATGTGTAAAGTACAGAAATCAATAATTTAATCTTTAAACTTGAGCTGCAAGAAAATGTAGATTATCTCCCTTGAGTGACTTCTTTAGATCCAAAGCCTTGATGAGTGACATCACACATTGACTCAGTTCCTGCCACAGAGGAGAGATAAACTGTAGCTTGGAGTGGTTTGCCTCACACCCAGGAGACATTTACCGTATTCGACGTAATAAGCGCCCAGCGTGCTCTCAAAATTAGAAATAGGGGTCTCTTATTGGAATATTATTTTGGTGAAGAAAACAGAGTTGAAAGTTCGTAAATTTGGTGGTTTATGCTGACAACCTGAAATGTTTATATACGACATATATATATTTTCCATGATTTAATTGCTCATAATTTAGGGTGCATTTAACACACGAGTGCGTATTATACACGAATAAATAAGTCTTGTGTACATTGATCGGAAGGGGTGCTGATTGAGATTTATCACTAGCCAATATATTAGCAAATATCGCCGTGGGCGCTTATTAGAGCAGGGCGCTTATTACGTCAATACGGTAATCCACATTTGGAGCAGTTTGAAATCTGATTTCTGATGTCTAAAAGTCAGAATCCATGAAATATAGGACCTCCTCCGTGGTCTAGCGGATAGAGCATCTGCCCGATGAGCAGAAGGTTAGGGGTTCAATCCCTAGAAATATTGTACCTAAAGATGTTAAATGATGTACTTATTGCTACCCTGCCTGGCACTCGGCATTAAGGGGAGAAAGCAAGGACTGGCTAGCATGGTGACAGTATAATGTGTCTGAGAGGGTATCCATGTTAAACTATGGTATCTCTATAGCTAGCACTATCAAACCAGCATTAATCTGGACTAGTACAGGCACCCCATCCTCTTGCCTTACCATGATATGTGACCCATGAAGTTACCGGGGTAGAATAGGTCTTCAGCAACCCATACTTGCCGTAAAAGGCGACTATGCTTGTCGTAAAAGGCGACTAACGGGATCGGGTGGTCAGGCTCGCTGACTTGGTTGATACATGTCATCGATCCCAATTGGGTGGACCGATGCTCATGATATTATTCACTGGATTGTCTGGTCCAGACTCGATTTTTTACAGACCGCCGTCATATAGCTGGAATATTGCTGAGTGCAGCGTTAAACAACAAACAAACCAAAACCAAACCAAACCATGATATGTGACGTTACAAAAGCTAAGAAGAAAGTTAAAAAACATACAAGTATTCACTGTCAGATACAATTACTCCACAGCAGCCTACCAAATGCAAGACAAAGTGATATCTACTGAGTATTAGTCATGTTAAGTTCCACAGTGTATGTGGTGCTTTATTCCCGACTGGGGCACAGGTGGCCCAGTCGTCTAAGGCGCAGCGATTCGCTGTGCAGAGTTGCGTCCCTTGGGCACGCCAGAAACCTATGATTGTGGGTTCGAATCCCGGTTCGCCCCGATTATGTTTCTAGGTTTGTCAGCACCATACCCGTGCTCGTGGGTTTCACCGAAGTGGTAAACGTCTGAGACCTGCATCACTTCGGGCTTTCCTCCCACATTAAGCTGACACGCCGTGATATAACTGGAATACTGTTAAAAGCGGCATTAAACCAAACTCACTCACTCACTTTATTCCCAACTGTTTGTTCCCAGGGAGACTCTGATAGCAGGCGATCAGGTGGAGAGTTGTCTCTACCACCGGGAGGTCCATCAGAAGGTTGTCATGGAAACACTAGCCGAGCAGGTGAGTATCTCATGTTGTTCCCGCAAAACAAATCAATCATGTTACGCCTTTTGCCGTTCAATATTTCTGAATTTCTGTTCATAACTTGGCATCAGTCGATCTCTATATAAACAAGTTATTTCCGGAGAATGGATTTGAATGTTTAAAAACATTTGAAGAATGCAAAGTAGACACTTTCTATACAAGGAACCGAGAAAAGCATGCAGGCTGAGGCTTGTGATTGGTCGGTTCCTGGAGTACTGACTTTACATCTGGAACATAGCTAAGTTTCTATAATTATTCTCAAGAGGACACATGGGTTTGACCCCCAACACTCTGTTGCTTGTTGTAAGAGGCTAGCAAGCTGGATTGAGTGGTCAGGCACGAAGACTTACCGTATTCGCCGTAATGAGCCCCCCGTTCTAATAAGCGCCCACGGTGACATTTGCTGATATATTGCCTGGTGAACAATCCCAATTAGCACCCCTTCCAATTGATCAATGTATACAAGACTAATTTATTCGCGTATAATACGCACTCGTGTGCTATATGCACCCTTAATAATGGGCAATAAAATTCTGGAAAAATATATCTGTCGTACATAAGCATTTCAGACTGTCAGCATAACCATGAAATTTATCTTTCAACTCTGTTTTTTTCACAAAAATAATATTCTTATAAAGGCCCCCTATTTCTAATTTTGAGAGCACCCTGGGCGCTTATACGGTAGTTGGTTCTGTCTCATCGTACCCAGACATCATGGGATGTAGCTCATAATATCAGCCTCTGATTTGTCTGTCTTTGAAGATCCGGGTTAGAATAGGTCTTCAGCAACCCATTCTTGCCGTAACTGGTGACTATGATTGACCTGGTTGATGAATGTCATCGTATCCAAATCGTGTAGATCGATGCTTATGATATCAATCACTGGATTGTCCGGTCTAGACTTGATTATTAATAGACCGCTGTCATATAGCTGGAATATTGCTGAGTGCGGCATTAAAAAAACAAAACATACTGTGGTCATACAGTAGATATGGGTAAGCCTTTCAATAACATCATTGTCATAGAAAAGAAATACAGCATCAGAAGTAAAACGTACCATTTAATCACAAATACATCTTCCCCCTACAGGAGCAACTACAGAAGCAAGCGTTTGAAGTGCTGCTGGTGGCCAAGGATGCCAAGAGTAACCGGATCAACAGCCAGATCAGACTGATTGAAGAACAGCTGATGCAGCTCACTCTGGTGGAGCAGGAGCGGAAGGATGCTCGAGCTGAGATGGAGCTGGTACGTAGTCTTGTGTCAATATTGACCACTACTTCACCGTTGGAGCTGGTACGTAGCCTTGTGTCAATATTGACCAATGCTCCACTGTTAGAGCTGGTACGTAGCTTTGTGTCAATATTGGACAATACTCAACTGTTGGAGCTGGTATGAACCTTGTGTCAATATTGGACAATACTCAACTGTTGGAGCTGGTATGAGCCTTGTGTCAATATTGGACAATACTCCACTGTTAGAGCTGGTATGTGACCTTGTGTCAATATTTGACAATACTCCACTGTTAGAGCTGGTACATGACCTTGTGTCAGTATTGGACAATACTCCACTGTTACAGCTGGTATGAACCTTGTGTCAATATTGGACAATACTCAACTGTTGGAGCTGGTATGTGACCTTGTGTCAATATTGGACAATACTCCACTGTTAGAGCTGGTATGAACCTTGTGTCAATATTGGACAATACTCCACTGTTAGAGCTGGTATGAACCTTGTGTCAATATTGGACAATACTCCACTGTTAGAGCTGGTATGTGACCTTGTGTCAATATTGGACAATACTCCATGGTTAGAGCTGGTACATGACCTTGTGTCAGTATTGGACAATACTCCACTGTTACAGCTGGTATGAACCTTGTGTCAATATTGGACAATACTCCACTGTTTGAGCTGGTATGTGACCTTGTGTCAATATTGGACAATACTCCACTGTTAGAGCTGGTATGAACCTTGTGTCAATATTGGACAATACTCAACTGTTAGAGCTGGTACGTAGCCTTGTGTCAATATTGGACAATACTCCACTGTTGGAGCTGGTACGTAGCCTTGTGTCAATATTGGACAATACTCAACTGTTGGAGCTGGTACGTAGCCTTGTGTCAATATTGGACAATACTCAACTGTTGGAGCTGGTACGTAGCTTTGTGTCAATATTGGACAATACTCAACTGTTGGAGCTGGTATGAACCTTGTGTCAATATTGGACAATACTCAACTGTTGGAGCTGGTACGTAGCCTTGTGTCAATATTGGACAATACTCCACTGTTGGAGCTGGTACGTAGCCATGTGTCAATATTGGACAATACTCAACTGTTGGAGCTGGTACGTAGCCTTGTGTCAATATTGGACAATACTCAACTGTTGGAGCTGGTACGTAGCCTTGTGACAATATTGGACAATACTCCACTGTTGGAGCTGGTACGTAGCCTTGTGTCAATATTGGACAATACTCAACTGTTGGAGCTGGTACGTAGCCTTGTGTCAATATTGGACAATACTCAACTGTTGGAGCTGGTACGTAGCCTTGTGTCAATATTGTCCAATACTCAACTGTTGGAGCTGGTACGTAGCCTTGTGTCAATATTGACCAATGCTCCACTGTTAGAGCTGGTACGTAGCCTTGTGTCAATATTGGACAATACTCAACTGTTGGAGCTGGTATGAACCTTGTGTCAATATTGGACAATACTCAACTGTTGGAGCTGGTACGTAGCCTTGTGTCAATATTGACCAATACTCCACTGTTAGAGCTTGTATGTGACCTTGTGTCAATATTGGACAATACTCCACTGTTAGAGCTGGTATGAGCCTTGTGTCAATATTGGACAATACTCCACTGTTAGAGCTGGTATGTGACCTTGTGTCAATATTTGACAATACTCCACTGTTAGAGCTGGTACATGACCTTGTGTCAGTATTGGACAATACTCCACTGTTACAGCTGGTATGAACCTTGTGTCAATATTGGACAATACTCAACTGTTGGAGCTGGTATGTGACCTTGTGTCAATATTGGACAATACTCCACTGTTAGAGCTGGTATGAACCTTGTGTCAATATTGGACAATACTCCACTGTTAGAGCTGGTATGAACCTTGTGTCAATATTGGACAATACTCCACTGTTAGAGCTGGTATGTGACCTTGTGTCAATATTGGACAATACTCCATGGTTAGAGCTGGTACATGACCTTGTGTCAGTATTGGACAATACTCCACTGTTACAGCTGGTATGAACCTTGTGTCAATATTGGACAATACTCCACTGTTTGAGCTGGTATGTGACCTTGTGTCAATATTGGACAATACTCCACTGTTAGAGCTGGTATGAACCTTGTGTCAATATTGGACAATACTCAACTGTTAGAGCTGGTACGTAGCCTTGTGTCAATATTGGACAATACTCCACTGTTGGAGCTGGTACGTAGCCTTGTGTCAATATTGGACAATACTCAACTGTTGGAGCTGGTACGTAGCCTTGTGTCAATATTGGACAATACTCAACTGTTGGAGCTGGTACGTAGCCTTGTGACAATATTGGACAATACTCCACTGTTGGAGCTGGTACGTAGCCTTGTGTCAATATTGGACAATACTCAACTGTTGGAGCTGGTACGTAGCCTTGTGTCAATATTGGACAATACTCAACTGTTGGAGCTGGTACGTAGCCTTGTGTCAATATTGTCCAATACTCAACTGTTGGAGCTGGTACGTAGCCTTGTGTCAATATTGACCAATGCTCCACTGTTAGAGCTGGTACGTAGCCTTGTGTCAATATTGGACAATACTCAACTGTTGGAGCTGGTACGTAGCCTTGTGTCAATATTGACCAATACTCCACTTTTAGAGCTGGTACATGGCCTTGTGTCAGTATTGGACAATACTCCACTGTTAGAGCTGGTATGAACCTTGTGTCAGTATTGGACAATACTCCACTGTTGGAGCTGGTACATAGTCTTGTGTCAATATTGACCAATACTCCACTGTTAGAGCTGGTACGTAGCCTTGTGTCAATATTGACCAATACTCCACTGTTAGAGCTGGTACGTAGCCTTGTGTCAATATTGACCAATACTCCACTGTTAGAGCTGGTACATGGCCTTGTGTCAATATTGGACAATACTCCACTGTTGGAGCTGGTACGTAGCCTTGTGTCAATATTGACCAATACTCCACTTTTAGAGCTGGTACGTGGCCTTGTGTCAATATTGGACAATACTCCACTGTTAGAGCTGGTATGAACCTTGTGTCAGTATTGGACAATACTCCACTGTTGGAGCTGGTACATAGTCTTGTGTCAATATTGACCAATACTCCACTGTTAGAGCTGGTACGTAGCCTTGTGTCAATATTGACCAATACTCCACTGTTAGAGCTGGTACGTAGCCTTGTGTCAATATTGACCAATACTCCACTGTTGGAGCTGGTATGAACCTTGTGTCAATATTGGACAATACTCCACTGTTGGAGCTGGTATGTGACCTTGTGTCAATATTGGACAATACTCCACTGTTAGAGCTGGTATGTAGCCTTGTGTCAATATTGGACAATACTCAACTGTTGGAGCTGGTACGTAGCCTTGTGTCAATATTGGACAATACTCAACTGTTGGAGCTGGTACGTAGCCTTGTGTCAATATTGACCAATACTCCACTGTTAGAGCTGGTATGTAGCCTTGTGTCAATATTGACCAATGCTCCACTTTTAGAGCTGGTACGTAGCCTTGTGTCAATATTGGACAATACTCAACTGTTGGAGCTGGTACGTAGCCTTGTGTCAATATTGACCAATTCTCCACTGTTAGAGGTTGTATGTGACCTTGTGTCAATATTGGACATTACTCCACTGTTAGAGCTGGTATGAGCCTTGTGTCAATATTGGACAATACTCCACTGTTAGAGCTGGTATGTGACCTTGTGTCAATATTGGACAATACTCAACTGTTAGAGCTGGTACATGACCTTGTGTCAGTATTGGACAATACTCCACTGTTACAGCTGGTATGAACCTTGTGTCAATATTGGACAATACTCCACTGTTAGAGCTGGTATGTGACCTTGTGTCAATATTGGACAATACTCCACTGTTAGAGCTGGTATGAACCTTGTGTCAATATTGGACAATACTCCACTGTTAGAGCTGGTATGAACCTTGTGTCAATATTGGACAATACTCCACTGTTAGAGCTGGTATGAACCTTGTGTCAATATTGGACAATACTCCACTGTTAGAGCTGGTATGTGACCTTGTGTCAATATTGGACAATACTCCACTGTTAGAGCTGGTACATGACCTTGTGTCAGTATTGGACAATACTCCACTGTTACAGCTGGTATGAACCTTGTGTCAATATTGGACAATACTCCACTGTTGGAGCTGGTATGTGACCTTGTGTCAATATTGGACAATACTCCACTGTTAGAGCTGGTATGAACCTTGTGTCAATATTGGACAATACTCCACTGTTAGAGCTGGTATGTGACCTTGTGTCAATATTGGACAATACTCCACTGTTAGAGCTGGTATGTGACCTTGTGTCAGTATTGGACAATACTCCACTGTTGGCGCTGGTACGTAGCCTTGTGTCAATATTGACCAATACTCCACTGTTGGAGCTGGTATGTGACCTTGTGTCAATATTGGACAATACTCCACTGTTAGGGCTGGTATGTGACCTTGTGTCAATATTGACCAATACTCCACTGTTGGAGCTGGTACGTGGCCTTGTGTCAATATTGGACAATACTCCACTGTTAGAGCTGGTATGAACCTTGTGTCAGTATTGGACAATACTCCACTGTTGGAGCTGGTACATAGTCTTGTGTCAATATTGACCAATACTCCACTGTTAGAGCTGGTACGTAGCCTTGTGTCAATATTGACCAATACTCCACTGTTAGAGCTGGTACGTAGCCTTGTGTCAATATTGACCAATACTCCACTGTTAGAGCTGGTACATGGCCTTGTGTCAATATTGGACAATACTCCACTGTTGGAGCTGGTACGTAGCCTTGTGTCAATATTGACCAATACTCCACTTTTAGAGCTGGTACGTGGCCTTGTGTCAATATTGGACAATACTCCACTGTTAGAGCTGGTATGAACCTTGTGTCAGTATTGGACAATACTCCACTGTTGGAGCTGGTACATAGTCTTGTGTCAATATTGACCAATACTCCACTGTTAGAGCTGGTACGTAGCCTTGTGTCAATATTGACCAATACTCC